TTTTGAATAATAAAAGGTTGATGATTAGAGCAGAGTTTGCGGGTTCAGGCAAGAGTTATATATGTAAGCATTTGAAAAATAGAAATTACAAAGTGTTGTTTGTTGTTCATAGCAATGAGTTAGGGCAACAGTGCGGTTGTGAATGGGCGACCATAAATAAATTCTTTAGTATTTCGTTTGGAGATGAAAGACTTAGCAAGTTTGATTATTCAGGTTATGATGTCATAGTGTTTGATGAGATATATTTTCACAATGTGGGTAAGTGGGCTTTGATATGGAACTTCTGTAAGAACAACCCAGATAAGATTGTATTAGCAACAGGTGATACAAAGCAATTGAAAAATCCTGAAAGTGTAAGTAATGTAATTGCTTTTGAAAAATATGCTGACCATTGTATTGATTTGATTTTTGAAAAAAATATTATGCTTTATGAATGTAAGAGGTTGAAGACTGAAGAAGATAGACAAAAATTAAGAGATGTCAAAAGAATGATTTTTGAAGGCATACCTTTCAAAGAAATCATTGATAAATATTTCAAATGGACTGAGAAGATAGAAATGTATGAGAATAATATTGCTTATACAAATAACACCTGTAAAATGGTTTCCAGCAAAATCAGAGAAATGAAAAATATAACTGAGGAATATGTTATAGGTGAGGAAGTTATATGCCGAAAGTATATCAAGAATAAAGGGACAAAATTTAATGTGAATTTTAGATTTAGGATTTCAAATATTGTTGGGGATATTGTTGTTTTACAAAATGTGGCTACTAATGAGAAGCAAAATATAGAACTGAAAGTATTGAGAAAGCATTTTATATATGCTTACTGCTACACCGCTCATTCAAAACAGGGCTGTAGTGTTGATGGTGATATAGTGATATATGATTGGAATGAATGGTATGTTAGTAAGAATTGGTTTTTTACAAGTATCACAAGGGCAACAGACTTTAACAAAATTAAGTTTTTCAGATATAATGAAGGTGAAGAAAGTAAAACTAAAAAGATAGTAGAGCAGTATTTTGAGAGAAAGGTTTTGAACTACATTGAGCAAGACAAAAAAGCAGGTAGAAATGTAGAAGATGGGGATTATGTGGATGTGGATTTTTTGATGGGCTTGATGAATACCCAGTGTGAAAATTGTAATGAACCATTGGTGATTGATTTTGAAGATGGCAAGGTTTCGTCAAATATTAGCTGTCAGAGATTGAATAATGATATTAGCCACTTCAAGGATAATTGTATAGGCTTATGTGTTCAATGTAATTGCGCTTTTTCAAATAAAATATCATTATAAATATAATGGCTGATAATAAGCAGAAGATTATTAGTGATATTTATTTTGATAGAAGCGGATATGGAAGCAAGGCTACTACTTTAAAAGATGCCAGAGAGAAAGACAAAACAATTACTATGAAAGATGTTGAACAATTCTTTAGAAAAAATGTTGAGGTGAAAGCAAAGCCCAGAGGGTATAATTCTTTTGTAGCACCAAAAAATAGTCATACTTATCAGATAGATTTGTTCTTTATGGGGTATTATGATTTTGATGAAGAGCAAAAGTTCAGAGGAGGGTTAGTGTGTATTGATGTGTTGAGCAAGTATGCCGTCGTAATTCCAATCAAAACTAAAAATGGTGAGGATGTCCTTGAAGCAACTAAAGAGGCATTAGGGAAAATGGGTAAGAAGCCTAAAATAATCTATACGGATGATGAAAGAGCCATAGCAGGTGAGGATTTTAAAGAATATGTGGAAGGTGAAGGAATTGAGCTGTATAGGACAAGAGGGCATCCCGCTTTTGCTGAGCGCTATATACGCACCTACAAGGATATGCTTTTCAAAAGAGTAGAGGCAGATGAAAAAAAGGGAAAACAAAATATACAGTGGGTTGATTACAATTTAGAAATTATGCTGACATATAATGATAAGATGAAACACTCCGCTACAGGTATGACACCTAATCAAGCAAGGAAAGAGAAAAATGAATTTAGGGCAATGATAAATGTAGCATCAAAGGCAAAGAAGGAAAAAATCTATCCTGAGTTGTTTGTCGGTGATAAGGTAAAGATTATGAGAAAAAAGTTAATTACTGAAAAAGAAAGGACAAGTCATTTTTTGAAAGGTGAGTATGTTGTAGAAGAGATTTTTGAAAAATTAAATCAAAAATATTACAAATTAACAGATTATCCAAGACCATTGCTAAGGCACGAGTTGTTAAAAGTCTAAGATGGGTAAGGTTATGCTTATAGAATATTTAATAATAATATTTTATACAATATTTTTTTGCCTAAAATGTCTTAAACTACTTAAAGAGATATTACCTTATATAAGTAGAGAGAGATGAGCCTGTTTAATTATGAGGGATGTAAATATTGTAAAAATTCAATGAATAACAACAAAGTTGAATTATCAAAATTATTACCTGTAAATGTGTGTAATAAAATTTGTGAATATAATGTTAGTTGTTATAAATGTCGTAATCTATTAAAGAAGGAAGATGAATTCTTCAAGAACAGAACAGGAGGTGTTATGTCAAGAATAGAAAAACAAATATTCTTCATATCACATAATGAATGTAAGGTATTCAATAATTTTATTTGGGGTAGAGAATTAAAAGAAATGAAGAAAGAAATAGACTATATATTAGACAATCCAAAAGTTAAGGAAAAATATTTCAAATGTAAAATATTATTACAAGCAACTAAATCGTGGGCTAAAAAGGACATTCATATAATAGCAAGTATTCACAACAACATTGATGATGTAAGCAATTTAAGAAGGCTAATTCGTGATTTTATTGAGGATAGAGTTTATACTTTTAGAAATATAGATTTTGATATGGTTGATATTTTGAGATGCTTGATTACTGAGTGTGTCAATCATATTTGTAAAAAATATATTGACTATATGTGTAAGAAAGAAATTAACAGATTTATAAAAGATTTGTTCCCATAAATCATATTATTCTAATAAAAATATTATTAGAAAAATGTTGTTATGATTTTTGGTATTGTATTCTTTATTGTCTAAAGTGGCAAAAGAGGTTTAAAGAGATATTACCTTATATATTAGAAAGATGAGCGACACAACCAGTGAAAGTGATATTTATAAGATTGAAAGTTTTGAAGAACTGGAGGAAGCAAAAGAGCAAGTATTGAGCAATTATATGTGTAAATGTTGTAAGATTGAATTTTGTAAAGACTGTTTAAAAGAAAAGGCTAAACTGACAATGTGTTCAAAATCAATACCACTTGAAATCATTGAAAACATATCAAGCAATATTAGATGTTCTAAATGTCAGGGAATGATAGAAGCAATTGAAAAGCAATACACACAAGAGAAGTATATGAAAGACCACCGTTGCCCATTGGATTTATTCACTGTAAAGGCATACTATTACAAAAAACTGAATGAGTTTCCACCTTATAATTGTATGGAACAGAACTTGTTGTGTTCTGGTAATTTTAAGGAAGAGAATAGATGGGATGGCTTCGCACATAATTGTCTGGAGAAATTGTATGATGGTATTGATGATTATGAAAAGATTTATAACTGGATGGATAGGATTTTGGAAAAACATAAAGATGAAGATGACCCCTTCAAAGAACTAAACACCTTATTTAATAGCTTTATGGAAATACTGAATTACATAGACCGGAATGAACATTACAATAATAATATTCTTTATGGTGAAGGCTTCGGACTGGATATTGCTGATGAATTGAATGACATATTTTTCAATGTAAGCGACAGTGAAAGTGAATATGATGAAGACTAAACACATAATCCTAATAATAATAATTATTATTAGATTTATGTTTTGGAAAGATGGGTAAGGTTATGCTTATAGAATTTTGTTATGTGTCTAAAATGACTGAAAAGGTTTAAAGGGAAAATATCTTATATATTAAGTGAGTGATGGAAGATACTAAAAAGTGTTCAAAATGTAGAAAGGTAAAGCCTGTAGAAGAGTTTGGGGAATACAAGCAGTGTAGTGGTTGTTTAGATTATTGTAGGTCATATTCAAAAAATAATGCTGAAAAAAGAAGAGATTGGGCAAAAGAAAATGCTGAAAAAACAAAGGAAGAGAAACAGGTAAAAGTATATTGTGATGACTGTAAAGTTGAAATTCAAAAAGGCAGTTGGTCAAGGCATATTCAATCAAAAGAACACCTTTTAAATATTGGAAGAGATGGTAGAGAACATTTTGAAAAAACAAAATGGATGACCTGCCCTGTATGTAATGATTATCCGATACAAAGTATAAACTTCAAGAGACACACACAAACAATAAAGCATCAAGAGAATTTAAAGAAACAGCAAACATAGATTTCATTTTATAATTTCAAAATTATAAAAATGAAATAGGTTTTTGTTATGATTTATGGTAAGGTTTGTTTTATAGTCTATTGTATTGGTTAGGTTGTTTTGTTTTTTGTTTGTTTTATTTGTTTGTTATGATTTTTATTATGGATTTTATTATTATTCTATAAGGTAGAGTGGAGCAATCTTTGGTATTAACCCCATAGAATTTGTTGTATCATAATCTGGGTGGGTCAGGGAAAAAGATAAGATTGCTCCACCCTAACTCTTAGTCTGGTTGGTGCTTTCAACGCCTCTGAAAAATATTAGTCAATGGGAAGGATTATCCCATAGATTATGGAAAAAAAATGTTCCAAACCACCAACCAGTAACTAACTATATCCCAATTTTACTGCAGAAAGTATCAAAAAGTCACTGGAATTCAAGGTTTCACCAGAAACCTTGGTAAAAAAATCCTTCACCTTGCGCTTAGATTTTGATGCGCATCTCAAGCACCAAACTTAGCTAACCTAGATCAACTAAGTCTAACCCCCAATTTGTCTTTAGATAAGTTAGATCCAAGTCAGATCCAACCATGTTTCTATAACTTTCTATCTTGGTCTCTATATTTGTTGCTTAAAATCGATCAATTTCTCCGCTGAGCGGCCGGGCACTACGTGCCACGGGCGCCCGAAAATCACCGACAAACGGCGGTGGAAACACCGTCCTCCTTGGTCTGCCGGTGCATCCGTTCGACATCCCCCAGTTCTTGAAGGCGCTCTTCGCATTGCTCCTGGACGCAGGTTGGGGACCCCTTGGGGACCCTTTTAATCAACAACGGCTTGGGCAGGTTGGGTTGTGTTGTGAAAATGTGAAAAAAACTTAGGAAATTAAGGTTCAATGGATATATATATATATGGATTTGAATGATTGGGCATTTGGAAATCCATGTCATTTGAATCATCCCAAGCAATCTGTGAATCATCCCAAGTGCGGAGCACACCAGAAAAAGCATTCCGGCATTCTCCATGTACCCACCAAAAAATCCACTGATATTTGGCTGTCCACACATTGTGTCTGCGAAATCACCAGGAAAAAACTCTGAGTCTCTATGAAAATGCGACAAATCCCAGCAAAATTCATATGGGATTCGCCGGTAAAAAAATGTTCCCAGACATGTTGCCATACTTCGGTAGACCCATGATTTTCCTATAATGGGTCTCCCACGGTCTCCCCATGGTCGGAAAGCCGGTTATTTGTTATTGTTTACATGAGGCTCGGACAACGGCAAATCGCCAGGTTTCTCAAAACGGCAAATATTTCTATTGGTTTATCATCTATTTCTATGGGCCATGGCTTCCAGTTCGCTATGTTAAGTAATCATAGGGTAAGAATCCCTACTAAACCACCTGAGAAGTGTTCAAAACCCGTCGTTTCAGTAACAAATTGGTTGGTGAAGAACGGGATTCCCCGTTGATTATGATCATCCCCAATTAATGTTAGTATGGTCTCCCACAAGAATCAACCAACCATCATTCATCAGTATCATATTCACAAATATATGATATGTATATAATATATATATATATATTATTGTATGATTATATTATATATATGTATATATATATATATTGGTTAGTATAGTCCCCCCTAATAATCAAGCAACAAGCTTTCGGGCCTTCTGTTGCTCCACCAAATAGCGTTTCTCCTGCGGTTTCAACGGGTCGGTCCGCAGATTTTTCCCTCAAACTTCCACCATGTTTGATGGGGAGATCATGGGTATTTTTTTGGAGAATACAATAAAATATATGGAGAAACACTGTGGAAAATGAATAATATATAATGACATATTGTATACACACATGGGAATCTATGGGATATCTTATACTTTGAATAAATTGCTTCATCAAGAATCGTCTAAGACTCTAAGATCTAAGGGTGACTTTTTTCTGGCAACGATCATTTAAATGCGTATATGAATTGAATCTGGCTTTGCCACGCCACGTCTTGGTGTGATCCAAATGTCTTTCTTCGGCTAGACATGGCATGATTTGTGCCAGGCTCATTATCTCCCGCAATGGATTGGTTAGATCCCATGGTTGCTGGCCAACTCCGTTTCTTTGGCCGGCCCTAAATGTTCATAAAGGGGCATCAAAGGGGCAAACAAAGAAACATCCCCTCTGGTCATTTAACAGCTATGGTACTATGGTATTCTGTATATGGCCCATTTAGTTCGATGATTTTACCATATTTTACCTATGAAAAAGGTGATTGTCCATAGCTACCATCTGGTTATTTAACAGTTCGCCATGGAAAATCCACCCATGTTTAAGTTCGGTAAACCATCTATTTCGATTAGGGCCATGGCTTACCCATATGGCTATGTTAGTCATATGGACCGAGGCTGATCCTGGTGGTAAACCATCCGACCCAAGGGTAGCAACTAAAAAGTCGCGACAACTGTGAGCCTTGGAGCTTGCATAGTTGCATAGATTCTTGGATAATTGACCAACCACAAGGATGATTCAAGGCTAGCTTAGTTCTGAAGTTGATGTTTTTCCCTTGACATTCACAAGCATTCAGCGGCAGTCGTCAGCTGAATTTTGTGATTGGATCAGCTGCTATTGGCCCATGGCAACCATCAGCTGGGTATCAATCAGTGATACCCTCTGGCTATTTAACTAACAGTTTGCCATGGAAAATCCCTGACATAAATGGAGGTTTCTAGCTGGGAAAATAACCTATTTCTATGGGTCATGGCTTCCATAGCTACGTTAGTCATAACCAGAGGGTATATTCAAATTCAAATATCAAGTATATAAATGTTCATGTCAATCAGTTGACTCATGGTATATTCGATTAAACATGATATCCACCCTATCCACGCGTAGCGTAAATCCCAATGAACAATTCACCAGGGATGACCCGCCGATGACCTCCAAGTTGCTGGTCTGTTCCACATGCTCTTTGGCCATCGTTTCAAAGTGCACCCGCTCGTCCTGGCAGCGAATACAGTAGATAGATAGATGGATAGATAGATAGATAGATAGATGGATAGATAGATAGATGGATGGATAGATGGATAGATGGATAGATGGATAGATGGATAGAATTAGATTAGATTAGATTAGATTAGATTAGATTAGATTCGATTGGATTGGATTGGATTAGATTAGATTAGATTAGATTAGATAGAAAGAAAGGTCCTATGGTAACTGGTATGGTGCCAATCTTAGTTACATGACATAAACATAGAAACTGTAAAGAACAGTTTAACTGTATTTATGTACTATATGGACTATATGTACTACATGTATGATATGGACGTTTCTTATCTTTTCTTAGCATGGATGGGCACCATATGGCTCCATGTATGATGAGTTTGGCCCATTTATAGATGGTTCACTGATAGAACTCCAACCAAATCTATATATACCATTGTATGATTGGTATAAACCATCTGCAACAACACAAGGGATTGTACCATATGTAATAAATATATATATAATATATATATATACCAGTGTTCGGATACCATATATACCATATATATATACCATATATATATATATACCATTGTTTGGATGGTTCAAGCTCAACAAATTGCCGTATCGATTTCCATCTTTTTTTGTCAAAGCCTCTCTATTTGGCCCCAGAATTTGTGGCATGGGTTCATGAAATCGCACATTGGTCGTTATCTGGTGATTTTTCGAATATTACCCTCTGGTTATGACTAACATAGCTATGGAAAATCACCATTTTTAATAGGCAAACCATCTATTTCTATGGGCCATCTATACCATGGCTATGTTAGTCATAACCAGAGGGTATTAATAATTAAACCGGATAAAAAATGGCGGCTAATAATAGTTAATATGGTTATTGTTCAATTGATTACCTATTATAAATATCATTAATCAACTATTTATTACATATATCTATCAAGATACATAATGTAATAAATAGTTGATTGATTTATAATAGGTAATCAATAATTGTATCTTGATACTTAAATAGGTAATCCGTTGATTGATTTATTACATAGTATGCCACCTAATTGTCCCCAACGGATTAAATCCACATACATAACTCCTTCGGGCTATTCTTTATTAATATGTGCCACGGTCAAAACATTGTTTGTGGGTTCTTATCGTTCCCATTCTCAATGGTGATATGACCTTGCCCCAAATCAATGGGTTGTACTGTAATCTACTCCAGCTCTTGACAATGGTACATCACTGGGATTCCCTATACCCTCTGGTAAACGTTTACATAGCTATTGAAAATGATCATAGAAATAGTGAGTTTTCCCATTGAAATTTTGGTGATTTTCCATAGTTTTTTGTAAACGTTTACCAGGCCGGGTATGGGTTTCCCTATAATGGTATGAACCATCTATAAAAACCATCGTCTATACCATCTACCATGTCGAGACATGCCAGAAAAAACATATAACCATATGTGATTCCCCAGGTATTCCCAGCGTTTCCATGGAAACGGACCCATCCAACAAAAAAAAAAGTTATTACCCTCTGGTAAACGTTTACAGAACTAATGGGAAAATCACAATTTTTCATGGGAAAACTATGGAAAATCACCATTTTTGATGGGAAAACTATAGAAAGTCACCATGTTTGATGGGAAAACTATGGAAAATCACCATGTCCAATGGGAAAATTCACTATATTTCGACTGGGCCATGTTCAATAGCTATGTAACAAATTACCAGGCCGGGTATTCCATAAACAACACCAGAAATCAACGTGAGTAGAAAATCCTCCATCATTCCACCGTTCACACTCCATCACCATGTTACTCGGATGCACGTCCCAGCTAACACGTTTGTTTCATAGCCATGAAATATACCCCATATCCCATATCTGGGTTAATGGTTATTACCCACTCTAATATAGTACCCACTTATATTAATTACCCTCTAGTAATTTAGCAATAGTTAATAATGGCTTTGGAAAATGACCCATTTCGTTCAATAACCTATTAAAGATGGTGATGTTCCATGGCAAACTGTTAAAAAAAACAGGGGTAATTGAGATGCACCCTCCAAAGTACATCTCAAGATTGTTAATCCTACACCCCATAAAAATAATAGACCAGCAATATAACCTCGCTTAATTCTTGACGATATCCCACTAAGATTACCATCAATGCTACAATGTACTGTACCCCGTCAGTAATCATCATTGTTTCGACAGATTTTGGATGGTAATCTTGATAAGAATACTAAAATCATACTCGAACTAGTACTTATACTAATATTAGTAATACATAGTAATACTAGTACTAATTCTGATGCTAATTCCAATACTTATACTATCTTATACTATATAATATTACGGGCAAGCCCCCTCAGCTTGCCCGCGCCGTCGACGACGTCTCCGAAGATCAAAAAACACAGTGTTTTGTGGGACAAGTGCACATGTCCATGATCATGGCTTTCATCTTGCAACGCACAGCTTAGCTACCTGTGCGTTGAAAGTTACAACAACAACATCATCATCATCATCGTCATCTTCGTCATCATCATCGTCATCAACAACATCAACCCTAAACTCATTAAAAAATTCCCTTGGATCTTGAATATAAAGTTTAATCAGGGTGCGGATTTGATGATTCCCTAGAAACTCTGTTGTATGTTGAAACATGTTGAAGATTTCAGTGAATGTAAAGATTATAAAGGTTAACGGGGTGAGGATTTCATGATTCCTTAGAAACTCTGTTGGAACATGTTGAAGAGTTTCTTGAATGTAAAGTCTAACACGCCCTTCAACTTCAATATCCTCTGAAAAGTGGTGTGGGCGAGCTGGGGGGTGCGCGTAATATTACCAATGATTGTAATAAGTAGTATATAGTATTGTTGGCGGTATGTTATACTCTTTCTTAGTTCTTATACCAATTTAGTAATGCAAATATGATTCATATTAGCCACATATATTAGTATTACCCAAATATGTTTCATATTAGCCACATATATACCCAAATATTTCTAGTAATATTCGTGGGATATCACCAAATATTATTACACACATGATATATCCCAAATACTACCCGTATATTACCCTTATATTTCCCATGTATTACCCAAACATGAATCACATGAGTATTATTACCTTCTGGTAAACTAACATAACTATGGAAAATCACAATGTTTAATGGGTAAATTCACTATTTCTATGGCCATTTCTGTTAGTATCATCATTATTATCCATATTATCCATATGATTACCCAACATATCCATATATCATCCATATGATTACCCAACATATCCATATATCATCCATATATTACCCATGTCTTATGAGTATTACTACCATTCAATAATGTCCTTTTGGTAAAAATAGATGGGCCGGATTGGTATACCATATATCATCATTTACCTGTTGTTAAAGGGGTAAACTAACCCCTCTATTAATCAACCAACCAGTGGGAAAAGGACATCTATGCTACCATTGGTCATTACCAGAGGCTACCCATGGCATCCCATGGCTGATTTCTCTCCTGCAGTTTGGCAGTCTTCTGATGGATCTCTGCCACCTGATTCTGCGCTACCACGATCTCCTCGTGCAGCGCCTCGGACGTTGGCAAAACATGGGGCGATTTTACCATGGACAATGATGTCTTCACCATCAATGTGGAACTGTGTGTCATTTTTTCTGTATATATATATATGATATATGATATGTATATATATATATATGCATATTATAAGTTTTATAAGTCCATATAGACTATTATATAATTCTAGAATTAGAGAGAGAGAGAGATTTGATTGATTTAATCTTCAAACATGTGGATTGAACCCTGGAGATTGAGTAGGTAGTCATCAAAAAGTCTTATCTAATCTGCAACAAGTGCGGATCTGACCATCAAAAATTGAGATGTCACCACAAAGAATGGCGACCTCAAGAATGACAGCTGAGGGTGACCACCAAAAAATTGGATTTTATCTATCAAAAAATGGAAAAACAAAATGCTCTCCAGCCATCAAAACTTGGGTTTTCGCTGGGAACAATCTTCCAAGGTCTATTTTGGGTCGACTGCTTAGTTGCAGAGATGGTACCTTCCCAAAAAATGATTGGTGAGATCCCAATCAGAAGCCCAGAAAAAGCCCAAGCTCACCATCCCAAGAACCATGAAATGATGAACTATGGACCCCCCAGGGCCCCATTTTTGAACTATGTCACTATGTCCACGTACTCATTTCATGGTGTTTTTGTTGGAGATATTGGAACTAAAATGATATTGCATGATATTGCATGATATTGCATGATATTGCATGATATTGCATGTCCAATTACCCTCGGGTAAACTAACATAGCTATGGAAAATCACCATTTTCAATGGGAAAATCCATTATAAATCACCATGTTCAATAGCTATGTTAAATTACCAGAGAGTATGTCCATCATCTCTCGTTCTTTGTTGCTTCTATTTCCCAAATATCAGGGTCGTTGGTTTATCCCCAAGAAATCATGTGGACCTGCTGACCAGGTTTGATTGATCTCCAAAACCTTTTCCGTTCATCATGGCAAAGCTGAAAATTTTGTTAATGGTTATATTATGTTATATTTACAAAAAGATGTGGAAAACCCACTATTTGTAGATAATGTTCCTAGGAAAATCATGGGTTTCCACATCTATGTTGGTTCACGTTTGGGTGCCCAACTTACCATTTGCCTGTTGTTTCACCCAGCCAATACCCAGATTCAAACCCCTGCGTTGATGGTTTATATTATATCTTATAATTCTGCATGCTGCATAATATCTAAAGATTCTATGGTAAACACGTGTTGATCTACCAATCTACCATGTGGGAAACTAGGGTAGCTCGTTGGCTCCCAATTTAATACAACCACGGCTCCTAAGCGCTCCCTCCACTCACCACTGGATAGTAATGTCCAATTCCCACCCTTGGTGCCTCCGCGGGCCTTCCTTGATAGAGGCCTCGATGCGACATGGGGATATCGATCAACGTTTGAACATGGCCAATCTCACAGTTTTCCAGTTCACAAAATCCAAAAGCCTGCTGTTGTGATGGTGTATTTATATGTGTTTATAGCGATTTGTTGTTGCCTGATACTCCATGTTTGATGAGTAAGACCATGTTTGATGGTTTGTAGGCCCAACAAACCCGAAAAACACCCACCCCGTTGACCCCCTTTCGGAACATCTGCACCTTGTGCCTCCAATTTCTCTGCCTGCGAGGTATAAAGAAAGGCCAAGCGCTTCCCCGCAAGCCGCGGTGTACTGAGTGTACAGGTCTTGCGGCGTTCATTTCTCAATGGATTGGTTTACCCTCTGGTAAACTAACATAACTATGGAAAATCACAATTTTTTGTGGATAAATTCACTATAAATGGCCATTTTCAATAGCAAACTGTAAATGTTTACCAGAGGGTAAGCCTGCTTTCTAAGGAAAGGATGGTGTTTTCCCCCGAAATCCATGGGCTCGCCTGGATTTCTGTTCCCTTCAGCTAATTCTGGACATGTCTTTACAAGAAATCCGGTTAGAGTGTCTTGCAGAAGCAAAAAGGCCGGTGATAATGTGACATTAAATATATATATATAATCCCATTAAAACCCCATATGTAATAGTATTCAAATCCCATTACATCCTTAATTATATCAATCATATCCCATCATCATCCCATATATCATGGTATAAAATCCCATTATAACTGGCAGGATCTTCCCTTGGAAAAAAACAACAAACGGTAGCTTCCCTGCACTTTGACTTTGGCTTCTTCTCTCGCTCGATGCACCTGGGTGGTCGTCTATTTGGAGGTTTCGTAAATCATGGGGGTACCCCTAGTTCATCCTAGTTCTCATCCATTTATAGATGGATTTTCCGTGAAATAAACCAAGCATTTTGGGGGTACCCCCATGACTTACTGTAGATCTAATTTAGATGATTTTCATGTTGGTCTATTTGGAGGTTTTCTTTTAAAAAAATATCGTTTAGGATTCAGATTGCAACCCATGGGACTCAACATCATGCCCACTGAGACCCTGCGAGTCATGATTTCTTCGGTAGAAAATCTGTGGTTTTTTGTTACCCATAGGATCCATGTATGGTATATATGATGACATGGATCCCATCAATATACCCCAGTCATGTTAGCATATATACCATACATGGATCCTATGGGTACTTCGAGGCTACTATACGGTCTGGAGATGTCAAGAAGGCAAGGTCTCTACTTTCCAGGTCGACTTCAGCGCAGTTGGGCAATGTGTGTTGGGGTGCCCACAGGTGGCCAACTGTTCTGTTCCTGTTTGAAGGCCTACCAGGTGGTGCCCCGTAGTTAGCTAAGTTGGTTAACAACTCCAATAACTATGGTTTATGGTAGATATATCTATACTTGTAGGAATTGTGTCTAATTATCTCCATGTTACTAGATGTTACCGCAGAAAAATAACTACGTGACAAGTTGCAGAATCTCTGCAATCTTCGTGTACTGGAGGCTAGCTTTCTTGGAATCTATATACCCTCTGGTAAACTAACATAACTATATATTGAAAATCACCACTTTCAATGGGAAAATCCACTATAAATGGCCATTTTCAATAGCTATGTTAAATTACCAGAGGGTATACATCCACTATCGCAAAGGCACACCCGGAGCCAGCCTCTCCCGGTAAACGGATGCAACTTGGCCAAAGCACATCATCTTCCAATTCGGACAACTTTGTGTCCTTCAAATCCTCGGGAAAAGGATAACTGGCCCAAATATGTCCCCATTTGGCTATGGATCAATACCTATAAATACCATTTTTAGTGGGATGAACATCCATAAATCCCAGCTATTTTGATGTGAACTACAGGGGTACAAGGTTTTGACACACTGCCATTTGGGTGTTGAACATCACTGGAATCTGTCGGTGAGAAACTTCCAAGTTCAAGGGTGTGCCAGAGTTCGTGATGCGACAGCCCAACATATTCATGCCGTTGTTTAGATACCCTCAGAACAAAAAGGAACAACATTTGGAGCTTTCCTTCAATTGAAGGCGTATCCCCAAATCATCCAATAAGATGTTCCATGTAATAAACCATCCAGCTATTGGGGATCCAGCATTTTAAGGAACCCATCCAGCCTCATTGAGCAGCCCGTTTGTTCATCGTCCCCAAGTTTTACATGACAAAAAACATCCCGTGGCGAAATCGCCAGAAAAAACCCTGGCCCTGTCCTGTCTGATCTGTTTGATGGACACCAGTTTGGACTCCTTTTCCTCAGCACGGAAACGCGCTGGGTTCCAGCGAGACATCCAAGTGATCCCAACCTTCGGACCCAGGACCCAGAAGATACCCAGTAAGATGAAATATATATTTGCCACGCGTTCTATTCACTGTTCTTTTGATATTTTTTTTATGATAAGGATTGTATGTACACACATAGATTGCTGATAATGACGTTCTTACTTGAGTATGCTGTATGATTATTACAATGTCAACATGTATGCAAAATACATACATCACAATTCCACCCCCTTTTTATTAAGTGCCTCCAATAAGGCACCCTCCAAATGAATGGAGCCAAAAATAATCATATCTCCAGAATTAAGTGGTTACTCATCCATTTTCCCATTGGAAGTATTCCCGGTATCTTTTGAGAAGAAAAACAACAAACAAAACATATCTTTAGATACATATTTCACTAGCCTGAAACTTCTGTAATGTAGTTATCCTAGTCAACAGGTCACGTCCAGATGTATTGATAGTTATTGTCAGCTCATGTCCCCACTATATCCCCAAGCCTCGTAAGGTGGTGGTACCAACACGCCTCCATTTTCATCACGGGATGGCCAAAAAGCCACAAAAAAAAAGTAGCAATTTATGCCGAAGTATCCCAAGATACGATGGATTGTTCCCATGCCACAGCAAACCCTCTGGTAAATTAACAGTTCGAGGCAGTCATCGGGGTTGGAAGACTAGTTTCCATGAAAAATTGGTGATTTTCAGGGTCTATGTTAATTTACCAGATGGTAACTTTAGTCATATCTACCATAAACCATAGATTTCAGCCTGAAAATTTCATCCAGATGGGGGTACCACATTCATCCCATGTTTTCTTTTTGTTTTTTCGTTTGTTGATGATTGATCCTCACGATCCCACTATTGTTTCATTCCTGTTGATTGAAGCATGGAGTCCCACCTCATTGTCTTCAATGAATCCAATGTTAATATGACAAGACCATGGCGCATGTCAACATTTTTCTATACATTAACCATATAGACAATAAGCACTACAATCGGATGTGTATATACATATAACTGAATTCATTGGGATATTTTATCATAGTCACACACAATCATTGTTGTATCCCCAATATATCCCATTATATCACCACTTTAGCCAACTTACAGTAGATGTCAATAACCAAATGGTTGGTGATAAATAAGAAGAAATGCACTAATAATATTAATATTCAAAATTACATATGTAATAATCAATATCAATAAAAAATATTTGTGATAGCCGACAATAACCAACCAAATGCGTTATTCCATTAATACATATTATAAGTAGTATAAGTATTAAATATTATAATAACATCTATAATAACATCTATATGATGATTTTCACAGGATAGTAAGAATGGCAAGAATATGCAAGAATCGTCAGGATTGCATACATATCATAATATGTTTTGTAACAGTATAATTTCATAATGCCATCAGCCTTCCTCCGCATCCATGAGGCGATGTCCCATGAGATCACCCTGCCGGGGGTGGATCGCAGCCACTTGCAGATCACCCAGCGATGGCACTGCGATCAACATCTTTCATGGTGAGATTGGAATGGTCAATGACCAACTCTTTCCGAATGATTTCTCTTTGGCCACCGCGAATGTTGGAGTCGTAAATTTGTGTGGCTCGAGGTAGGATGGCACGTGCGCATCATCTTGGCCACATACATAGTCGAAGAAAAATCCTAACAACCATGATATGATTAATGGCATTCAATAACCAACCAAATTGTTGCCATGTACTATTACATTTGGTTGGTTGGTTGTTGAATGCCATGAATAATCTATAATAATCTAATTCAGTAGTTAACCAAATGATGATTATTATTAAGACTCTATAATAGTAATAATAATAAAAACAGTTGTAATCATCGCCATCATCTTGATGATAGCCATCAATAACTAACCAAATATCATCATTAACCCAAATTATTCTTACTGGTGCTTAGTAGGAAATGGGAATGAATCATGTTCCATTCCCTACTGAGCACCAGTAAGAATACTCTGGAATAATCATAGTTGTCAAACTGTAATATACTATAATCATGATTACCATGAAATCAGTTGAAAGATGATTGTTGCTATCATATACTAGTTATGAACAACCCCATATCATTAAACCATACTATGAACATTACACGATTGATCAATATTATTTATTATGTTCAAAAGTATCCTAAACTTATCCATACTATAATGGACCCTGGATAATACCAGACTATGAATCAGAATCATGAGGGTTTAATCAAGACATTATCCCATAGTTCCCATTACCCTCTGGTTATGACTAACATAGCTATGGAAAATGGCCCATTTATAGACGATTTTCCCAGCTATAAACCTCCATTTATAAGGGATTTTTCATGGCTATGTTAAATAACCAGAGGGTAGTATTTATAATTAGTCACGTTTGATTGCGATTAGCATTCTTCCAGCATTGATACTAAATACTGGTTGGTGGTATACCTGCCCCTCTGAAAAATATGATAGTCAGTTGGGGTTACTATTCCCAATACATGGAAAAATGAAAAATGTTCCAAACCACCAACCAGTAATTATTCCTTATAATGGACTATGGCTTTGTCTGAAGATATGCTACACCAGAATCCCATGGTGAATCTTCATTTTCCAGGATGGGGGCCCCCCAGTTATAAATGGTTTATAAAACCCATTACCCTCCAGTAGATTAACAGTTCGACCCTGGCAGATAGGGGTTGAAAGACTAGTGAAACCACTAATGATTGGTCATTTTCAGGGTCTCTGTTAATTTACCAGAGGGTAACTATAGTTATATATATCTACCATAAACCATAGATTTCAGCCACTTTTTTGGCAACGGTGTTTCGTTTCACGCGAGCTCGACACTTTGGGCCCCATCCTGTATCAAATCGCCATTATGGGCCATGGCTTCAATAGCGAACTCTTAGTCATTACCGGAGGATAAACCATGAGGAGTTGTATATTCAAACGTGACATCATTGTACAAATATCAATCTATATCAGAAACTAATGATACCTTGTGATATATGGTTGATTATACCATTTACCATTAGTTGATATTACACCTATTTAATACCTATTTAACTAGTTGGTCCATGGTATATTCCCCATTAGTAAAAACATATATACACCATAGGATACCATATATAGATATATATGTATATTCTAATGGGGAATATACCATATACCAACTAGCTAAATATCTATATATATATACGGTATTCTATGAAATGGTATTCAAGTTAGATATATATATATGTTTAGATTGTATATGATATGGTATAATGGTATGAACATATTATGGTATTGATGATAGAATACCATATATACATATATATATATACACAATATAGTTCATGGATTCTGCAATCCATATATTCACCGTATAATACCATATATATATAATTCTGGTTGGTTGGTGGTTTCAAACATTTTTTATTTTCCATTTCATATATGGGATGTCATCCTTCCCGTTGACTTTCATATTTTTCAAGATGGTTATTGCACCACCAACCAGATATTATTAACTAACATTAATTATAAAATAACCATTAATATTAACCATTATTAACCAGGTATATTAACAACCAGTATAGATTCATATTAACCATTATTAACCAGGTATTTTAACCATAGAATTCTTGGTAAATTATACCATCTTTTCGAATCAGCAGAACCTTGCCCCATCACCAAGCATCGTCCAGCTGCTGTCTTGCCTCGTTGGCCTGACGCTTGGCGCGCAGCAAGGCCTGGCCGTTTCCGGAACGACGGAACATCGGAGGAACCCCGAGTCCTGGGGAAAATGCTGGGAGAATGCTAGGAAAACCGGAAAAATCATGGGAAAATGCCATGGAAATTCCCAGAGTTGTTGGAAAATGATGTGCTTAGCTGGCAGCTGGAATTGGTTGGGTTGTTGAGTTGTTGTCTATTTCTTCAAAATGGTAGGTCCCCTCCCAGAGTTTTCGTTATATATTTGCTTGGCGGATAAGCACTGATTTTTTGTTGGATTACTTAGTGGAACTTCGAGTTGGAGGCTGGTTACGTCAACAAAGACATCTTGGCTTTCTACCGGGAAGCTCTCGGGTCTCTATTTATGGGTTCCGTGGCGAAAAAAGGTGATTTATATACATAGCCGTCAACACACAGGAACAAAAAACATGGTTTCACCTGAAAAAGTTGGAATAACGGGTCATTTCGGGTAAGAAACAGACTTGGATGTCATTCATTTCAGTTACAAATCGATGATAGAATCATGATGAGGACAACCTGAGATATCCAACAAACAAGGTAGCTCCATAAATGGAGGATGCAACCATCAAGCATGGGGTTTTAAGTCTAAAGTCTTTCAACAATGATCTGGTTGGTGGTATACCTACCCCTCTGAAAAATGATGGAGTTCGTCAGTTGGGATGGTTATTCAATTTCCAACTTTTCATGGAAAGTCATAATCCATTCATGGAAACCAGTCACCAGCAACCAGTGATGTGGCACGTTGGGATTCAGATTCAACTTTTCCCAGCTGGCCAGTTATAAATGGGCTATAACCAACTACTCAACTAGGCCATATGGTACCTGTTATGGTTTATACATGTAGAAATACCATTGGCTTTACCCCACGGTCCCATGTTTTTCTTGCTGAAGAGTTTTGAAAAATTATCCTCAAAATGCCATGTCCATTTCCCCATATCCCCCCATATCCCTATGATCGGTGGCTTTTATTCCCCATTTCCCAGTACATTCGCAACATATTATAACCCCCCACATGTCGTTTCACGATCCATTTGCTCGTAAAATCACTAATCCATAAACTATCATAGTAATCCCTGCCCCCTTTTCAGAGTATCAATGGATTGGATTAAGGGAAAATTTACAGGAAAGCCCCATATTTAATGGGAAAATCTATGGTTTCCGGTTAAAATTTTCCCTTAAACCAATCCATTGAGAGTACATACCCCAGAAAACAAGAGCCTGCTTTAGTGGATTCCTCTGGTGGTTCCATTGAGGGCTCTGCGAAAAAATCTCCGTCAAAGTTCACCAGCCAGGGTTTCTCGCTCAGATAAAATCAGCAATTCAAACCCCAAGGTTTCCAAATAAATTCTTGTAGCATACATTAAAAACCTTGCAACATTGAATTATGATGTCATATGATGTTCATTAACTAGTTCAATATCTACCATGAACCCAAACGGTAGCCCGGGAAAACAAATCTTCATCAACGCCATTTAGCTACGCCATTTTGCGGCCGGCAGAGCGCCTGCAGATCTTCTCGAAGCTGATCCAACACCGATCCGGACACGCCCGTTCCACCCTGCGTTCGGATCATCCGAAGAGATCACACGGAAATCGAACGGAGAGGATCTGGGCTTAGGAAATCGCCCCGGTTGCCCTTAGTAAAAACCACCAGTATTTACAGGGGAAAAAATGGGAATAATATGGAAAAATATGGGAAAAATATGGATTTTACCTTCTGGTAAACGTTAACATCACGGAAAATCACCATGCGTGATGTAGCGATGATGGTGAGGTGTTATGCTTCCGGGAAATCCACCAGTTCAGAGGAATCTGAGATGGGGAATAGTTATGGAGGTACCCTCTGGTAAACGTTTACAGTTTGCTATGGAAAATGGCCATAGAAATAGTGGATTTAGCCATGAAAAAGAGTGATTTTCCATAGCTATGTAAACGTTTACCAGAGGGTACCCCCAAATATCATCCATCTAAAAGGTGATGGGATTTTCCATGACATAAACATCAGACCATCCAGCTATTGGAGATCCCCCAAGCTGGGTGAATTTTACTCCACTTGGCTTCAAAATACGGAGGTTCCAGTTGGTCAGAAGATATTCCCCATCAAGCAATAAAGTATGACCTATAATCAATCAACAGGAGTTTTGGTCACTGATGTTATTAGGGTTTGAATTGGGTTATGCTAACATTCACAAAATCTAGAATTGGCAGGTCATCCTCATTAATCCTAATGAACAGCTTGAAAATTAGATTAGTTCAATCTATTTTGTGAGAGCATTCGTCACCCCTGTGGTAGTCCTGGCTATGGATGAACCTCCTAAAAAACGACATTCCCGCAATTTCGGGGAACCCCAAGCTGGACTCGTGATTCATAACTCATGATCCAGTTAGGCAAACACATACCTTGATTCCCTATGTTTATTGGATAAACATGGGTCATGTCCTGTTCACTCAAATTTTCTACTGCATCATCCCAACTTCGATCCCTTTACATGTCTCAAATTCATGGACAAAGGAGCTGGTAAATGCATGTGCATCTCCAAAAAATATGGTAACCTCCAGTAAATGAACAGTTCGACTCTGGCAGATAGGGAGTTGGAAGGTTAGTTTCCACTAAGAATGGGTTATTTTCAGGGTCTATGTTAGAGTGCCAAAGGGTAAACGATAGGTTTTGATCCATCCCCATGTTGTGCACCCAGCCGGAGACGTTCACGCGCCTTGGCTTTGGAGAGGAGTTCCTGGCAGGATTTAGAGGTACCCTATTTTTCGGACCCAAAGATTTCCAAAAGGATAGTTGAAAAAAAAATGGTGAAAACAGAATTAACGCATAATCAAAATAAGTTGCTAGATCCTTTAATCACATGTGGTAAATCTGGCATGTTGTGACATACGATGACGCTCCACACTTCACACTTTACGCTTTACACTCCGCACTTTATACTTTACACTCCGCACTTTGCACTTTACACTTTACACTCCGCACTTTGCACTTTACACTCCGCACATTACACTTGACACTTTACACTCACTCCACACTCCACACTTTACACTCCACACTCCACACTCTACACTCTACACTCCACACTTTCCACTTGGAGCTTTACACTCTACACTCCACACTCCACACTTTACACTTTACATTCCACACTCTACACTCCACACTTTACACATTACACTTTACACTCCACGCTTTACATTCTATACTTTACTCCACACTCTGCACTCTACACTCCACACTCCACACTTTACACTCCGCACTCTACACTCCACACCCCACACTTTACACTCCACACTCTACACTTTACACTCCACTCTCCACACTTTCCACTTTGATCTTTACTCGGCAAAAACTGACCATAAACTGTAGTAGTCAGTAGCCTCTGGTAAATGTTTACATAGTTACATAGCGAACTCGAAGATCAAATCATTTAAAATGGCTAGATCAACAAACTAAATGGCCATCTCTACCATAGCAGACTGTTAAATTACCAGCTGGTAAACTAACCTAATTACATATATATATATATAATTATATATATATATGTGGAGAACCTATGAGTTTCTCCCAGGAAACTTGTCAAAAAATTGTTGATCTTCCACATGCTGTTGGTTTACCTGGGTAAACTAACCCAGAGGAGATTCCCTTTCTCCTGCACCTTTTCCGAGCAACATTTATGGAAACCCCCCATTTATATTCATGGTGATTTTCCATAGCAAACTATTCATTTACCGGGTAAAATGTATCTTCATCTCCAAAAAATGATCTGGGTAAATTATATTAATATTTCACTAAGCGGAATTAAGGCCACTTGGGGATGATTTCCCTCATAAACCAGGATTCCAGTAAGGTTGCAGTGAGGTCGCTTTAATTTTCCCAGAACTATGGTAAATGATAGGTTTTGATTCATCCCCATGTTACCCTCTGGTAAACTAACATAACGAACTGGAAAATCACCATTTTTCATGGGAAAATCCACTATAAATGGCCATTTTCCATAGCTATTTTGACATCATCAGAGGGAAAATTCTCCAAAGGCCGCAGCACCTGCAGCAGTTTGTCCATCTTGGAGTTCTCGCGTTCGCCGCTGCGGATTTTTTCGCGGAACTCGACCGCCTTCTGCCGCAGCTCCGAAAGCCTGGGGGGGTTTCAAGCGCCACCCCGGCAAAATGAAAATAGAATGTCTATCCTGTGCATATGTATATATATATATACATAATAATGATATAAACATTGTGTATATATATATATATATACATAAGATATATATATATATACATATGTTTATACATAAATATATGATATATATACACATAAGATATATATATATATACATATGTGCATATATATATACATAAGATAGACATATATATGTATATATGTATTTGTATCTGTATCTGCATATGACTATGTATATGTGTATGTATATGTAAATGTAAATGTGTATGTGTATGTATATGTAAAAGCATGTGTATGTGTGTGTAATTGTGTATATATATATATATCCATCAGTCTATCGATCTAATCAAATCTATCTAATCAAATCTTATCTTATCGAAGCCGAGCCAATCTACTCTTTGCTTATCTATGTAGATACAGCTGTAAGGCTATAGATATGGGTACTGAATATCTGCATCTACCACTCAATCTAAATCCAACTTCTCAACAGCAATAAATAGTAATAAATCACTATAGGATCTATGGATATCTCTATGTATCCATAGATTGGTACCCAATACTGGTAATTTACCATGTTCTAATAATATCAACAATTCTCAATTAAATGTCGATACTGATTGATACACATTACTGTAGATATCTATAGATATATACGCTTATACAAATTGACTATAGATATCCATACAGGATGGTGCCCCCCAGTTATAAGCTGGTTTATAAACCCCCTTAACTAGTTCGTTATATCTACCATAAACCATAGAATTCAGCCACTTATAAGGCAACTGAACGCTATCGACTGGGGGTGCCATCCTATATCATTCAGTTTCCCTATTAAATGAAATTATATAAATGCTATAACATACATACTACATATATATATACACATATCTATATATACATATATATATATATGTTCATATTCATATTTATATTTATTCCAATAATATTCCAATTATGCTAGCTATACGGATAATTATAATCCAATCCATAATATATATTTTCCATAAGATTCCATTATTACTATATAGATATCCATGCTTATAATAAATACTCCATGATATTCTGGATAAGATCTCCATAATATATATATATATACAACAATATATTCCACTACTGGAGATATTCCTCTATAATATGGAACAATATAATGGATAGATACCACGGAAAAATATATATATATGCACTATATTATGGAAGATTCAATATCTATTATGTTCCATAGTATACCATATACCACAATATACACCATATATATACCATAAGATTCCATTATTCTATACCGTCTGGTTATGACTAACATAGCCATGGAAAATCACCATGTTTAATAGGTAAACCATCTATTTCTATGGGCCATCTGTACCATGGCTATGTTAAATAACCAGAGGATATAGTTCCATTATTTTCCATTTACCCTCTGGTAAACTAACAGTTGAAAATGGCCATAGAAATAGTGAATTTACCCACAAAAAATGTGACTTTCCATAGTTTTTTGTAAACGTTTACCAGGCCGGGTATAACTGTATAACTGTTCATGGCCATAACTGTATATATATATATACCATAAGATTCTATAAACCATCTATAAATAGGTAAACCATCTATAAATGGGCCATTTTCAATAGCTATGTTAAAATTACCAGAGGGTACATCCAGTATCATCCAGTTATATATCATTATATCCCCGAGGATTTCCCCATTCATTCCTCCATTGATTCTCCGCTATATCAGCTATAAATCAGCTATAAATCCCATGAAATGCCCATTTTCCTATGGTTTTCCTATGATTCTCCTATGGTTCATTTCCATATCATAAATCGAACCTCCAACGACCGGGCCGTCGGACTGTGCACGCAGCCGCGTCAAGTCCTCCAGCAGGGATTCCTGCAATGGTCGAGTCATGAAAAACGTGTCAAGCGAAAATAAACATCGATGTGGTAAATATGATCTGTATATATTATATGTATATATGTATATATAGTGATATAAATATATTTTTGCACAGCTCATTGGGACTTTCGTCGCTGCTGGCACGTCGGTGAATTCGACCATCCTTCGTTAGGGAACGACTCCCCCGTAGTCAGGTCCTATAGTCGTGCCAAAAGTGCGGGAAATCATCGCACGGCACATGCTCAAAAAATCTGGATCCATTGTCACATCAGAGGATGGGTGATCTCGGAACCAGGTGCAAAATGTCGCTGCTAAAGCGCGATTCATCGAAGGTGGGTACTCCTTGAGCGGGGCTGTACGCCACACACCTTCGGCAGTTTTGCCGATGGCGCTGCGCTTCAGCAGCTCCGATGTAATGTGATGCTCTCTCAGACGTGCTCGTAGCAACGGCAGGTTGAGAGCAAGCAATCTTGTGGGTTTCGGAGAATGCGCTCCGAGAAGCCCTTGCGCAAGGTCAATGACATCGACGCCCTTGAACTGCATGAGAAGGCGCAGAATGGCCAAGCGCCAGATTGAAGGTTTCTCGGCATCCTCAGGTTCCTTGGGGTGCTCAATGACTCCAAAGCCTTCGATGCTGGCCAGCGCGTATAGAGCAGGTCGATCGAGAAGAGCAAAAGGTCGTTGCCCGTCGCCACTTGTTGTGCTTCACGTATACTCAAAGAGTCCAACCCCCACAGATGTTCGCTATCCCGTAGGGGTCTGGGGCCTCGAGTCTGTGGGTCTGCATCAACCACGTGGCGTGCTTGCGACCATGTTTCGCAGGGAGGGCCGCAAAGGGCCCCGCAAACCCAGCCTGAGAGGACGCCGTTGATCCAAAACTCTTGGGTGGATTGAAGTCGTACATTGCCCCACTGCTGATTGATCACTAGGTCAACTGAGACCACACAAAGAGTTGTGCCGTCCGGACAAAGCTGATCAAAAAGTTGCTCCATGTAAAATTGTAGATCTCCTGCTCGTCGTCTTCCGGAGAAGACGTGGAGGAAGATGCGCTCCTTGCTGCGGGGTCGAGGAACTTCAACTCCTTGATTCCGCACCACGGTCTGCGTAAATTCCTGCTCAATCTCACTGAGGGTGGGCAAAGTTTCCGTCTGTCGTGGCGGACTCTGCAAAAAGGGCCAGGTCTCCACGTCACAGAGGCAGTCAATGCTCTGTTGAATCAGGTTTAGCGTACGTTCGTCATGACCAATCTCTGCCTGATGAAGCGTGCGCTGGATGCTCCGCAAGGTTCTCGTACACATAGTCCATGATATAGGAAGGCTTGTGATGATTTTCCTCGCTTCAACTTCGAAGTGTGCAACATCCTTGCCTTCCCACTCCACAATCAGTAAAGACACGGCTTCTGAAAGCTCCAAATGTTCTTGCTCGAAGTCTCGCGGGCATACTATAAGAGGAAGTGGTCCTTCTGCTTGTAGAGGAGGAAGTCGCCCATCCCATGATGTGTGCAACTCTGAGTCTTGCAACGATCCATGTCCAGGTGCTGGTTGGAAATGCACCCTGCGACCAATGAGTTGTTGTCTGCAAAAATCTGAACGGATCAAGTGGCTCTTCAGCTTGCTGTGAGTGAAGTACTCCTTCAAGCAGGCTCCACATTGAGTCCCCTCAATCAACGTACGCACAGGATGGATAAATCCATGAGTTCTGTTCATGTGGGCACCCTCGCCTGCGAGAGTCTTGCAACGCAGTCCGCAAAGCATGCAACCAAAAGACTCAATCGAAGAGGAATCAAAACTCTCCTGCTTACCAGTCGGTCCCCAAACATGTTGTTCTTGAAGCCTGTTGCGGATCCTCAAATGTGCAGCCACGCAAGTGAAGTGTCGTGAAGTGAGAAGAATGGAATGTTCTCTCGCTCTTCTGATCAGTCGTTTCCAATATCCTCTGTGGAATCGCATGATTTCAAGCCAACGCTCAGTGTGCTCGAAGGGGTTGCCCAATCCGCAGGAGTTGGCAAGCTGGTCACCCATCCATTGAAGATCATCTCTAACCAGGTCAAGCCATGCCTGATCTTGGTTGAGCAAGCCCCAGTGAGCCGATGTGCCACTGTTCAGCAGAGAACTCAGGTAGCTGAGTCGCTTGACCCGCAAAAGGACCGCCGGAGCTGGCAGGGTGGCTCTGTGCAGCACCTCCTCATCTGAGATGTGAGCGTCCGCAGGACAGCGTAGAAGTCGCTTGAAGAGCTTGATGATCGCACAATGGAGATATTCTTTGGTCTTCCTGTCCTGTATGCACCAAGTCTCGGCTCCGTAAAGAAGCCGGCTCAGGATGAGGCTGGAGAAGATTTCAGATCTCCTGCTCATGGACAGTGACCCATTCTGGTAGATGAGCTTCCGGTGTTTGTTGAAACTCTGGTGAGCGATGGCAATTCTGCGCCGTATTTCTCTTCGGAGATCTCCTGTGTAGTGTGTCAATCCACCAAGGTGCAGGTAGGAGTTGACCAGGTTCACCTTGTAGATGCCATACTCGCCAAGAGCTGTGATACAGCCAGGTGATTGGGGTCCAAAGAGCTGTTTGCGAAGGCCTGTGTTTTGGCTCCTCTCGGCTTGAAGAGGATCTCAGTTTTCCCTTTGCCCAGGTTCGGAGTCATCGCATGCGACCTCAAAGTATCCAGAATGCTACTCGTGGCAGAGCACAGGTTCTGATGCAGCTCTTCATTGGTCTTTGCAGTCAAAGGAATGGCCAAATCATCCATCCAGCATGGTCCCAGAAGAGTCTGCGATTGCTGGGCTGCATCATCAAACCCTTTTGAGTGCAAATCAATGCTTGGATCCTCCGGGAATGTGGTAAGGATGTTGGCGTGTTCCATCGCAGCTGCAAAGCTCTTGAGGACGCGGGACATTAAATATCCAAACACCACATCAGCATATGAATCGCCGGGGCGTGAGCCATGCTCACATAAATATATATATATTATCTAGTACATCATATGTATATTATATATATATGTGGATTTACTATATATATATACTGATATGGGTATAACGCGTTTCACCGCCCCCACCCAGTCTTTTCAAGTACTCTATATGTGCACGTTTCAGAGATGTTGTGCAGGTTTCAGAGATGTTGTGCACGTGTCAGAGGTGTTGTGCACGTTTCACAAGCCCCATAATAAATATATATATATTAATTATTATATTCTATTATATTATATATTATATATTATATAATATATTATATATTATATATTACATATTACATATTATATATTATGTATTATATATTGTATATTATATATTATATATTATATATTATATATTATATACTATATATTATATATGTATATATATTATATTATATATATATATTATGTTATATTTTATATTATATATATTATATGTTATATATTTTATATATATTATATATTACATTTTATATATTTTATATATATTATATATTACATTTTATATTATATATATATTATATTATATTTTATATATGATATATTATATGTTATATTTTATATTTTATATATTACATATTATATATTATATGTTATATGTTATATGTTATACATATATTATATTATATATACAATATATTATATATAATATATTATATATAACATTATATATAATATATGTATTATATATATATTATATTTATATATGTGTATGTCACTTCTAGTGAAAACAAACTAACTCATATATGTATCTCAATTTCTCAATTCAATAAGATTGCTGTTGAAGTGGGATACTTATGGACTTTGCCAACCGAAACAGCTGAGTTGGATGACCATTGATCATAGAAAACAACAGCTGTTTAAGTGGTATTTGATGATATTCAGTGATCATACCCTCTGGTAAACATACAAAAAACTATGGAGAATCACCAAGTATAGTGAATTTTCCCATGAAAAATGCTGATTTTCCATAGTTATGTTAGTTTACCAGAGGGTAATTTAACAAAAAAAACTGCACTTAATTTCAGAAAAAGTCTTGTGTATCTTTGGGTAAATCTATGACCATTATTTGGAGGCCTACTTCAAGATATCCTTCAGGACTTTTTTACTCCGGGCGATCCAGCGAGGATTGAGGATCTAAATTCTCGACTTATGGCTGAATCAAAATTGGGGATCATCCTTCCTACTTACCCCCCTGGTATATTGACATAGACCCTGGCAGGGGTTGGAAGACGAGTTTTCATTAAAAATTGGTGATTTTCAGGGTCAACAAGTGAATTTACAAGGTGGTATATGGTTGAAGACCGTTATATCACCCTTGTACTTGTGGTTGATGTTGAAGACTGTCTGTCTTGGTCCTTTTTATGGTGGAAGACTGTTTTGCTGTTTTCTTGATTTTTTGATCCCCTGCCTTTGCTGCAACATAAGGCTTTAAGGGTGGCTAAACCCATCTAATCCCATTGAAAGGCTGTAAGAATTAGTCGATCTGCATCAGGATCCCCAAAAATCGCTGGCAATGATCTTCCTACAACTTGGAGCAACCCTGTTTTTTTTTTTGATGAAATCCCCATTTGATCGGTATATCTTCATAAATCCCCATGATACTGATAGGTAACCAAAATAAATAAACACTCCAGTAATCAAACGTGGCTGGGAAATACCTAGCGATGGAGCTTTCGTTCGAAAGAAACTCATCGAGAACTGTATAGAACTGGGGGATTTTAGCCAGATCCGGCCATGGAGCTGCTGAACGCAAGATATATATGGAAAACTGGAAAACAACAATTTTTAAGTTCAGCAAATCAACTATAAATGGCGACGTGCACTAGAAAACTGTTCCATTACCAGCGGGTAAGTTCTAACCTATGTATAGATGTGGAGAATTTATTGGTTTCCCCCGGAAAATTGTTTCCATAGATGTCCCTTTCCCACTGGTTGGTTGATTAATAGAGGGGTTAGAAGAAAATAGAAGAAACCCCTTTAACAGGTAAATGATGATATATGGTATGCCAAACCGGCCCAAACCTATTTTTACCAAACCGGCCCATTATTAACCATTATTAACCATATTACCTAGTATTAATCATATATTAACCGTAGATTATCCATAGATTATCCATAGATCAACCATAGATTATCCATATATTAACCATAGATTAACCATAGATTAACCATATATTAACCATATATTAACCTCCAGCGGGCCCCCCCTAAAACGACCCGCCGCCTCATCTCCTACCGGGCCCCGATCGTCGCGACCCACCGCCTCAGCAAAGATAGAGACTTGAAGCAAATGTGCTATATATATATTATATATCAATGTATTATATATCATATATCATATATTATAAATTATATTTTATATATTATTATATTATTATATTATATTATATATATATATTATTATTATATTATATATCATATATCATATATTATATAGTCTATATTTTATATTATTCATTATATAATTTAGACCATATATTATATATTATATATTATATATTATATATTATATATTGTTTGTATTAAATATATATATATACATATTATATTCTATATAATATATTATATATATATTATATATTATATATAATATATAATATAATATATAATGTAATATATAATATAATATATAATATAATATATAATATAATATATATAATATAATATATATAATATAATATATAATATAATATATAATATAATATATAATATAATATATAATATAATATATAATATAATATATAATATATAATATAATATATAATATAATATATAATATAATATATAATATAATATATAATGTAATATATAATGTAATATAATATAATATATAATATAATATATAATATAATATATAATATAATATATAATATAATATATACTATATTGTATATATTATATCCATTATATAGTCTAGATTATATATTATATATTATATATTATATATTATATATGATATATGATATATTATATATGATATATTATATATTATATATTATATATGATATATGATATATTATATATGATATATTATATATTATATATTATATATGATATATGATATATTATATATTGAATATTATATATTATATATTATCATATTATATATTATATATTATATATTGTATATTAATATATTATATATTATATATATTATCATATTATATATTATATATTTTATATATAATCATATTTTATAGTATATATCAAATATAATATCTTATATATTATATAATTATATACAATATATAATATATAATATATATAATATATAATATAAAATATATTTGATACATAATATATAATATGATAATATGTATAATATATAATATGATAATATATATATAATGATAATATATAATATTGATATATTATATATTATATGTTATATATTATACATTATATATTATATATTATATATTATATATATACCCTCTGGTAAACGTTTACATAGCTATGGAAAATCACAATCTTGAATAGGTCAATCAACTCTCAATGTGCCATGTTTGGGCTTTCACACTTCAGCCAAATCCGGGAGACCAATTCGCGTGGCAAATTGTGATATTTCACCTGAAAAAAAGGAGCTGCCTGATATTTTTTTGGCACATATGTTGACCATCTATCAAAGAAATAACACATATCATATATATATACACATGTAAAAGAAGTGAAAAAAAATATGTCAATGGAAAAAAACATACTGGATGAATTTGGTGATTAACATTCAGCCGACCACACCTTGCCCAACTTTAGAAAGCATAATACTATTCTATATATTGGTATAATATTGTGTTTACCTTGTATGTATATGGTGCAACTATGGTACTATTCTATCAGGATAGCCTCACCCAATGACATGTATCTCTAAAAGTCTAATGATACGCCACCTTATTGACATTCTGAAAAGCATATCTTAATTTTGGGGGCTTGTTGAAAAGATAGAACTGACCAAAAATTGACGATCATTTGGAAAGTGTAGGGTACTCCCAATGGTTTCATGATTGATGGTAGATGGGCAAGGCAGTCGCTGCTAGACCCCAGGTAATTACAGTAGTACAACAACCGCCGCTTGTTGCCCAATCAAAATAGGGCTTTTGGTCACCATTTTTTGCATTCATCTGGCTGAATTAGATTATCATCAGTTATCATCATTTATCATCATTTATCATCATTTATCATCATTTATCATCATTTATCATCCTTCACCAACATGAAAAAGGTAATATCATAAGGTCAGGCGATGATTCCCAATATACCAAAACTAAAAAACTGCAGAGAGGTCACGACGTGAGGTCATGATCAAAGTCATATTGTTGCTTGCACTCTGGTAAACGTTTACATAGCTATGGAAAATCAGCATGTTTAATGGGAAAACCAACTATTTCTGTGGCCATTTTCAATAGCTATTTTGACATAACCAGAGGGTATAGTCTCCCATGATGTGCCTATTCTATAATATATCTAAAAAAAAACATTCATCCCAAAAAAATGTGGTGCCCTCATTCGTATAAATGGATCAATTATAAGCCCATTTTTACTAGTTCGATATATCTACAAGGTGGTGCCCCCATAGTTATAAGTTGGTTTATAATCCCCATTAACTATAGATATAACCCCCATAAACCCTAGTTGTTGGACTTATAAACCAACTTAGCTAACTATGGGGCACCACCTTGACCATAAGTCCTGGCTGGTGAAATTGACCATTCATCCGAAGAGACCTCCCGGGGTGGCCGTCGACCCAAGGCCATGAACCTGGCGTAGAAACCCGGGAAAACGGCTGGCTGGGTTTAATAACTTCAGTATTCATGGGCTAATACTAAAGTAACTTTTAACTAGGCTCCACCTTGTGATTTGATCTATGGGATTTTGAACATGGCCTTCAAATGTTTATTTGAAAAATCTTACCCCTATGGTTGGAGTTGCCTTCAAAATTTGGAAGCCCATTCCATGGAGGAATTTGACCCGAGGCAATGGACATGTGAGAAATGTGGATGTCCACCTTCTATGGGAATAGTGACCTTGGAAATGGGAACTCAATAAAAATCAGCCGTTCAGGCGACGTCAGGCGAAATTGGCAAACCGGGGCAAGTTTGAAGGTCACCAATTTGTTGAAGTTTAAGTATCAATGGGTGCATTTTCCTCCATTTACTTCACCAATCCAAAGGATGCAATCCAGTTTTTGTTGGGTCCAAACCTACGGTTGATCTGCTCAAAATTCAGTAAAGTAACATGTGATTGGATTGTTTTGTTTGAAGCCATACTTAGCCATTCTTTTTATCATCCATCATTAAGTTTCACTACAAATCTCTCTTCAACCCTATTTGCTCGCCGTTTTGTGTATTCAGGTCGCAAATGAAAATCCGACCTGTGGATAGGCTCCAGAAAGGGCACCAAATGCAATATATGCATAGTATCAGTACACATATGTACATGTCTATGTAATTATATTATACAGGTGTATACAGTAGATCAGTGGGTATCAACTTTTCAACATCTACCCTCTGGTTATTCAACATAGCTATGGAAAATGACCCTAATCGAAATAGATGATGTACCATGATGTACCTATTAAAAGTTATGATTTTCCATGGCAGTTAGTCATAACCAAAGGGTAAATCACCGAGAAATCACCGTGACACCCAGATGTGCTCCACTTTGAAACGACGCCAAGGCGAAACGGAACGGCTGGGTCAACGAAGTCGTTGTGGGGCAGCCAGGCTGCAACGATCACGGAAGGACGGGAAAATGTCGGAAAATGTCACTTCAAGCATAGAGATGATGGTGTCATTATGTTATGATTGATTAAAAATGGAAGCACAGAATAATTATGGTGATCACTTTATTCATTATAGTGTTATTCTGTTATCATAATGAAGTACAAAAATGGAAGAAGCAATACTTGAGGTATTGCCAAGAAACTATGGATTATGTCTATATTATCATAGGAAAAACATGTGAAAAAAAACACGTGGTATACTTACTGGTGCTTAGTAGGGAATGAGGGAATGATCCACAATAACTATCAATAATCATCCCATTCCCCCATTCCCATCCATTTCCTACTAAGCACCAGCAAGCCAGTTCTTATCAATATGTATAAATCATATAGACGGAATAAAATATGTATAAATCATTTGTATAGATCTACATGTCTGGGCAAATTATAGTAATTCACTAACCTGAAATAAGGCCATTTTGGGATAATTCCCCGTTCTAACCATGATTCCAGGCTTCGGTCGCGACGTGAGGTCGTTATAATTTACCCAGACATGTCACCAAGTTTCACGGGTAAATCATCGGTAGATCATTGCGGATGGGCGCCATATTTCCCTATTCAACTGCATATGAATCAAGGGAAAGCCCCAAAAATGCCATTATAAAAACATCATTTAAAAAAAAAAAACAAAACTATAAAAAACATGGTTTCCTACATCACAATCATGATACCATACACATGGCTTTGTCTGAAAATATGGCACCCTGTTCTGTTCAGTGGTTAATCATCATGTTCTTAGTCAAAATAGTTACTTGGGGGATACATGCCATTTCCAGACACTCTCACATTACACGCTTGGTTCTGAACCGTAACTGGATGTAACTGGTAGTTCTTGGCACACCCTCTCGGACTTTCCCATCCTGCGCAGCCCCAGCATGGCATGGCTGATCGAGCTAGAGCAACAGACGAATTCTTGACGCCAAGTTGGGAAACTCACCATACACAAATCAGTCACACTCCGTTGATTTGCCACAAAATGGGGCCTAAATGTCCTCCATTTCTGGACTTCTGAACCGCCAAACAAAGATGATTTTGCCATTGGCTCTGCGAATTCTGGCACTGCTGAGGAGAAAAGCCCAACCAATAGAACTGACTAGGAGTTAGGTACAAAATGACATCGCTTTTCCCGAAAACTGTTTGAATATGTTTGAATTACTTCACCGAAATGGTAAGTCCACATCAAGAAACAAATGTGTCGGATGTGTTTTACTGGTATATGTACCAAAGCAGTTTGTTGCAACCAAGTATTCAATTCAAAATCGCTGGCCAAATGCCCAATGTTCACAGGCTCATTGCTAGCGGCTAGAAACTTGCCACATGGGAGGTTCTAATTATATGTTAGTGGAGTATGGGCAAGATCGAACCATTGTGCACTTGCTTTGCCTTCCCTCGTTGTGAATGGCTTCCACAACAAAACAATATGGGAGCTGTTTCACATATATAGCTCCCAAGACGAGTTCCAAAAAGACATGTTTAGCAACACCAGCATCTGAAGTTTTGCTATGGATATGCCAAGAGGAGTTAGCTGCAGAAAAATCCTTATGCATCTTACGGGGGCCGACAGTTCACCATGAAGTCATCCGGCCAACGGGCCAAGACTTCTGGTGAAAGAATGAGCTGGGAGGAGTTATGTGGGGCTTTCCACTTAAATGCTGCTACAATAGCTGGATGGTTTTCAACATGGAAAATATCATCAAAAATTGGATGATAACAGGGGTACCCCTATGACTTAGGAAACCTCCTGGTTACTCCAGTGGAACCGGAAACCGTAAAAAATTCTCTGCAAATCCATTCCTTCCATAGGCGAAGAAATGATCTGGGTGGCTCAGGCGCCCATGTGAGAAAAGGACATGGACTTCTGTGAAAAACATGTATGCCCAAAAAAATACATTTTAATAGGGAAAATGATCATTAACCAGTGGATTTAGACAAGTCCATATCAGCCAGGTGGACTTCAAAACCAAAACCCTCCAATCCGAGACCATACTGGCATCTCAGGGCACTTTTTGTGGAGTTCATCCTCTTGGTTAGCGATTTGTGTATCTTTGTGTAGTGAAAATGGGCCCCGCATTTTCCATTCCAAAATTCTTCTGGTTGGTGGTTTCAAGCCTACCCCTCTGAACAATGATGGACTTCGTCAGTTGGGATTATATTATTCCCAGCTGAAAAAAAAACATGTTCCAAACCACCAACCAGTATATATATATATACAGTATATATATATATACCATAGAATTCATAGAATCCACAGTTTTGATGGTAAAATCTCACTAACTTGGTTTGTGGATATTTTATTACTGGAACTCATCTGATTTGCAGCCAATGCTTGAAAAATGCTGCGAAAGATCCGACGCCATCCCCCAGTTCATCACTGCCGTGATGATTGGATTCCTGGGTCAAAGTTTTTCTGCTTGGAGGATGATGACCACAGAGGATTTAAGTTCGTGACCGCAGATCTTCTTGCTGACAAAATTGATGGATAAATGGATGGTTCATCAAATACATGACTGGTTGGTGGTTTTTCGCCTACCCCTCTGAAAAATGATGCAGTGAAAGTCAGTTGGGATGATGACATTCCCAACTGAATGGGAAAAAAACATGTTCCAAACCACCAATCAGTGTTAGATAATGATCACTATTATGATATAGATATATCTAGATATATCCCATGATCATAATATCCCATATCATGGCAAAACCGTGGAACATGTGACATTTTAAATGGAGGATTTCTCGTTATTTCCGGCGTTTCTACTCCATGGATACAGTATTCATGGAAATCCCGATAGCCTGATAGGGCAGATCTCTCTTGTAGGTTTACACATTCAAAAAGCACCGAATGACATGGTGCTTTAACCCCATCTATAGTTAAATCCATAGTTAAATCCTAGTGATTGTAGTTATTAGCATGACTTAGCTATCGACCGCAAGCCCCACATGGTAGTAAAATTGGCGAATTTTTACCCAATTTTTTTCTGGGACGACTTTGTTCGGGTCTAGGTCTCAGTGATTGTCCCAAACGCTTAGCTGGAAGTAGATCTCTGCTGTTTTTTTTGGTGCTAAATCTAAAGGTTTTCATGTGGGCAAAACAATGCCATAAACCAGCCATGACTGGGAGTGGTAACCATACCACCTATATATTTATGATGATTTTCCTGGGGGATTATTCCAAGATTACCCGGCCTGGTAAACGTTTACACAACAATGGAAATATTCAAACTTTTCATGGCTAAATATGGCTAAATCAACATAAATCAACTATGTAACTATGGTCATTTTCAAGTTCGCAAACTGAAATCGTCATTACCAGAGGGTAGATCTTCGGACTCGCTCCAGGGAAGATCGGACTCAAAACAATTCCTGGTTGGCGGTTGACCTGCCCATCTTGAAAAATATTAGTCAATGGGAAGGATGACATCCCATACCCATAGGATCCATGTATGGTATATTTACCCACAAAACTGGGTGATTTTGTTCGGGCAAATGGACAGGTAAATATTCCAGCACCATGGATCCTATGGGATATCCCATATATTTAGTCAGTTGGGGCTACTATTCCCAATATGGTTACTATTAATCAATGGGAAGGATTATCCCATACTAGCACTATATGAAATGGAAAATAATCCATTCATGTTCCAGTCACCACCAACCAGATTCTCGTCAGGTGGACTTTGCATAAAAACCCTCGTTTTTGGGTCGTAACTCGCAAACATCCAGCGGCTGCGCCATCCGGAAACGCGTCGTTAAGTGGTGGAATCCACACGCCGATATCTGACCCAGCAAGGGGGCCGGGAATCGATCCGAAAATCGAGTTGTTGCACTCAAAAGCCACCAATACATTCTGTTGCTTGAGATGCAGCCGATGTGCAGTAAATAAAGTCACCTGCAGTTAGAAATTCACCAGTTTCGTAGGGGGTTTTATCATAATTCTTTTTTGTTGCCAAGATGCCCAAGATTCGAATGACACTTTCCTTACCATCTTGGCCATGTATATGAGAAATCCACCTTTCGATATGCGATAGATCCACCAGCAGCTTACAGATGACAGAGTTCACTACATGTTTTCCCGTATTTCCGTTGCTGAAATCACAACGTTTAACGATTTGACCAGTTAAATCACAGCTCGTTTCAACTCCATGTTCGAAGACAGAAATCAACCATTTTTTGCTGCTGAAATCCAGATGTTCTGCGGTGAAACCCTCCATTTTCTCGCGTTTCCGTTTCGCGGAGACCGCGTTCAGAACTGCTCCGTTTCGCTTTCCGCCTCAAAAAAGGTCAGGATTTCAGCCGCAAAAACAAGTACAGTGTATATATATATATTAATATATTACAATGGGATTTAGTGGGATTCAATGGGATTTAATGGGATTCAATGGGATTTAGTGGGATTCAATGGAAATGGGGGTTTTCTCACCAACTGAATATGATGTGAGTCTGATAAGGAAAAAACCTTCGAAATGGCCATAGGGAAAATGATGACTAAGCAATGGATTTCGAGGCGCCATATTAGACAAACCCATGGTGCAACATGGTGCAACACTACTGGTGCTAAACGTAGGGAATGGATGGTTGCTGGGGGTTGCTGGAATTATTATTGATAGTTATTGTGGATCATTCCCGAAAATTCCCTACGTTTAGCACAAGTAAGATTATGATGGTTATCCTGGTTCATTTGTGGTGACAACTGTTTCGAGTATGATATAGTATGATTATGCAAAAGGCAAAAGGATCTGTGATTTTTGTAATGATAATTTTGGGAAGATGTACCCTCTGGTTATTTAACATAGCCATGGAAAGATCCACCTTTTTTAATAGGTAAACCATCTATTTCTCTCTATGGGCCATCTGTACCATGGCTATGTTAGTCATAACCAGATGGTAAGCATGTTGTGTTGCATATTAGTGTCCACCTTAAACATTCCCAGTAGGGAACTCCACGGAGATCGGGAAAATTCGATCGCTTAAAAAGTGGATGTGACCGAATGCCAATTTTACCGGAGGGTGACATAAGTATGAAATATGTAACGAATGAACAAATGATGCAATAAATGATATGGATTTCCATTTTATGTCGTTTCGTTGGTCATATTTCCAAATTCATGAACATGTTCCTTGGCAATCTGTAATAACTATGATAATAGTAATAACAATATGAAACATGTGGAACCATATGACATATAATCTAATGTAATATGTAATATTAGTAGGACAATTTATATATATAATGTACAACAGGGATTAATACCACATAAACATTCAATACCATAGTGGTAATAGTCTGAAGTACCATATATCAGTGCTAAATACTAACAATAGTATTAACAATGATGTAAAAAACATATTAATTACAATGATATATGGTACTTAATAAAATGGTAAATACTGAAAATAGTACTAAAATGTGCTAATATATAATACTGATTGGTAGACTAGTAACTAAGAAGGTTATCAATAATGGCACTTAACAAGACTAACTAATAGTGATAAATGGAAGGTACTACTAATAAAAATGATAACATATGATAACACTAATAATAATAGTAGGAAGGAAGGATGATGATATTAATAATATTAATATCAATAATATCAATCAAAAATGATAGCTTTTCTTAAACATCATCTTTCAGAGGTAAATCATGCAAATTCGTGGGCAATCTCCTATCTAGCTCGGATTTCACGGAGAATTTGGAGTGGAGAAATCATGGTGCTGGAATATGCAGACCTGTCCATTGGCCCTTGTCCAGAATCACCCAGTTTGTGACGGTAAATATACCAGCACCATGGTTCGCTCTTTTGGGATAGGAAAAAGTATGACAATCCCAAGGGACAAGGTAAAACCCATGGTAAAACCAATACAAGGGACAACTCATTTGGGACTATGGCACCCACCAATCCCTGAAAAAAAATACAATCTGCTACCAGAGATTGGTTCAACATGGACATGGGTCAGGAAAACTTTTACCTTGGTGAATATGCGAACAATTGCAGGGACCGAATGGTCCATGTTGGATGTTGATCTACCCCATTTCAAAACGAGTTGGGATTTGATATCCATTTTGAACAGGCTTGGTTGATTTCCAAACATTTTGATATCCATTTTGATATCCATTTTGATATCCATTTGGGATTCGAAGCAGAGTGATGTAGGCACTGCTTACTTGGGAACTACACCCAGAAGGACAACTGGAGATGATTTTCCACTAGGCTCCGCAAAATTGGGAGTGTGAAAAATATTCGATTTCAGGTGGGTTTCTCCTTTATATCCTATATATATATATGTATATATAGTATGTATACTGCATATATCATATTCATATAATGATCTATTACAGTCCAATATCGAATATATCTCATGGAATATATTCCATATATCATGGTGGTTTTCCGTAGCTATATGAACAATTGTAATTCAACCAAATAGATATCATATACATCCATATTATTATATATATATATAAGTCCTAAACAGGGTCCATTTAGTTGGACGATGTGCCTATATGATATTCATCTTCATGCTAAACCCAGGGTATGAAAATAACTATTAATACATCATATACCGTCATATTATACCTATAAATGTCCCATGTTATTTGCCTATATTATACCAGTATTAATAACATCCCATGGTTAAACACATCAAAACTCTTCAATTCAGTCCCCAAAGGTCCCAGATCACACGAAGACGATGTAGACTGGTCATGTTGAACCCTAAAAAAAAACGGGATACCCATGGTTTACCCTCTGGTAATTTAACATAGCTATTGAAAATGGCCATTTATAGTGGATTTTCCCATTTAAAATGGTGATTTTCCCATAGTTATGTTAAATTACCAGAGGGTATACATTCTTAATCATTCTTATACTATCATTGTTTGGTATTTTCCAGTGAAAGCCACACAATTCTTGTCGATTAAATCGCGTTGCGATCGCCAGTTTGAAATCAGAAAATTGTGTTGGTGAAAGTTTCTCAATCTCACCTTTACCCTCTGGTTATGACTAACATAGCCATAGAAATCACCATGCTATTAATAGGTAAACCATCTATTTCTATGGGCCATGGCTTAATCATGGCTATGTTAGTCATAACCAGAGGGTACTTATTAGGGAACAAAAAAACCACCTGCTGGTTCAACGGCGATTTTGGTTGCTTAAAAATCATCAGACAACGTGATCCACGCCCCTTGGGATCAAGCATCTGCTGGCGGTTGCACCGCTTGTAGCGGGTGGGAAGAAACGACTCTTGCGCCTGAGTGTGGCGTGGTCACGGTGAGAATTCATGATCAATCTGGGTAAATTATAATATTTCACTAACCTGAATTAAGGCCATTTGGGGATGATTTCCCCTTATTAACCATGATTCCAGTGAGGTCGCAGTGAGGTCGTTATAATTTACCCAGATCAATGTCATCGCAACGTGGTCATCGCTGATCCAGAAAGATCATCATACATATATACCTGGTTGGTGGTTTTTCGCCTACCCCTCTGAAAAATATGACGAATCGTCAGCTGGGATGATGACATTCCCAACTGAATGGCAAAATAAAAAATGTTCCAAACCACCAACCAATTGTTCTATGTGTTTTTTAATGTATATGGAGATGGCACTTACCACAATTGCGAGTTTTTTTCATTGGGATATGTTCTGGGATTTTTTGGTCAAGCCACTCGTCATATCACACGTCTCATGCTTGGCTCATAGAGATTAATGTCAACACCCCCCAGGTTGCCCAAAAATTGGGTGGCTAAAAAGTTGTTGAACTCTCCGGCAATCAAACATAACAAAACATGGCAATGGAAAATCCAGCATGTACCCTCTGGTAAACGTTTACATAACTATTGAAAATGGTGATTTAGTTCAACGTTTACCAGGCCGGGTATGCCATGAAAAACCTCTATTCATTTCGAGGATGTTCCACGTCTGACTGGGGTTACCCGGCCTGGTAAACGTTTACATAACGAACTGGAAAGATCCACCATGCTATTAATGGGTAAATCAACTATAAATCACCATTTTCAATAGCTATGTTAAATTACCAGAGGGTATTCCGTTGTATTGATATCCCATTATATCAGCACTTGCAATCTGGTTATGACTAACAGTTTGCGAACTGGAAAATCCATGAAAAATTGAGGTTTCTAGCTGGGAACATCATCTCTAAATGGGCCATACTAGCTATATACTGGTTGGTGGTTGAGCCTACCCTTCTGAAAAAGATGAGTTCGTCAGATTGGATCATCATCCCAACTATTGGGGAAAATAAAATCCATGTTCCAAACCACCAATCAGTATATAGATGTGGATAAATCTCGCAACATAACTTCGTGTGGTGATAGTTATTGTCCCGTGAAAAATCCATTGATATATCCCCACAAAGTCGCCTGGAAAATTATCCCGCCCTCAATTTGTCAATGCTGCCCATGTATTCTCATGGTAATTTGCCGATGGTTTCCCAATCTTTGATGGTTCAATCAAGGTCAATCCCCCAACAACATCTAATGTCTGGTGATTTAACATAGCTATAGAAAAAATCATAACTATGTTTAGTTATGTTTAGTACATACAGTTATATAAGATTCATCCTAAATAGGGCTTTCCGAAAAATGGGGTAGCCCCATTTTTCGAAACCATCCAGCTATTGAGTTGTTTGTTACAGGATCGATCTCGAAGCTGAGAAGAGAGTCCATCGATGTTCGAAATGATCAGCACCTCATCCTTTTGGGCCTCAAAGGTTGGAAAGCAATGGAAAGCTGGGAATTTTTCAGGCAAATGATCATCTAGAACAGCCAGGGAATAAGTTTCTAGTTCATGTTCATGTTTGATTTCTTGGATCTTAACTGGAGGAAGTCATGTTAGTGAGTGAAAATCTTGGATCAATTCCGCGGAGGCTTCACCAACAATCAAAATCCATGGGTTTTCACCGGGGAAAAAAATGACTGGTTTAAGCCCCACATGAAATCATGGGAAAATACCGAGGGAATTTCCGGTGTAAAGATTTTCCCAAGAAAACCTTAATCCATTGAAACAAGGATCCAGATGTGATACAACGTCTGAGGGTGTCATGGAAAATCCTAGACACACGGAGTGTAGATCAGCTGAGGATTGTCCGTGGCCTTCGTACCATTAAAAAAATATCTGTTCTTTGCCAAAACAACTTGGTTTACCCAAAGAAACTGTTTTGGGGGGGTCAAATAATGATGTTTTTTGCATGCCCTATTATATAATAGACAAGTGAAATCCGTACTAACATAATGTTCCTGGTAAAGTTCTGTTCTATCTTTGTGGGGGGGGGGGCCTGGGGGCCCCCCTCCCAATGTACACTGGCCACTGCTCACCGTAAACCCCTAGTCAGCTTGATTTGGGTAGATAGACCGCTAAATACTCATCAGTTTTCATATGATTGGGATGGGTCAAAACCCTGGCACCTAGTGAACATCAAAATAGCTGGTAAATGGATGTTCATCCCACTAAAAATGGTATTAATAGGTATTGATCCATACCCATATAATCATATTACATACACCCCAAGACTAAGCCCCCAATTCACAGATTCGGTACTAAACCCTTTTTTGGGGGGTGGTACTTGATATTCAGAGGAATGGATCTGGCGCAATGAATTGTGCCGACATTAGGAGCTTGGGGGTCTCAAATCTTGATCAATGCAATCTGGTTATCTAACAGTTTGCGAACTGGAAAAGCCATTAAAAATGGAGGTTTCTAGCTGGGAAAATCATCTGTAAATGGGCCATACTATCTATATTTGTAGATGATTTATGATGGTTTACCTATCAAAAGTGTGATTTTCCATAGCAAACCGTCAAATCACCAGAGGCCATCTTCGAAAACCCAGCTGCACTAGTGTCACCCGGATAGGTCTGCCGACACAAAGGACCTGTCAGAGAAGAAAACAGAAGATCCCGAAAGGCTTGGAGATCCTTGTGTGTGTTTGTTCAGTTTGTTCCATCGGCTACAGAAAATGAAGAACCATTTTGTTGGTGGGTTCATTTTCGACTGAGCCAAACACTCACCCCCAGAATCTGAAAAGTTAAACAATGTCTATCATTTTAGATAGTTTTAACTATCATTTTAGACATAGTTGTTTATCATGGTTTTGTTCATGTCTAACTATCATGCTGAAACAAGTTTGTTTGTCCACATGAAAATACGGGTGTCTGGAGCTATCACTGGAAGTATCATGAACTGATAGCTATTGGAACTATCATTGAGGACCTATTATTGGAGCTATCTTTGGCTATCATTAGTATATATATATATTTATTTATATATACATGGATATTATCATTAATAGGGGCGTTTTCAAAAGTATGATGACGTGTCTTCGCTTTGCTTTGCTGCCAGTTGATGGTGAAAGCTGATGAATAGAGAGCACTTCTAAAATGATGAGAAAGCTGCAGGAAAATTATGGAAAAGAAGGAAAACAAATGTAATGATACATTAATTTGGAATTGACGCCGTTGGAACATGATAAGAGAATGAAAAAACCGACATGATACAAAATGAAAACAAACATAGAAATTATGATGTTGTTATCATTCTTTGTTTATGATGATTGCCGCATTTCTGACATTGATACACACCCTGCGTTTGATCATTTGGTTAATCAAGTGTATCATGTTATCTTATTTTCTTTGATTTGTGTATTAGTGTACTCCTGTCGAATCTGTACAAATGAAAATAAAACAAAATCATGCGTTTCATATCGTTTCATGTAGCAGTTGAGAATCACGGATTTGACTTGGTGACTGGGGTCTTTTCAACAATCTGCTCTGGTGAATCAGCCAGGTCTCAAATGTCATCGGCTCCATGGCTATCCGTGTCCCCTGGGAAAAACATCGGCTGGAGGGTAGGTACCATGAGATTTACCATGAGATTTACCTCATAGCTTCCAAGTTTGCTATCTGTTTTGGATTTCCGTTACCCTGGGGTTGCTACAGTATCTATAAAAAAAACGGATTTTCATCAACTCAGTTGGTGAATCGGGGCTGCTCCTACCTCAACGAATGCCGTTTTGATCGGTACGTTTCCCCTTTCGTAGAATGGGACATTGCTGCGTTCACAAAAAGATCACTTGCTAAGTGCCACATCCATCCTGCCATGTCTGCCATGTGGCATTGTATCCTCCTTTGTTGGATGCCATACCCTCGCAAGTCAGACCACAGGCTGACCGGCTTGGGTGAGGGTATACCGCAACAAATGGTGGTGTGTATTTGTAAAAAAAATGTATATAATTTAACCAACCATGGATGGGGAAACTAGAACCAGAATGGGATTTGTTTATGATATACACCCTTTATCACCCTTTTTTGGTCTGATGTTTGGGTGCGTCTCTTGGCAAGCAGTGAAAATGATGAGAGACCGACGAGTGGATGGAAATTTGGGCGGGGCACTGGTAAAGTGGTTGGTGGTTGACCTACCCCTCTGAAAAATGATGGAGTGAAAGTCAGTTGGGATGATGACATTCCCAACTGAATGGAAAAATAATCCAAATGTTCCAAACCACCAACCAGTCATGAGAAGATGGGAAAAAACCTCCAAATATGCGACAGTCAGATCTTGTTTGTGATGCCATCCCTGCAAGTGTACTCGCATGGTCACAACAAAAAACGTTAGGCTCTGGATGTATGTGTATAATATATATATACAGTTATTATATATATAGATATAGTTGTTATATTGTTAAAAATATATATATATAGTTATTATGTGTATATATATAGTTATTATATATATATATATAGTTATTATATATATATAGTTATTATATATATATGTATAGTTATTGTGTATATATATAGTTATTTTGTATATATATAGTTATTATATATATATAGTTATTATAATATATATATATAATTATTATATATAGTTATTATATATATAGTTATTATATATATAGTTATTATATATATAGTTATTATATATAATAACTATATAGTTACTATATATATATAGTTATTGTATATATATATATAGTTATTATATATATAGTTATTATATATAATAACTATATAGTTACTATATATATAGTTATTATATATATATAGTTATTATATTTATAGTTACTATATATATAGTTATTATATATATAGTTATTATATATATATATAGTTATTATATATAATAACTATATAGTTACTATATATATATAGTTATTGTATATATATAGTTATTATATATAATAACTATATAGTTACTATATATATAGTTATTGTATATATATATATAGTTATTATATATATAGTTATTATATATATATAGTTATTATATATATAGTTATTATATATATAGTTATTATATATATAGTTATTATATATATAGTTATTATATGTTATTATATATATATATATAGTTATTATATATATAGTTATTATATATATATAGTTATGGGCCCCCTATCCCAACTATTATAGGGCTTGTGTGGTTATGACCATGGTTATAGCCATACTATGTAAGCCCGACTGCACCCCCAAGTAGTGAATATGCTACATACTGATAGTAGGAGTCGTTGTTTGCTATTGGACAAACCAGCGCTAGAGTCCGCCGTTTTCACCTTCCATTCAACGGGTGTTTTCGGCCAATCCACCCGCCTGAGACGCACCATTCCAAGAAGCAAGGCTTGTGATATCTGTGGCCTCAAAAGTAGGTGTTGGGATGATGCCGGTGAATATGACCCCTTTAAATGGGCAAAAGAAGTGTCAAAAAGTGAGAACATGGGAGGGATTTGGAAATTGCAGTTCCAGTTGTAAGATTTGTAAGTGGATCTTCATATTTTTTTTCCCATTCTGCCGGCCAGAGATTCATCTCGTGCGGACTAGCATGCTAAATTCAGAAGTGGATGTTCAAAACACATCGAAACCATCGTTGTTGGGCGTCTCTCCCAACTTGCGCAGGTCGAAAAAAATCTTAGTTTCACCATCGATTCATTGCTGGACGAGCCATGGTTGATCTAAATACTCTCCTTGGGGAAACATATGGTTTAGCTGGGCAGCGTACTCCGATGGCAACAGAGATGCCAACCGACCAAACTCAGGTTTACCCACTTGCTTTAAGGCAATATCTCCATCAAATGGTGCTTAAATACCACTTTTGTTGAAAATTTCCTCATTTATGGAAGAACATATTGCCCGAATACGTGGCTCGGGCCAGAAATGGGCTATTGCAATTGGGAAAATGATGAACTCTCAACCCCTGGACTTTTGGACATCAATCTATAATTTTTCTTGACTTACCTGAAAAATTCTGTTCACCAAGGTGTCCCCGACATTTTCCTGGATGTTCTTACTTTGTGGGTGTTGCATCGGAGTCGTTGGATCGGAATCTATCGATTTCTCACATTCACCGGGCGGCCGCAGGGCAAGGATTGGATGTGCTTCCTCCCGCGCTTGCCGCAAGGAAGGTCGCTCAGGCAGATCGCACACGTGCACGCCTCTCAGGCAAGGCATGGGCGCTGTGGAAAATCACCATGTGGTGACCAACATCTACATGTCCCATGGCAAAAAGAAATAGCTCAGGTACACATATAATTTAACAGAATTTAGCCATACTTAGGCCATAGATAAACATCATTGGCAATGATGATAGCAACATAATCAGCCATAACAAGCATTGAAAACATCCCTCATCCAGGCCTGCTCGTGATCCAGCTCGCTACTGGATTTCGGCGCAGATGCGAACCTTTTTGCGAAGCGGTGGCCCCATGTCACCCGGCAACTGGTCGATGGTATCAAGCCATGGTCACGGGGATAATCCAAGTATTCCTCCCGTTCCCAAAACTTAGCTCATTGAACCAACCCTTCGCCAGGCTTTTCTAGAAAGTTGTGGGTTACAAACCAAGAAAAATGGGGGTTGAGAGCTGCAAAAGTTGGATTTGAAGCCAGAACTTGCATGATTTGGGATTTATTGAATGCAACAAAAACAGGTTTCATTGGATTTTTATCTGAAAAACCAAACAAGCATGGAAACCCTTTTCTCATGTACACTTTTCAGATCACCCTACAGTATAATCCCCGAACTAATCATCAACCAACAGCGGGGTCAACGTAGCCACTGCTCAGTGAAGCCATGGCCATTGAGTCCCTTGATTTCCCCAAAATGGTGATGGTAAACATGTTAGGTTACCCTCTGGTAAACTGTTACATAATATATGGTTATTATATGGTTAATGATCTTGAATAATATGGTTTATCAATGATTACTGCGCAGGGTGGTTGACCTAGCCCTCTGAAAAATGATGGAGGACTCGTCAAATGGGATGATTTTTATTATTTCCCAACTGAATGGAAAAATAAAATTCATGTTCCAAACCACCAACCAGTTATGATTAGTTATGATATATATTCGGACAATACACTCTATGTATTTGCCATTAGGATATGGAAAAACCCATGAAAAATAATTAATTATGGGGATTCCCCATGGGAATAACATATCCCCATAGTATATCCACATGAAACATATCAACGTTGAGTAAAATAGAATGGAACATGATTCCCCATGGGATATCATTATTGGAACAGGTAATATCCCAGTGGATAAATTATTACTGATTAACCATTAACCACCATTATTAACCATAGATTAACCACTATATTAAGAACTATTGACCACTATAAACAACCATGAACAATATCAAAATGTTCCAGTCACCACCAACCAAATGAATATAGGTTAACTTATGGTTATATATTCCCAACCAGTTATGTTACCCTCTGGTAAACTAACATAGCTATGGAAAATCACAATTTTTAATGGGAAAACTCACTATAAATGGCCATTTTCCATAGCTATCACCAAGCCTTTCACCAGGCCACGACTCTAGGACCTGCAAGGCAAACTTCTTCCGCAGCCGCTGCGGATCTAGAGTTCCTTCCTGCACAAGGAAGTTACACAGCAAAAAGTGTGGATTGTTTTACACCAAAAACATCTTATTCATAGATATATGCAGATATTTATGGTGATATTTATGGTGATATTTATGGTGATATTTATGGATATGTATGGATATCTATGGATATTTATGGATATTTATGGATATCTATGGATATGTGTAGATATTTATGAATAGTTATGGATATTTATGGATATCTATGGATATTTATGGATATCTATGGATATGTGTGGATATTTATGGATATCTATGGATATTTATGGATATCTATGGATATGTGTAGATATTTATGGATATCTATATATGGATATTTATGGATATCTATGGATATGTGTAGATATTTATGGATATATATCTATGGATATTTATGGATATCTATGGATATTTATGGATATCTATGGATATGTGTAGATATTTATGGATATCTATGGATATTTATGGATATCTATGGATATGTGTAGATATTTATGGATATATATCTATGGATATTTATGGATATCTATGGATATCTATGGATATCTCTGGATATGTGTAGATATTTATGGATATCTATGGATATTTATGGATATCTATGGATATCTATGGATATGTGTAGATATTTATGGATTTTTATGGATAGTTATGAATATTTATGGATATTTATAGATATTTATGGATATCTATGGATATGTGTAGATATTTATGGATATTTATGGATATTTATGGATATTTATGGATATGTGTGGATATTTATGGATATTTATGGATATTTATGGTGATTTCACAAAAATGGTAGGAAATCCCTCCATAAAAATCATAAATCCTCCAGAAAAATCATGATCCCCATTGATCCTCCATCCTCCACAAATCTCCCCACTTTTTCCGCCTCCAAATCGCCAACACTGAGACAGAGATGCGCTCGCCACCAGAGAAAGACCGAGGTCAAGGTGATCCAACACGAGAAACTGATGGCCGTGACCAGCGCCACCCTACGCGCTACCGCAAAAACGAAGCGAAGTCGTGCCGGGGGTGAGATTTTGACATGGTTACCCTCTGGTAATGACTAACAGTTTGCTATTGAAAATTGCCATAGAAATAGTGAGTTTTCCCATTAAAAATTGTGATGGTTCATTGTTATGTTAGTTTACCAGAGGGTATTTTGTATAGTTCTATGACTGGTTGGGTGTTTCAACCCCTCAGTTGGGATTATGAAATTCCCAACTGAACGGAAAAACATGTTCCAAACCACCAACCAGATGAATATAAGTTAACTTATGGTTATATATTTTATGTGTGACATGATTATGGTTTTTGTGTGTAAAGGTATGATAGGTATGAATATATCTATCTACGTGTAAATAACTACATATGTATATGTTATTCATATATATATATATTGTATGTATATATAAATATATATATAGTTTGTTGTAAACAACAAACATGGGACCAGGGCGTCAAATCCCAGACCAGAAAACCCAAAAACATCGGACGTAAGCAGCCCCCAAATTTTCAGAGATGGTCATTGTTGGGTTTACTGCGCTAAGGCATCAAAGGTGAAATCCCAGACCTAGTGGTGCGGCAAACGTATTTCTGATGTTCCCTCTAAACGTTGTATTTTTTGCTGGTTGTATCCGTATCCGTTCTTTTTTTTAATACCCTCCAGCAAAACTCACATAGCTATGGAAACTGATTGTAAAAGTAGACAATTCTTGAATCTCCACTGTTGATGCAGCGATTTTTTTGATGTTTGAATCTCATTCTTGGTTCAATCATGTCAAATCCCAGGTTTTTTTTCCACTGTTTACTGGAAACTGGACCTGGACTTCTTCTGGTGCTTAAAAAAAAACACATCCTCCTGTCCTCAGGACAGCCCTACACTTCCTGCAGAGCGCATTTCTTGCAGCTACAAACCACATTTCTTTGAGTTTTCTGTCGATTCGGAATATGTTTATTTATGTCTATTGAGGTTTCCGAAAATGGGGGTACCCCTAAAACAACCATTTTAATGGGATTTTCCATTACAGTATAAACTTTAAGAAACCATCCATTTTCGGGTATCCCCATTGATGGAAACCTCCATATATATCTCAATATGGAACCCATACTTTTTTCTTCCATCTATGTCCATTTAAGATCATTTAAGGATAGAGATGGAAAGACGCTGACTATGACGAAAATAGATGAAGGACTTACATGCGAATGTGCGAATGTGGTAATTTGGGGATGGGTCAAAACCCTGGTACCTAGTGAACCCCAAAATAGCTGGGATTTATGGATGTTCATCCCACTAAAAATGGTATCTATAGGTATTGACCCATACCCATTTGTTTATTCCTGAAGATCGATTTCGTGATTGTCCCACCATCTCCTCGTTGACGGTTTCTCAAAAATGTGCCGAGACACCACATCGTCAGCTCGGCCGTCATGGGCTGCCTGAGAATCGCTGGGTTTTTTAAGGATTAGTTAATGGCCCATTTATAATGTTGATTTACCGATTTACCTATCAAAATATATTTAAAAATAGTGATTCAATAGCCATGTAAACATTTACCAGTGGTTATTTCATGGTTGTGTTTTAGGTCCTCCCATGTTCGAAAGATTTCGACCGGAAAGCCTAGTTGTTGCAGCATTTTTCTCCCAGAAATTCGCCACCAATGAGTGACTACTCTTGAGTAGTGATAAATACCCTCTGGTTATTTAACATAGCCATGGAAAATGGCCCATTTATAGATGGTTTACCTATTAAAAATGGTGATTTTCCATGGCTATGTTAGTCATAACCAGATGGTAATTATTCGAACACCCAAAAAGATAGAAGTTGGTAAAATCCTTGTAAAACCTAGTAGAAATTCGGTGGAAGATTTGGTTGGTGAATGATGGCCGGGTGTCTCTCAAAATTGGGAAAAAACTACCCCAAAATGGTCAGTTGTACAATGTTTCATGGGGAGATTATGATGAACAACCAATTTTAGGTGTAACCCGTTTGCAAACAACCCCATTGCTCTTTAGTCATGATGAGCAATTACTCTTTAGTTATTTATATAACTACCTACCAAGCATCACCACCCGATAATTATGATATGACGGTAGTGACCTTGATTGCCAGGAACGACATGTTTTTTTGCCACAAACGGCCATGGCGCCATGGCCGTTTGTAAAACACGGGGGTCTGGGTGCCATAACCTTAGTAACTTAGTCATCTTCACCATCTTCTCCATACCTGATGAAATCATAGCTATGACGGTTGGAAGTAAACGTCATGGATGGCTTGGAAAACTAGTTACCCAGTTCCCATGCCATATGAAAATGGGATATAATAGGTCTAATATGATACTGGTTGGTGGTGCCACCAAACCATCTTGAAAAATGATGGACTTCCTCAATGGGTTTCGGATGACATCCCAGCCATATGAAATGGAAAATATATAGTCTATTCATGTTCCAGTCACCACCAACCAGGATATAGTTGGATGAATTGGGGTACCCCCATATTTTGGGATCATGGGACGTGGTAGACACAATGCAACCAGTTACGCCAGAGGATGATAGTTACCCGGCCTGGTACACGTAAAGACGGTTTGCCATGGAAAATCAACATGTTTTTCATGGGCAATTCAACGAACTGAATGGCCATGTTACAATAGTGAACTGTTGAATTACCAGAGGGTACCCATAAAATAATATTACTGTAAATAATGTGGTGTTTTGGGGGATGATGAATTATTGCTTCGGGTATTACCATCCAAACAAATGGTGGTCTGGAAAAATACCCAGCTTCCACCAACCAGCAGTTTCGCCAAGTTTCGCCGCCAAACTGTGAAGCTCTTTGGCCGCTTTGGCAGTGAAGGAAACGAGGCAATTTCTAGGCCAATTGCGCACAGAATCGCGTGGATTTCTTCGGGAATTCTGCGTGATTCTATGGAAGTTGGAGCGAAAATACCATGAACTGGTTCTATGTTCACAGCCCGAAGTGAGGGCTTTCCTGTCATTTTCATCCCAGAAGTGTTGCGTTTTTGAGGTGTCTTGGTTTTGCGTATCAAGCTTTTAGTGATCCTTTCGAAGAGTCGCAGTTTGCGATTTGTCTCAACCTTGAGCCTTCCTAGGATATATTGGATCATTCAAAATTCAAAATCCCAAACTGAATCTCATGTCATTTCTAGGTTTTTCCCCGGAGGTTTGAAGAATCATATGTAGTGGAAGGTCCTTAAGACCTTAAGGTCGCTTGCTATGCATTGATCCAGTGCGACCTTGAGGGGAACTTCGTCCCTTGCCATCGCGGATACCCTGGGGAGCCGAAACAGCTACTTTCACGGAAAGACCACGTTGACCATCGTTGACCAGGGTGACACAGCAGCATCTGAATGGGTCTGAAAGTGGGGTCCCCTCTGGTAAATGTTTACATAACTATGGAAAATCACCATTTTTAATGGGAAAACTATGGAAAGATCCACCATTTTTCATGGGTAAATCAACTCTATATAAATGGCCATTTTCAATAGCAAACTGTAAACGTTTACCAGAGGGTAATGAAACCCCATTTCTGGCGGTTTTCATGGGGAAACTATGGGAAAATGATGATAAATCATCGCATTTCATGGTGGATTTTGATGTTTATTGGTGCCACAAAGCATCCTGCGAAAAACGTCCCAAGATGAACAATACAGTTTTTCCTGGGACGTTCACGTTCTGCGTGTTGATGCTTTGGATTGCATATACAGTGGACTACAGTGGCCCTTCGATCGAACTGGTGTGTGCTCCATTCTTCCTTGTTCCCCCATGATAGCCAAGAGTCCAAAATGCTCTGGTAAACGCTGGACACGCTTATTATCATAGAGGGTTGCCTAAAATGGGGGACCCCAAATCATCCAGTCATTCGACCATGACGCCCTGTATTGAAACAACCATGGAAATTCCACTGGGGATCCCCCAGAACATCCAACAGTCACAGCTTCAGGTGATCCAGTGGTGTAACTTGAGACATAACTGCAACTATGCTTACCTTCTAGTTAAACGTTTACAAAAAACTATGGAAAATCACGATTTTTTCAAGTTCGGTAAATCAACGAACTAGCTAACTAGCCATTTTCCATGTCGCTATGTAAACGTTTACCAGAGGGTATATCCAAAGTTAACTATGCGTCTCATCCACTTAGTTCGCAGCAACCCTCCACCTGGCAGCCCTACCGCAGATTGCTCTGCGAAGCGACCGTGGCAGTTGTGTTTTTTGGTTGTTTTTCGGTGACGTGCATTGCCAAACATCAACATCCTATAAGAAAATAATTCATAGCCCAAATTCACAATAAATCCATACTGATGTATATTATACATGTATATAATACTATATGATTATATAATTAGATGTCGTACAATGTTTCTTTACAATGGTTCCAAGACCCGGTTGTCGAACCAAGGCGAAACGTAGCACCAGAGTGGTTCACCACTGTGAATTTGATGCTTTCATCTTTGAAACATTGTTGGGCGACATGTGAGCAGTAAAAAGCTGCAGTTGCCTCGAATCAAGAGAATCTACTCTGGGGATGCTGGGAATTCAGACTAGACTTGTCGACTGACCCAAAGAACCTGTTACCCTCTGGTAAACTAACATCGGAAAACTCACTATAAATGGCCATTTTCAATAGCAAACTGTTAGTCATTACCAGAGGGTACTTTTATCGATCTTGGAAGATTCACCCCATGTCTATAATAAGATCCTGATCCATTCCAAAGTTCCGAAACATTGCTCTACATCAGCGATGCTGAAAACAGATTCCCGATTGCAGTCATGTGCTGCGACTTCATGGCGAGCATTGGTGAAAACCAACTCAAAGATCATCATGCAAAAATGGTGCTTGTGTTTACCAATTGGATCCAATTGGGATATAGTTTGCATAATAAATGACGTTTACATTTGTGATGGATGACATGGTTGATAGCACATTGAATTCCCTAGTCTTGAAAGATCTTGAAAGTATGTTCATGCTACTGAGGAACCGTGCAGTTGAGTTTCAAGTTTTGGAGAAGAGTCATCCGGAGATCTGCTGTTTTAGAAGACCACGAATCTCAACTGCTACATCTAACATCTAGCTACCAGAACCCTTTTTTTCAAAACAAGTTTCGGTTGGAAGGCCCGGCATGGTAACTCACCACTTACCAAACATGAGGCATGTAAATCCTTCCAGTCTGAACGAAGTCGAAATGATTCGGAATGACCTGGACAGCACCGAAACAATCCAATCTGGTTGGTGGTTGAGCCCTACCCCTCTGAAAAATATGAGTTAGTCAATGGGAAGGATTATATATCCCATATGTTTTGGAAAATAAAAAATGTTTGAAACCACCAACCAGCAATTCATGCCCAATCTTTCATACCCTGCAAAAAAACATCCAAGTATGTTTTAGCTGGTGAGGTCAATGCATTCCCCTTTTTTTGCCAAAGAAAGGTGGTATACCTACCCCTCTGAAAAATATGAAAGTCAGTTGGGACGATTATTCCCAATATATGAAATGGAAAATAAAATTCATGTTCCAAACCACCAATCAGAGTCGGTTTGACCCATTCCAAGTACAGTGCTTCACCCCTTTTCCACCGCTGACCATCTCTGGCTTTTTTTAACTGCCACCGCGTCCTTGATGGCCGGAAACCAAAGGAAACTTCAACACCATGAAACAGCAATGAGTTTCCCAAATGCGTTGGCCCTTTTGATTCCTTTTTTACAGCACTGGTCTTTTTGGATGGCATGTGTCAGGAAAATTGGATGAAGGGAAACTATGGGAAACTATGCAGGAAACCCTATGTCCAATTGTAAAAACGATAATTTTCTGTGCCCCAGCATTGCCCCGGGGAAAAAAGAACCTGGCCCCATGAATGATGTTAGTATATACCGTTATATATCGTCAAAAATACCATGTTTCGATATGTTTAGGCTAGAAAAAACCCTGCCACCATGACCTGTACCAAAACAAGTCTTCCGCGAAGCTCCCCAGCTCCGAGCTGCTCGTCTCCTCGTCTCGTTTCTCTCGGCCGCATGGATGAGGAACAACGACCTTTGCCAGTGGAGATGTTGATTTCAGCAGTGACAAATTGAGATTAGAGCAGCAGCGATGTTGATTTAAGCTTTCAAAAATAGAGGTTTAATGATGTTTAATGGGATTTTAGCTTTCAAAGCAGCTGCTTAATGATGTTTAATGGGATTTTCCCTCTGGCACTTTGTTACATAGCTATTTCTTGTTGAAAGACATATATATGTATAAATATGTGATATTAGGATATATATATATATATATGTATATGGTCACCCCCCCCACCAGGGCCTGCCTTGAGCTTTATATATAGCTCGTGGTTTCTGATGTGTTCTTTTGCTACCGGAGCCTGTGAAAATCGCATGAAAAATCAACGTGGTAATGGAAAATCCCCTGTAAATGGAGGTTTCTAGCTGGGAAAAACATCTGTAGTATATAAATGATGGATTTTCCATTGCCATGTTTGATTACCAGAGGGTAACAGGGAACAGAAAACACCAGCCCGCAGAAGCAAAATCACCAGGGAAGCAAAAACACCAAGCCGGGAAGAGAAAGCACAAACCAAAGAAGAAAGGGAAAACACCATACCCCTATGGTTCCCATTTTTTCCCATAGCAATGTCAAGTTGCCGGAGGGCAACTATGAAATGACATGGTATTAATTCACTATTACTTGACCATCAAATATCCCAGAATATTTCGTTTATGGTATTTCATGGCTCAATCATCATGGAATCTCACTAAGCATAGAGGGGTATAGTGGGATATAAACGGGATATCTATGACATGTCATATATCATATGTCCAACAATCAATACTATAAAATACAAGTCAATGGGGAAAGAATTGGAAACCTTTAAGGTGGGATTGGATATCCGGTGGTGAAACGGGATTTCACCATCGACTGTTTTTTTTGGGTGTCCCCTACTAGGTCGTATAACCGTCTCTAAGACCCAATGAACATTGGCACCTTTGATTCAAATGGGGCTATTCAAAATGGATATCAGCGAAGAAAACGATCGTAAATTACTGATGACAAGTGGGATAGTTCTGATATGGCTGGATATAATATGATATAATTGCCATGATCCACAATATCCACAATGCCATAGTCACCTTCCCCAATGGGATATACACATAACTATATACCACTCGTGGCTAGTCTTGGGGGATCAAACAACAGTTTCCCATGAATTCTGGCGAGTTACCAGCAGCAATTCACCAAGCTGAAACATGCTGAAACAAGGTCATCGTCATCTTTGGTGATATCGTGGAGACGTCGTTATAATTTCATCAGATAGAGTCTTTTTTCCCTTGGGCGAAAAATTTGGATAATGGAAATCTAGGGTTAAAACTTCTTCAACCTCCAAAAAAAAAAACACCAGCACTCCCAACATGGAACCAATCTTAGCCTCGCTGTGTATCTCAAGCTCCACGTCGGAAGCTCTCGGCGTTTTCGGCGTCGAAACGAAGCTCGCAGGTTCCGCCGTGTCGTCTCAGTCTCAGCACTGCAGATACGCCGAGTTCGGGGCTGCTCCTTGGCGTCCAAGACGAACGGCGGAAGTGGAGGGGGTGTGGCAACATCCCCGTAGGGAACATCTCCCTTCCCAATCTCATCTAATTACTGTAACAACTGAATATGGTTAGAGTAGATGAATAGCCACCATTGTAAGGAACATCTGGTTGAATAGGAACTACAGTAACCATATCTAACCAATCTAATTCTAATCGTGGCTCTCTATTCAATAACATTGGATTGACATCAGCCAATTTGGCTCCAAACATCCTTTGCGTTTTTTAGCATATAAAACCAAAATGTGGCACCAAAAATTGTCAAAAAATTGGTATTTCCCATGGTTGTCCCCATTTATGGTGGAATTTCCCATGGTTTACAACCCACCTGGCAAGACTCGCCAACGTTCATCCCAAAAGCCCGCAGCCACTACACCTCAACACACGTGGAAATTCACGGTGTTTGGCTGATGGCTAAATCAACGAACAAAAAGCGGGCGATGTTCAATGGCTACGTGGAAAATGTCCGGAGGGTAATCAGGTTTAGCAATGTTACCCTCTGGTAAACGTTTACAGTTCGCGAACTGGAAAATGACCCAATCGAAATAGTTGATTATACCCAGCTACATTTTGCATGGTGATTTCCCAGTTCGTTATCGCTGTTATGGGACAGTTTACCAGAGGCTAAGAACCATTGTTTCCTTCAAGGGTCTGGTGCCAGAGTGCAGCTTGGATCTTAGGATGGCTATGGGATGACCCGGTCAACATCACGGGGATGTTTTGAAGGACGGACCTTTTTTCCAGGGAAATCATTTTGTGTTTTGGGGTGAAAATTCACCCGGTAAACATACAAAAAACGACGGAAAATCACCATGCTATTGATGGGTAAATCCACTATTTCGACTGGGCCATGGCTTCAATAGCTATGTTAAATTACCAGAGGGTACTATGAAAGATGGGGTCCTGCTTTTTTCCCCCTCAATCCAACACAATGTTTTATGATTTATCATATTCCCAATAGCTGCTGATTGCACTCTCAAGCTCAAGCTTGTTGTATAGGAAGAGATCCTACGTCGGCCGACATCCCCATCATTCCTGATGTCAGTTGGGATGCTTACCTACCCAATCTCAATTTTAACGCGCCTCTGGCCCTTCAACAAATCTCAATTCACAATTACAAAATTGTTCAAACCCCAAAATTCGATGGTTTCGATCACATTTTTTTTCGAATGCGTCAACCTGACTTTTTGACTGGCTAAAGCACCAACAAGGATGGGTCATTTCATGGCCAATCTCGGACACAACGATTTTTTGTTTTTCCCACCTCTTGAACACGCATAAAATGTAGAAAAGTAAAAAAAAAAACATCAATTCCCCATAAATTTCATGGCACAGTTCCATGTGATTTCCATGTGATTTCCATGTGATTTCCCGTAAAAAGAGTTGCCTCCCATCGCCATCCATCGCCTCCATAGCCCTTCCAGGCGAAGTCCGGTCCCGTGATCAGGAAATCTGGCAGCATGTTGGACATGGGCGCGCGCGTGTGCGGCTGATTGGTCGCGAAGCTGAACGTTACCAAGTCCTGGAGGAGTTTTGTGATACTGTGGACGGTTGCGAAATCCTGCACCAGTTGATAGATGGTTTATCCCATTATTTATAGGGTTTCAACCATCCAAGGTGGTGCAGGATTTCTTCCATCCACTGTAGGCCGATGTTTTTTGGAGCATCAAAACTTTGGAGAATTCGGGAAGGGAACCATCCGAAAAATAGGGATTTCACCCTGCGGAAAAACGGGATTTGATCCGAGAAAATGTGATTTCACTTGTAAATATATACCCTCTGGTTATGTCAAAATAGCTATGGAAAATGACCCAGTCGAAATAGTGGATTTTCCCAGCTACAAAATGGTGGATCTTTCCAGTTCGCTATGTTAGTCATTACCAGGCCGGGTACTATAAACATCGAAGATCATCAAGGTGATCGGTGATAACCTTGGATTAGAATTTACAAAAGACACACAGTTTACCCGTAAAGAATATGGTTGGCCAAGACCAAACACGGTTGACCAAAACCAAACGAGCATTGGTGGTTGATGGTGTTTCTTTGGTATGTATATATATATATATAAACTGAGCAATGTGTGCAAATTCCTGAATCAGAAGTATTCCGCGTGGTCGGTCCAATTCCAGTGTTGAACTCCACCGTTACGATAAACAACGTTTTGCCAGCACAAAATGCTGGCGGGGTGTGAATCCATGGAGCTATGACCACAAGAAAATGATGATGCCTCGTGATATGGGATGATGTTTCACCAACAACAGTGCCTATCTATACATCCAAAACTAGGATCGAAGGGGAACAAATCAAGACGACGATTTTGTCATCGAGAATGTATCTGAAAAACCGTCAAAGTGGGTGTAGATTCAGTGTAGCAAAAGATGGGACCTGCTCTCTTAAGAGAAATGACCCTCCAGCAGTGATTACAGAGGATGTTGATCCATTTGCAGGGAACACTTGGTGCTGCTAGCATTACCATTTTCTAGGTTACCCGGCCTGGTAAACTGACATAGCTATAGAAAATCGCCATTTTTAATAGGTAAACCATCTATTTCTATGGGCCATTTTCCACAGCTATGTTACTTTACCAGGCCGGGTAATTCCATAGCAATTTTGCGCCGCCTAGAAAGTCACCCGATTTTGTATGTCATGGTCAAGACATGGTAACATGGTAATGTCAACCCTGGATTAATAAACCCCGTAAAAACGGTTGTTTAATTGGGGGGATACCGGGATACCATCTAAGTATCAGATTATATCAGATGAAATGACTATTTGGGGAGTACCCCCCCTAATTTTTATAAACCATGGTTTAGCAAAATCCGGGGTTGACATTATAGAAATGTGGCGAAGTGTGGCTATGGTCATCCCTCGGGGATATAAAATTGCTATCTTCACCCTTCTGAAAGTTCTTATGACCCCCAATTCATGGCTTTAATATGTTTAATCTAATCCAACTAACTCTTCCACTAACTCCACAGCATGTTTAAACTATACCCAACCATTACCTGGATGATTGATTAAACCTATACTAAACCCATATTATACCTATATATATATATGGGTTTGTCTGAAAATAGTGTACCCCTACACCCAATGGTTTTGCTGATCATTATCCCTACTAAATGGCTATTTCATTGGGGGTATACCCCATTTTCAGACATACCCATATATACACACAATAAAATACCTATAAAATCCTATAAATCCTCAGAACCCCCTCAAGTTCCCCCGCCTTCAGCGCCCGCTCATCCGTAGCCGTGATCACCAGCTCTTGCCCCGGCGCGCGGAACACGGCGCCGTAGCCGCCGCTTCCGTCACCGGTGAAGGTGCAGCCGGCGACGGTGATGGTGGGAGGCCCTAGGGGGAACTCGTGGGTTCTCCCAATTTTTTTGGTGATTTACCCTTTTTTTTGGTGATTTACCAGAGGATATAGAGGGTTTATAGAGTTTTTATGAGTTTTTAGGGGGATACCTTCTGGTAAACGTTTACATCACTATGGAAAGATCCACCATTTTTAAGGGGTAAATCGGTAAATCAACTATTTCGACTGGGCCATTTTCAATGGCTATGTTCAATTACCAGAGGGTATAAGCACCCATTATAAAGTATAGCCTATAAGATGCTTTTTCAGTATCACAACAGCAACTTGTTGGTTTCTAAACTCCACTATGTAACTACCAGATGACCCCACTATATGTATATATATATAAGTAAATATAGCTATATATGATGTAATAAGTATCATGGACCATAACTATTGAAGTTATGTTCAACCACCTTTGCCATCGTAAGCAAGGGCCCCACTTTAAGTATGAAACAGTCATATAGAATTTTCATCAACCCAAGAATCATGTGGGATATCCCAGAATACGGGCGCTTCTTAAAATGGGGAATCCCCAGTCGTCACCCTTGGGGTTTCAACACTAATTATCATGGTCTACTGACGACTGGATGATTTGGGATACCCCCTGTGTGGTCAACCTCGCAGTGTCTTCCCTCAATGGAACAACGTCTCGAATAGCGAAAAATCCTCGAACTTTTCCCGACAAAAGGGCGAGTCTGCTCACAGAACTTCGACAAATAGCGAACAACCTCCGCATGGCCACGCTCAAATGCTTGATCCCAAGCAGTCTTTCCGTGGATGTCGATGGCATGAGGATTGGCAGCAGACTCCACCAGAAAGCGGACAATTCTCAAAATGCCGCGTTGAGCTGCAGCTATCAAAGGCGTTACCCCATACTGGTTGGTCGCATCTTTGTCACAACCCATGTCGACCAGGAAGCGGACCATGTCCAGAGAGCCATATTTAGCTGTCGAAATCAGGGCCTTCCCGGTCAAGAGCTCATCCTGGGCGGCTCCCTTCTCCACAAGAAAGCGGGCAATGTCGACATGGCCGCGATGAACTGCGAGTAGCAATGGTGTTGACTTCACGAAGTCCTGCGGATCTTTCCGCGCACCGTTTTCCACCAGAAAACGCACTACCTCGAGGTGAGCATGGACAGCAATGTGCAGGGGGGCCATCTGTAGTCTTGTCGATAATGTGTCTATCTCTGCACCTGACTCCACCAACAACCGCATGGGCTCAGTCAATGTCCGTGCTCTGCTGCATGGTACAACGGTGTCATGCCCTCAGCATCTCTTGCGTTCGGACTTCGTGGGCATTTCAGCAACCGTTCAAGGCCAACTGTGTCGTCCTTGCTGCCATCATCATCCGTTCGTCTTCTTCTGCATCTGCTGGGCAAAATTCCAAGACCAGCAGCTGAACCTTTGCAGGCGAGGCAAAAACCTCATCATCTGGGATCTCAACAGCATCACCTTCCAGAAAGAGCCTTTGTCTAAATCTGGTGACACCAATCTTAGCTGCCAAGGCTTGCTTCACAGCCTTGGCGGACTTTCCTTCAAACTCAGCTGCCTCAAGCACGGCAATTTTCTCGCCCGATGCTAGGAAACACACCTCCATTGCTGGCGGTATTAAAATTTGTAAACACAAAATTGTCTAAAATTCGGATATGAATCCAACATGAATCATGGATGGGGTATGCTACATGCCAGTTTGAATGGTCACTCATTTTTTTACAATGTGTTAACTATCTTTTCTTATTAAATCTAATGACTTTATCACCTGCGTTGCTTCTGGATCCAGGGTGGCCGCGGATGCAGCGTCAGCATGCTTCTCACTGGGGTATGTGTGAAAATGGGGCCCAAAAAAACATCCCCCATTTTATTTCAGCCATTCGAATCAGGAAAATTTTAATAGAAAAATGATTTTTCTGAACACCCAGATGATGGATTGATCTGGCTACATTACAAAAAAATCACTAACCTGAATAGTTCGGCCATAAAAAGGGGATGATTTCCCTTCCGAAGCATGGATTTCCCGGGCCAACACCAATCCAACGGGACCAAAGTTGGTGATTCACTCATTTGGGGGGTCAAAACCAATGGATCCCCCTTTTTTGTTCACATCAAAATAGCTGGGATTTATGGATGTGAATAACCCACGAAAAATGGTACTTATAGGCTTATAGGTATTGATCCATCCCCATTTTCTGAGCATTTTCTGAGCATTTTCAAACGCGAACTTATGGTAGACTTTTCGCAGTTTTTAAGGTCGAATTCATCCAAGAGTCCTTCCGCATTCAGTTCCTCAGCCGCTTGGAAAACAGGAATTCTCCAAACGCTCCAGGTACAATGGGGGGAAACTTGGTAGATCAAAGAAATGTAAAAAAAAATGACAGTTTGACCCCAAAAAATTACCTTGCCATTTGGGAAGTACTTAATACCGCATACCCAAGAAAGGGTATGTGGTTCCAAACACATGATTCTGCATGAAACATTTATCATGTCTAGCCGGAGTTACCCCTTGTTTTGTGTCAAACCCATGGTACATTTGGATGCAGAGACCCCTTGTTTCGTTGATATCCAAATAAAGCTTAGCGATGTCCTTTGGTCTATGCGGATCACGTCTCCATTCTTGGAATCTTAAGGTCGAATAGATGTACCCTCTGGTTACGACTAACATAGCCATGGAAAATGGCCCTAATCGAAATAGATGGTTTACCTATTAATAGATATTAATAGCATGGTGGATCTTTCCATGGCTATGTTAGTCATAACCAGAGGCTAATGTTTATAATGTTTGCCCATTGCTGACGTTCACCAACCTGCCAAACCGTCTGGTGATCCTGGAACAAGACACCGTTTCTTCCCGCGACACTTCCCATGGGGCATTCTGTCAACATGACATGTAATGTGACAACATGGAAGAAATTAATTTAATAGTACCTCATCATTATTATTATTATCATTATTATTATTATCATTATTATTATTATCAATGTTGGTAAATGAATAATAAACCACTCATTTGGGAATGCTTTATACCACCTATAAAAATGGTGACTGATGGTAAACATGGCATTGTTTGGAAAATCACATGAAAAACCTGATGCCTCCATGAGATCTTCCCCACTTCCTCCAAGTCTCCACAGGCCAGTCTGCCCCCTGCAGCGTTCGCAGCCGCTCCACCGTCCCCAGCAGCACCCGCCGCGACGTCTCCGTCGACGTCGACGAAGTGCGCAGCTGGGTGGCGCTGCCCACAGCCACCAGGTGCCCCGTGGCGAAGTAGGCGCCCAAACGCAGCTCCAAGGGCCTAGGGAAAGCTGCGAAAAATCGGGGGAAATGCGGAAAAAGAGGGGAGATCATGGGTTTGAGTCATAGAAATGATAGTTTTATATGTTTAACTAATCAAAATATATAAAAATGGGGAGATCATCAACCATTTCACCAAAACGGTGGAAACATTGTGACGTTCAACTATCTTTCGTGGATTTCCTGGTGAAGTTCAGCAATATTTGGGGATTTTATAACATAATTAACATATTTAACTAGTGATATAGTGGTGATTCTGATATCTCCGCGATTTTTTTGCCTGGGTGGAAGGTTTCGCCAGTGGGTCAAGTCAGTGCAGGTCCATTCTGGACCCACAAAAAAGGGCGGTGCCGTTCTTTAGATTTGAATCCATCTGGTTGGAGTGCGTCAAATTGGGAAGGATTATTCCCATATATGAAATGGAAAATAATCCATTCATGTTTGAAACCACCAACCAGTGATTATTAACCATGATTAACCATCATTAACCATCATTACCCCATACTAAACCAATGTTTGGGATAGTTTTGGCATAGGCCAGGAATCCAGTCGGAGTTCATCTTCGAGGACCAAGGCACCCAAAAAAAGGTATGGAGTTCCCAACGTGCCAATTTTGGGTTGCCACTGTGCCACTGGCTCAACCGTCTCGAATATCCCATGACGGATCCATGGTGCTGCTATATATGATGTGCCATGGATCCCATCAATATACTCCCTTTATGTTAGCATTTTTCTACCAGCACCATGGATCCGTCATGGGTATTGACAAGCAAAAACTGGTCTCTGAGAAAATCTTCAGCGCCAGAAATTGAGATACCCACAACAGCGGAGATTTGGAGTCAGATTTCAAGCAGTTTCTCAGAGTCTAACCTGGAAAGTGAGTGAAAAACTCACATGGTTCAGGTCTGTCTCAAAATTGGGTACAGTACCTTAAAATCCCATCGTTTGTCATCATTTTCCCCAAGTCGCCCATTCACAATTTCAGGCACTGAAACATGCATGTATCCCATCAAATATATGAGAAAATAGGGGGCGATAACATGAAATAAGCCACAACATCCGTTCTTCCCCAAGTTTTCCCAGACTTTCTCCGCAGTGCCATGCGGCGTGGGGTCGTCCGGCACCACCACCACCCACGGCGCAGCAAAGACCTCTCGAATGGGTCCCGCGTGCGCCGCGGTGGCGCCGGCCATGCAACGCCGCCATTGCGGTGAGGCACCAGTTGATGTTGCTTGGCAAGAAGGCTCCTGGTGCCAGAGGTGACAAACAACTGTCAATGGAAACCCCGTTTTTTTCATGGGAAAATCGGATGGTTTCCAGGGGCCAGATTGTCCCTTAAACCCATCTGATACTGGGTATAATATGGTTTTTCATGTGGGTAAAACAAGAATAAACCAACCATAACTGGGAATGGTTATTTATACCACTTATAGGTGATGATTGGGGCATGGTTCATGGTATTGTTTTACCCAGATTAATGGTATAAAGATGGTGACTTAAGCCCCATAAATTGGGATCTCAACCTTCTATGGTGAAATGATAAATTATATCACCACTTATACTTGGAACATCTTGGAACTGCACTTCCAGTTGTGTGGACAAACTATGACAACCTATGACACTTTCTCTTGGGAAATTCCATGTGCTTTTTGGAGATGTCTTGGGACATCTTGGGAATTCCGAAACACTCCGGCGGAACGGGCCTATGTTAAAAAATGGCAGTGCATCACTAGGCTCTTAAGATGTTGTTTTATTGTATATGCCATAAAAGGCCATCGTATCTTACATCCTGGAAACACATGTCCTATACTATACATCTAATTACATATATTATATAAGCCGATTTTTGCCCCTATGCTGTTTCCCGGTGTCAGCACAGCTTCCCTGTGCTAACACATGGATGGCTGTTGCTATTGAGGCGCCCATCTTAAGACTCAAGACTTTCTTAAGTCTTAGGCTGAACTATGCCCTCAAAAAAGTGGACATGAAAAATGACATTTATACCTCACCCCTCATAAGGCAACTAACACAAACTAACAGTAACTAAGGCTGCAAAATGAATGCCACACCTAAAAAATGCCTGCCATCTCGGCTCCGTGTGTTACCTACCGAATCCATCGTGCTTGGCATCGGATAGCCGGAAAGCCGAATACAGTAGATGTTTTTGAGCCACAATTAGGTTGGTCTGAAAATAGTGTACCCCTAAACCCCATGGTTAATCATCATTTTCCCTAATAAATGGCTATAATTGGAGGTATACCCCAGTTCCAGATACACCCAATCCTGGTGCCAGGGATGAGACATGAGAGACACATCGATTCCCTTGGGGAATGGTCGGCCCATGGCGAAAAAAAAATCATACCAGCCATGTAAGGCAAAAACAAATGCGATTTTCATTCGAAAGTGTGGGTGTTTACCCAATGATAAACCATGCCATGAAAACCATTTGGAGACTCGCAAGCATTAATGAACCCGTATTGAGTATGGTTTATGGCATTGGGTTTACCACATGAAACCACATCGCATCCTCCATCGCATCGCCTTTGCAAAAGTGAACGGTTTCACCCGTGACCTAAACGAAATGGTGCTGGCACCGGAGAACGGGGCCCCACTGCGCGATAAGTGCACTTAAATGTAAACAGACCTAGGCTACCGAAGGGGATTTCTACTGGATATATCTGCAGTTGGATGGCTGAAACCAAACGAAGAAACATCTATTTTTGGGGCACATATCTGTAGGTTTTTTGATAAAATCAAGAGAAGTCGTTTAAGGGGGTTTGCCACCAAAGGCTGGTTGTCCATTGCCAGGTGTTTATGTGTTTGACGATTTGTTTTGGCCATCGTTTCTGCTAAACACAAAAAATGGCCTTTTTCGGCATCCGCATCATGGTCAGATGTCAAAATGCGTCGCAAAATTGGGCCAAAAAATCCCTTTTTGGGCATCATGGGAAACGAAAATTTGTATCGGTCATGGCCATCTCCCTGTGACGATCATTTCACTGAAACAAAGGTGCACTGGGGAGCTTCTTGAAAATCTATACCGGTGATGAACCTGGAGACTTAAGGTTTATAAAAAGATAGAATGGTTAAAAATTACTCAAACAATATTGACATTGAGATCATTGAGATTGGATTTAACCATCAATAATGTGGATTTAATAGGATCTTCATGGGATATGCCATGGGCTGAATATGACGTGGGTTGTCTGACAATGGCCCACACAAGTCATTTTCATGGAGGGTCTCTTGACTGGATCAAATGCCTAAGATCTCAACAAATTCAATTCCGAGGTTGTGATGCGATCCCCATTGTTTCATGATCAAATGCCAATCTCATGCTTGCAGATAGTTAAACTTGTTTTTTGTATGAAATCGGATTTTGCTGTTGAAATCACAGGTAAATCTTGGTAAATCATGGTAAATCCATGCCTTTTTCAAGTCACACTTTTGCTGTTATCTTTGCTGGTCAGTTACATGTTTGCCGGTAAAATCTGGATCTGTGCCCGTGTTTGCTGCCAATTTCCCGTGTCTTTTCACCTGAAATCCGAGTCTTCCCACCTCAAAGTCTAAGACCTGCGAATCCACCATCAGCCGATGCATGTGACCCTCTACCTGCAGGTGTTCAAAAGAAAAACTGTATTGGCTGGTCTATTGATAAATAGGAATTAGCAGGATTTAATGGGACTAAGTGTGTTTTTTTAACGATTTAGTAGGATTCAATGGGATTTAAGAGGACTTAATGGTATGTATAACTGTATAACCAATACAAATGTGTTGAGTTGATTTACAAACAAAGATGAGCTAGGTATGGACAGTGTCCACAGGATATGGGTAATGGTCATACATCCCATACAAAAGGAATCCAAAGATAACGGTTATATATATATATATATACATATATATGCAAATAAATGTCTATTATAGTTATATCTACATATACACATATATATATACAGTATACATATATATATAATATACATTCCTAGTATTGGGTTGATGACCATCACCAAGATTGGAAACCAGTGTTGACCATGGTTCGTTCCACTCCTTGTGGATCGACTTGGGAGGGAAATCCACGGGTTTTCGCCATGGTTTAGCCAAGGCCCTAATCGAAATAGATGGTTTACCTAGCTACAAAAAGGGGAGATTTTCCATAGTTGTCCTATTAAAAATGATGATTTTCCCATTAAAAATGGGTGGATTTTCCATGGCGAACTGTTAGTCATAACCAGAGGTTATTCTTCCCATGAAATTTGCAAAATAAAGATATAATCCACTAACTTGCAGTGTCATTCACCAAATTTCACCCCGCATGGTGGTAAGACATGGAGATGTTGTTGTGAATTCACTAGACATTGGACTGTGTTGAAATAAATATCTTAAACATAAAGAATAACAAGCATTATTAGATATCTTAACTTATCATAATGAAACATATCCAACCAAATGATGGCTAAATAATGTTAAATCATTGGACTTTTACAGCATCTCAACGATCATTCCGGTGGGAAACTCGCAGTTCTCCGCGCAAAAAAGGGAATATGGATACAACCATAGCTCCCTTCACCGCTCCCTCCACTAGATGTATAGTTACTAGACCACATATAAAACATAGGGACTGACTACTTGAATATTAAACAGGATTGAAGCGTATTAATATCATCTCCTAATATTAAACAATATTAGAAACACATTAAACCCTGAAAAATGGAGATGGTACTATTACTTCATAGCATCAAGTGTGATTTCCAAGGTCATGAAGAATTCCAGCCCAGACGACCACACTGGGCAAAGTCAAAAAAAATATTGATATTGATGGGATAGTGATACTGATATTCCGTTTGATGGGATATATATATATATATCCAACTTGATATGATTTGGGTTTGTCTGATACTCCACTACACCCATTGCTTACTCATCAGTATCCCTCTAGTATCATCCGTATAATTTGCCACGTTTGGCTATCATTACCTCGGTTTTTTGTTGTAATCACTATTTAGATATGTATATCATCTATATATATATAATATTTATATATATATATGGTCCATGGTCAATATTTAGTAAATAGCTCCAAGTCATCAATTTTTGATGAGTGTATTGTTGTTTTTCAGGTTTTGGGAATATAGCAAATGTTATTGTTTTTTGAAGAGTGTATTATTGTTTTCCAAGCCCCAGCTAAATTTCCAAAAATAAAGATGTCTCGAATACTACTTTCCATTAGGGTAATTTTTAGCAGTGGCTCATATATATATAGAGAGAGAGAGAGCCATCATTGTCTCATTTTGCAAATGAATTAAAGAGACAATGATGGCTCATTGAATATATCCTCATATATTATATATGATCCCATGAGAAATGGAATTATTTGTCTAATGTCTCTTTATTCTTATATTTGGATTATACATTCCAATGATCCCCATTCTATTTCACAAAAAAAAATGAAATGCCTAATGAAATCAACAGCATTTGGAGCATCTTTGGCCGTGGCGCATGGCAACACCGAAGCACGGGGCAAGACGACATTTTCAACCAGGGATCGTCAGAAATCACAAGCAAAAGCCAGGGGATATGGATTGGAAATGAGTGGAACAATGATCATCTGGTTAGTGGTTTATAGTGGTTTATAGTGGTTGATAATGGTTAACTGGTTGGTGGTTTCAATGCCTCTGAAAAATATGACTTCGTCAGTTGGGATGATGACATTGCCATATATTATGGAAAAATAAAATTCATGTTCCAAACCACCAACCAGAATATGAATTGGAACATGGATTGGATGATTGATTGTTGCAAAAAAGACACCAAGTTTTTTTTTGAGCATTTTATACGCTATCTGGATAAACGATCTGAATTCCATCAACATTTTAATTTAAGGTTAAAACCCTATCCGCTGGTAGACTCACAGTTTGACTGGAAATCCCCAGCCAACGCGCCTTCGACAGCTGGGCCAATTGCCCCGTGGCGCTGACCGCGAAGCTCTGCACGTTGGAGCTGCGCAGTCGAAGGCGTCGCGAAGAGTTCGTCAAGGTGATCTGTAGCGGTGAGGAAGGGAACATGTTGAGTAAAGTCGTAGATGTAATAGATTAATAGTATCTGGAATATATATATATATGCATATATGCGAATTATATGGTGTATATATATATATATATATGGTATATATGGGATATATGGGATATCTGATTGGATAATGGGATAACATGGATATATCTAGATAAGTATGATATTTATGTATTGGATATTTCATGGGATGGGGTGGTGCCCATGGATTTAATCCAATCGAATGTTCTGTGAATGTCCCGTAGGTAATTGGAAGAACATGGGGAAATGCAAAGGTCACATATGGAGATGAGTCAAGTCAAAATCAGTTTTTTTTGTTCATATGGATGGTGGAAACTCAGTGAATGTACATATATATATACATTAGTGTGTATGTATATATATATGATATATATATATATAATATTATAGTATATATATATTATATACATGTATACAGCTACATCAGCTCCAAAGTCTTGTTCATATAACTAACCACCAAGAACTGACCCACCCATTCCATACCAGTTGGTGGACAGCTATCCCGGTGATTTTGGGTTCTTATACTCAGCAAACCAGGTAGAAAAAAACCGATCAGCAGTGGTTATTTTAATGGCTCAACTGGGTGAAGACAATGGGTGCACAAACCCTAGGCATGGGTTACTTCTAAAAATGACGAACGCATTCCAACATATTCTACCCTCCGGCAATCAAACCTCTATTTTTTTCGATGATTTTGCCCTGGGCAAACCACCGTTACCGGATGTTCCAGTCTTGACTGAAGGCCCCAAGGGTAACCCTGATTTTACCATCCATCTCCACTCCGTATTGAAAAACTGAAGTGTGTTTCAGTGTGATTTATATGTTTATATCGCTTTATCCCATCAAAAGCTTATCATATTAATGCCGAAAAGTGTTTTCAGGATGTTAGTTCGATGATGTTTTCCACATGGTTTCCAGGTTTCCCATTGTTCATCTATTACGGGTTGCTATATACCAAACCGGCTGCGCAACATTTTTCCTACAAGGAAAGATATTGATACATGGGTTGATGCCCCAACTGTTTGATGTAGGCTACTCTTCAGTAGCCCCTCATGAATCCGTTATTATCCCATCACTGCCATCATACTGATTGTCACATGTCAAATTGATATCATCCCCAAACATTGAGGTATATTATAATATACTATACTAATCCCATTCATCATTATTCCTATGTTTTTTTCTATTCTATTATCCCATGTCACATTGATATCATGATGATGATGATGTGTTTGTCTAAAATCAGGATACTCCGAAATTGGCATTAAATGTGTTTGTTTAAAATGGAAAATTGATATCATGATTATAATGATCATATGTGTTTATAACATTTTATAGTCATTTTCCATTTTAAACTGCCATGCTTGTGGTATACTCCATTTTCAGACACACCAATTTCGCAGCCAGGGAGGGTACGGCTTACCATCAGGTTTTCCACATGACCAGGGCGTGCTAGATTCTTCAAAAAAATAAAAACGGTGATGAATTACTGTCCGGCATCTTTTTGGTTGTCACAATATGTCATCACCCCATTTTTAGACACACCCGCATCATATGCAGTGAATAACATATCTGGTTGGTGGTTTCAACCTACCCCTCTGCAAAATGATGGAGTTTTTCAGTTATGAAATTCCCAACTTTTTATGGAAAAACAATCCATTCATGTTCCAAACCAACCAGGCAGTGAATAACATATCTGGTTGGTGGATGTTGGTGGTATACCTACCCCTCTGAAAAATATGAAAGTCAGTTGGGGTTACTATTCCCACATATATATATATCCCATCAAGATCCCATTCAACCCTCACCTGCAGAAAGCCGCGCGCCGCCGGAGATCGCCGCTGCAAAATCCGCAGGCCGAAGCGGCCCAGGTACTGCGGGCCCCCGGCAGACACAACGAAGGGACCTGCGCCGCGGTGCTGGAAAGGTGTGAAAAAGGTGGATTTCATAGGGGAAAATGATGAAAAATGCCGTTTTTTTGTGGTTTTACCAGCAAGAAATGATGAACATGTGGGTTTTGAATGGTTTTGAGCGAGAAACACATGATGAACATGTGAATTTCGCGAGCAAACTGTCATGAAAATTGGGACGTCACCGGCCAAAAAAGTTGTACTAGAAATTGGTTTTCATCAACGGAAATTGAGCGATGTATTTTTTGAAATATGGTTTCCGTGGCAAAAATTCCTTCACTCGCAGAAATATGTTCAAATTGGGATTTCCCCTTCAACAATCATGGGATGCTCGCCATGAGTGGACAAAAGTGGAAACTTTACCAGCAAATATGGCGATGTACCAAGAGGAACATGGACTTCAGCGACATCAAGATCTACCCATCAGAACTGCAGTGGATTTACCTGAATTTACCCCATAAAGATGGAAGCAAATCCACCTCTGGGGAAAAAAAAACATATGTCGTCAACCGGAAACAAAGCCTTTTTGGGGATGCTTCCTCTTTCATTCACCATTTGGGTATGGGTCAAAACCAATAGTACCCCTGTAGTTCACATCAAAATAGCTGGGATTTATGGATGTGAATAACCCACGAAAAATTGTATTTTTATAGGTATTGATCCATAGCCATTTCTGGTGATACAGTGATACATAGCACCCCCTCTCCCAGTTTCGCTGCCGAACACCTTGCTGCAGCATCTCTGCCAAAGTCCCTGCGCTACGTCCAGCCGCGTCCAGGGTCCACTGTCGGATGCTGGCGTCGTGTACCACGCCGCCATCGTTGGCCGAGAGGGTGTCCCACCACCTGCGTGTCTCCAACATGTCTCTTCTGCTGAGAAATCCCATAGAAATCCTCTACAAACGAAACTGGTTGGTGGTTTTAACCATATCTGGTTGGTGGTCTCAACCCCTCTGAAAAATATGAAAGTCAAATGGGAAGGATTATCCCATATATTATGGAAAAGAAAATGTTTGAAACCACCAACCAGATATTAGTCAATGGGACGGATTATCCCATACATGACATGGAAAATAAAAAATGCTTGAAACCACCAACCAGGAAAGTTTGTTGTGGGAAAATCAACTGTAAATCTTGTGGGATCTTCCACTGTATGCCATGTTTGATGACAGGGTGATGAGATTTTTCATTGGAGGAACACCCAGTTTTTTTTTGTTGAGTGCCCTCAAGTGGTGGTGGGAGATACCATACTTTGCGATTTCAGCCGTAATATGCTGATCGTTTTTGTGGAGAGGATTCCACATCAGCCAGTGATGTTTTAACCAAACTTAAATAGATTATGATAGATTATGGATTGCAACTGGAATAAGATTTAGGTACTAATTACTACATCAAAGTGGTTATTTCCAGTTATAATCCATAATCTATCATGTAGGTTTTGATACAAAAGATATTTAGGCACCAATCCATAAATATTCTGGTATTACAATTACCAGATTGATTATTGATATCATGATAGTATTCCTAATAATTACCAGTAGTAGATTATGAGCAGTTACAATGTAATTCTATCAGAGTATATATACTAGTTATGGAAGTAATAGATTATTACCAGTACAAGTCAAGTATAGATTATGATAGATTACTGGCACATTTCCAGCCAGTGATCTCTTCAGCTGATTGCCGTCTCGGCACTGTCCAAAACAACCCGTTTGATGTCATTTCAAGCCTGTTTGGTGAAGGATTAGGGGTACCAATAATGATTAAACATCCCAATACTCTAAGTCTATGTGTATATATATATATACATAACAATAAATATATATATATATAACAATAAATAAATAAATAAATAAATATATATATATGATGTACAATTAATATGTATATATGGCATATTGAATAGTAGAATATCCTTTAACAATCAATGGCCGAAACCCGCCACCCCACCAGTGTTCTTGGTCGAATTCCTCAAAGGTCACATTGGCACCTTCCTCCTGCCGCGTTTCGCGTCGAGTCGTAGTCATCACGACCCACGGCTCGTATCGTACGGGTCGTGGATTTCCAAAGTTATATGACTTACGTTTCGTTGGGGAATCATGGCCCAAGAAATCAGGCTAGAACTGAGTGTTGTCTGGTAACCTTCATGGAAGATTAGCATGTCAATGAGTGACGTATTCTGTCGCCGTTTTCCATGGCAAATCGATAGCCTTTCACAAAAGGTAGTTTTTTTTTTTGTCAGTGATAAGACGTGGTTTTTCGTCCCATAAGATGCCAGATGCCACCGGGTGATTTCTCAACGCCCAAGTTGGGGACAAACCTGAAACTCCCAGTGTCGAGTACCCGGAAATCGTGACTAGTCTATGATCAAATTCCCCATTAAAACTGACATAAATATATGGTCAATCCGTTATGTCTGGGCAAATCCAAATAAATCTAGCTGCTTAGATCCAAAGTTAAAGTATGAATTGTTATTTCCCAATCACATTGGTTAGTTATACAATATGAATCTATATGAACCAATGACTGAGAAATAACCGAGAATACGTTAACTTTAAATTGTTATGTCCAATAATTACCCTCTGGTAATTTAACATAGCTATTGAAAATGGCCATAGAAATAGTGAGTTTTCCCATTAAAAAATGTGATGTTCCATATTTATGTAACTTATGTTAGTTTACCGGAGGGTATATCCTTGGCTATGTTCATTACATCCATGTTTGATTACCCTCTGGTGAACTAACATAGCAATGGAAAATCACCATGCTATTAATGGGAAAATCCACTATTTCTATGGCCATTTTCAATAGCAAACTGTTAGTTCACCAGAGGGTAAATCCCATTAAATCCCATTAAATCTCATTAAACCACCATAAAATCCCATGTTTGATTAGATCCACCCATTTTCCAGGCCACTCCTCAGCCGGAACAGCTCCTGAAGATGGCGCGCCATGCGTCGCCCGAACCAGGGAGGCACCGCCTTGTCTTTGGAGGCCACCTGGAAGAATGTCACCGATTGGTTTTTAAAGGATATTCATGGGTGGCTTGCTGGCACATACATGAAGATCATATATATATAGATATATATATATAGATATATATATATATATAACTATAGTTATAACTATATAACTATAGTATTTCAAACTATTTATACATGTACTCTGTATGATATGACGTTGATTCCATTGAATCGCGTTTTCTGACTGACTTTTCCCTGAAGTATCAGTCTTCACTCCGTCCGAACCTGAACTTTCCAGTGCTATGCTTGGGGGTTCATTCTAGATTGACCGAGAAGCAATGATAAACAGCATGAACTATTAACCTTCTACGGATATCTCGTATATATATATATACAGTAATATATATACATACAGTATATATCAGTATATACTGGCTACACTGCAATTGATTCGTTCTCCCCTGGCAGGAAAAGAACCCGTCTGAGATCATAGTGGGCCCAATGATATCATTCTCGACAGATTCCACAAACGGTGGATGTCCAATCGGGAAATTTAAAGATGCTGAGTATGGCGGTGACCTGCAAACCGGACCGTGAAACCGTCAAACCGTGCCACGGTCAGACCCCCCCCCATGGTTTCAAGGTTTCACGGTTGAACACGGTCAGCCGTGAAACCGTGGACTGTGACCCGGGCCCGCGGTTTCACGGTCAACGGTGAAACCGTGAAACCGTGCAGCCCGGACGCGTGGCCCACGGTTCCACGGTCAACCGCGAAACTGTGGAGCCCGGACGCGTGGCCCACGGTTCCACGGTCAACGGGAAAACCGTGAAACCGTGGAACCCGGACCACGGCTCACTGTTACGCAATCAACCGGGAAACCGGAAAACCGTGGAGCCCGGACCGGGGTCCTGACACCTCGACCGCGGCCCACGACCCACGGCCAACCGTGAAACCGTGGAGTCTGACCGTGGCCCACGGTTCCACAGTCAACCGTGAAACTTTGGAACCCCAACCGTGGCTGCGCAAACCGTGAAGCCGTGGAACTTCGACTGTGCCCGGACTGATCTTTCAAGAGTAAGGGCTACAGTAAGGGGATCAGGGATCATCTGTGCACGCAAATTTGGAACACTTTGGCTCAGAATGGATACTAGTTCAGGGCCACAACGCCAATCATTGAATAGTTTTGTACTGAAACGACAACTGTTGCAGGCCAGTTGAGTCAAGTTGTACCACATTTCTAGGGTTTATCCAGATGCGACAATGCCATCCAGTGGCTCGCACCAGCGCCGGCATCCCCTTCAAGTTCGAGGCGTGCAGGGAGTTCTCATTCATCGCAATGCTGGCGTGCAACAGGCCCAGCAACTGCTTGTCCATGTGCATCAGGGAGGTCTCATGGACCTGCGTGGGGAGGTGGGGCCGGCCAATCCATTCTGATGGACCACGGTCCGATGGGCTCTGAAAATGATGGATTTACCGTATAACGAAGTGATAGTGTAGTCACCTACAGATGGTAAATCCATGTAAATCCCATTTTTTAACATGGGATAAATCCCATATTTCACTCTGGCTCCTAAAATTGCCCATTTCTTGGGGGTGGGGCATTGATCCATTTTTGGTGGCCAGCCATGGCCGAAAACCCATTTGGAAAATGACGCCCTTCGAAGGGACTCCAGAGATCCAAAAAGGAGACGCACTTACCCAACCTGGTAATGACCAACAGTTCGCCATGGTTAAGCCATGGCCCTAATCGAAATAGATGGTTTATAGATGGTTTACCTAGCTACAAAATGATTGGATCTTTCCATGGCGAACTGGCAACGTCATAACCAGATGGTAACCATCATTAAGCACCATTAGGGGGTGTTTTAACCATCATTAACCATCATTAACCATCATTAACCATGATGTTAACCATGATGTTAACCATCATTAACCATCATTAATTATCATTAAATAACCAGAGGTTACCATCAAAGGTGGATTTACCCTGTTAGTCATAACCAGATGGTAATTTCAACAGCTTTTCCAAGCAGATTCCTACCAGAAAGGCCTGGGGATGCCATCTTTTGAAACGTCCACATCCAACCATCAGCGACCATCAGACTGCGCCCGGAAACCCACAACTTGATGGTTTACAGTTTATAGATCTTATAGATCTTATAGGGGAAAAATATCAGAATCCCGTAATGCATGATGCAAGATAATCATATGATATTATTCATGCTCTAAGCCAAAACACCAGGTTGGAATCGGTTGGAAATCTTTTGGTGGTCAGCTATATTCAACCGTTGATGCCAGGACGCTCAGAGCCTGATTGGAGATCGAGTTGAGGAGCTCTCTTGGGATTCCCGGCACGATAGTGCCATAGATATTCATGTTTTTCGCGCCCAAGGCACCCATGTATTCTCCAAAAAAGACCCTCTTCCATATGCACATATTCATCAAATCATTCAATATACTTTGTTGTTTTTGTAAGATTATAAATTATAACCGTAGAATCAAACATATTGTTCTTGGAAGATTATAACGGTAGAATCAAACAATGATACCCAATATGATCCATCAAATAACACAAACATATGCCTGAATGTGTCTGAAGTCTGCCGCTATGCCCCAAATCCACTGCTCCGATCATATGTGTAGCCCCAAAATCTCTTTCGGTCCCATGATATTCATCAATTTTCATTGAATGATCATGGAATCAATGAAGAATTTCTACCCATTAAAAAAAAAATATTTGTATATATGTATATTCCACAGTATTTTTTCTGTCAATATTTTGATGGACAATATGTTCCACAGTATTTGTCCACAGTATTATCCCAATATAATCCCGATATTTTTTCCAAGACACCCAGAGGTTGTTGGATAATGATTTTTGAAGGGATTATAATGATTGTCCCCCTTTAATAAACCATGGTTGACATTCATCCGGGGTTTACCTGATTTTTAGATTCTCCAAGATCATAATAAGTATTTTATACCCAATGTACCCTCTGGTAAACGTTTACATAACTATGGAAAGATCCACCATTTTCAATGCGTAAATCCATTATTTTCATCACCATTTTCAATAGCAAACTGTTAGTCATTACCAGAGGGTAGATTCCCAGATTTTTTCCGTCAATATTTTGATGGACAATCTTTTCCACTGTATTTTTCCACTGTATATAATCCCAAGATTTTTTCCAGGTGGTTTCAATCCCTCTGAAAAATATGAGTTCGTCAGTTGGGATGATGACATTCCCAATATATGGAAAGTCAGATCCAATCCATGTTCCAAACCACCAACCAAATACCCAATGTAGATTCCCAAGATTTTCTGGTTGGTGGTATACCTACCCCTCTGAAAAATGATGGAGTGAACGTCAGTTGGGATGATGACATTCCATTCCCAACTTTTTATGGATTATCCCTACTATTTCTATGGCCATTTTCAATAGCAAACTGTTAGTCATTACCAAAGGGTAGATTCCCAAGATTTTCTGAGGGTAGATTCCCCAGATTTTTGTCCAAGGCACCCAGAGGTTGTTGGCATCGCCATACTCTTCCCTGCTGTACCAGCCGCATGCCGACGCCACGCCCAGCACGCGGTCCGGGATCCGTGTGGCCAACGCCCAGGCGCCGTGGCCGCCGCGGGAATGGCCGTGCACCACGAGTCCTGGCGAAAAAGGCGACGAAAATAGGATCTACCATGGGAAAATATGGGATTTTTATGGGATTTTATGGGATTTGACCGTGAAAAAATAGAAAAATTTGGATTTTATGGGATTTGACCATGGAAAAATAGAACAAAAAGGGATTTTATGGGATTTGAGCGTGAAAAAATGGAAATTCATAGGAATACCATGGGAACATCATGTGGGATGCAATGGAATTTACATGAATTTACCCTACCTGGGGGTGCAGTTACTAACAGGTACAAGTACGGGACTAACCTTCATAAGTTGGGATATAACCCCTTACAACTATGGTTACACAACCTATTTATTCATGGAACTGCACCCCCAAGTACCCTCTGTTAATCATGGCAGTGGAACATATGACATTTATGGATGATTTTCCCATAGCATCTGCACTTACAGAGGAATTTCATTGCCATGTTGGCTGAACGGATGGTACGAAAAGGGAGAAAACCTCCAATTTTGAGACTCAACCGACAATTTTTGAACCGTTTTGTCGGATCATGACTGCTTGGTGGTTTCAACCCCTCTGAAAAATATTGGTCAATGGGAAGGATTATCCATGATTATCCCATATATTATGGAAAATAAAAATGTTTGAAACCACCAACCAGATGATAATATGTCAAGCAACCTGTGGACATGGTTTCCCCATGTTTCCCCAAAATAAAGATCGATATCGAGTATCAATCAACAGCGCCCTCGTCAATCCATGATGTTTAATCTCAATTGCCAAAATTTAATCCATGTTCACCCTCCAATCAAACGGTCACTCAGTACCATTATTTCGGTAAACTAACCAAACATATCCTTTATCCAGTTGATTGATTACCATGATTCCCCGATTTTTTTTTGTTTTATACAATTCAGATTACCCACATAATAATGTGGTTTGCCCCTTTTCATCCCTTTTCTGTGTGTTTTTGTTTGTATCAAAATACGCATCCCCACACCGAGCGTCTCTCCGCATCCGCTGCGCCCTTCTCCCGCCACGCCCGCGAAGTCGCCACGTTCCCGGCCAAGACCTCCACCGCGCGCAGCGCACTGCGGAGCCCAACGTCCTCCCAGTTGTGCGGTCCATCGCGCTGAGGCGCCAAAACCCACAAGTCGTCGAAACCGAAGAGGTAGTCCTCCTGGAACAAACACGCCTGATTTTGGTGAAAGAATTACCAGTTAAAGTAGAGAATGCATGGTTAATGTCTGATTTGTTGCTGCTGATATACATGGCGTTGACGGAATTTGCCGGATTAAAGTTGGTAATTTGTTTTAAAACCACCAATGGTTTGCCTGTTGATCCAAATTCAACCAAATCATGTTTTAGGTTCTAAAATGAAAATAAATATAGGGAGAAAGGGTGCCCCAACGTTGAGAAATCTCCAAGTAATTAGTATATATTCGTATATGAAATTTAAAAAAACATCTCGATTTCTGAATGGTTCGAAGTTTTAAGAAAGGGGAAGTGTTAGCTGCAAAACTGGGGACAATGGCATGTCCTACAGAAATGAGCCCTCAAACGGTCAAATGATATTTACTGAAAATTCGGGAAGGTATCCACAAAACCACCCGGATCCACTTGAAGCACTTGGAGCTGAAGCAAATCGCTGTATTGGAAACACGTGTCGCAACACTAGGTGCTGAACCTTGCAGATAAATACTGAACATGTTCAACCTGCCCATGATTTTTTTGAAACAAACATTGCATGCACGAATGTTTCAGTGTTGGCATTTTTTGTTCAGGTGCCATTCCCACAAATATGTGGAAATCAATGTGTTTTTCGAATTTTGCTGACGGTTTTTGATGGATTTGAGGTAGATTTCTGTGGTACCATAACTATCTATATATATAATATATATATATATATATGGTGCAGCGTCGGCCAGCCCCCCACCATTGGGATGGGTGTTCAGTCTTGCTTCTTATGGTTCCCCCCCCCTGTGGCCTGTGGTGGTGTCGTGTTTGGGATGTTGGTGATGGGTGGCCAGTCTTGCTTCTTATGGTTCCCCCCCCTGTGGCCTGTGGTGGTGTCGTGTTTGGGATGTTGGTGATGGGTGGCCAGTTTTGTTTCTTATTTATGTATGTATGTAGGTAGGTAGGTAGGTAGGTACGTACGTACGTACGTACGCATGTATGTATGTATGCATGCATGTATGCATGCATGTATGCATGCACGCATGCATTCATGTATGTATGCATGTATGCATGCATGCATGCATGCATGTATGTGTGTGTGTGTGTCTGTCTGTATGTCTGTATGTCTGTATGTCTGTATGCCTGTATGCCTGTATGCCTGTATGCCTGTATGCCTGTATGCCTGTATGCCTGTATGCCTGTATGTCTGTATGTCTGTATGTCTGTATGTCTGTATGTCTGTATGTCTGTATGTCTGTATGTCTGTATGTCTGTATGTATGTATGCATGCGTGTATGTGTGTGTATGTATGTATGTATGTATGTATGTATGTATGTATGTATGTATGTATGTATGTATGTATGTATGTATGTATGTATGTATGTATGTATGTATGTATGTATGTATGTATGTAGTATGTATGTATGTATGTATGTATGTATGTATGTATGTATGTATGTATGTATGTATGTATGCTATGTATGTTATGTGTGTTATGTGTGCGTTATGCGTGTTATGTGTGTTATGTGTGTTATGTGTGTTATGTATGTTATGTGTGTGTGTTATGTATGTTATGTGTGTTATGTGTGTTCTGTGTGTTATGTGTGTTATTTGTGTTATGTGTGTTATGTGTGTTATGTGTGTTATGTGTGTTGTCTGCTATGTGTGTTATGTGTGTTGTGTGTGATATGTCTGTTATGTCTGTTATGTCTGTTATGTCTGTTATGTCTGTTATGTTTGTTATGTCTGTTCTGTTTGTTGTGTCTGTTTTGTATGTAATGTATTCCATGTATGTAATGTATGTATACATGTATATATATATATATATGTATAGATGTTTGTATATATATGTGTGTTTATATGTATATATATATATATATGTGTTTATATATATATATATATGTATATATATATATATGTTCGTATGTATATATATATGTATATATATATGTATATATATATATATATGTGTATATATATATGCACATATGAACATATATAATCTTATATATACATGTACCTATTTAAATATATATACATATGTGTAGTAAATAGGAAGTAGATACACAGCACATGTATATATGACAATAGGTAGCACGTAGGTACTTTGAGAGAGTATGTGTGCTACGTAGGTCGTCTAAAAGGTAGCATGTACCCAGTCAATGCGAGGCTGGTAGTCAGAATTGCTGCAAAAACCTAGCAAATACGAGGCTGGACCTCAGAAATGCTGCCAATAGCTTGCAAATAGAAGGGAAGGGGGTGCTACCTGTAGGTGCGAACACGTGACACGGGACCATATATATATATATGCGCGTGTGTGTGTGTATATATAGATTACATATATATATATGTATATATATATGTATATATATATATATATGTATATAGATTATATATATATACATATAAAGAGATACAGATAGTCAGATAGATATTGTTCAGACATAATCTTCATGTTTCATCATCAAACCAAAAAAGATCCCCTCATCCCTTATTTTTATTCCAACTTCCACCATCCCCCCAGTTACCACAGTATCCTCCTCCCGACGCTTCATTTTATACGCATCCGCTTGCCCTTGCGGTTCCACCCCCACGCCCGACAACGACACCAGCACCGGCCGCGCCCCGCTTGCGCCGCTTGACGGCTGGCGCGGAGGGAGCACCGCGGCAAGGCCGACGGAGCCGTCACTGTCCTGGCTTTGCCGCATGGAAAAATATAGGACAAATCCTCTATAAACGGAAAATTATGGGAAAATCATAGGTTCTAATAGGAATATCATGGAAAAAATGAGAAAATCAAACAAAATCAAGCCCTCAACCGCGAAGAACTGAGAAACACATGAGTTGGGTAAAGTCTTTTTGTGAATTAGTTCATTTGAAGAATCACGAAGTTCAGATGGTGCATATGGGTCCAAAAAGATGAAGCCAACCATTGTCAAAATAGACTAGGGATTCTGTACCCATCATGGATTGCGATAATTTTGATGACAATCCCCAATATGTTGAATAGTAAAATCCCCTATAATCACTACTAATCATCAACCAAGAGATGGTTTTAAACCATGACCGGACAACGGACCACCTGTAAGGCTGTCTGCGATCAGTCACTTCCCCCACCTGCGATTTACCCAGGCCATAGAAGGCCATTAAAAAAAAAAGATCGAAACAGTGTATATGGATGGATTATAATGAAAATTCCTACTCAAATGGAAGATTTAGGGATACCTCCATTTTAGGAAACGAAAAAACTCACTTAGCGTCCATGATTTTGCTGTGAATGTTGGCCATTCGCACTTTCCATCTCCGTCAATCTTCTGATGTTCGGCGACCCCAAGGGAGACCAAGTCGCATACATCTTGAATCTTGGGGAAAATGACCAAGCTCATGGCCCTATCACCCGCGGTCCTCATAACTGAAGAGGGCCGATTGGTCGGAACGTCTGCAGCGCAGTTGCACAGAATTCGTGGACCTTGACAGAGGCATTCTGGGTCCAGCAGCTACGACAAGTTATGGCTACAACAATGGTGCTAACCCGAGGAAGCTGGGATATAACTGCTATACGTATGATGAAATCCCACTTGGCTGGAACTGAACCCCGAAATAACCTGGTAAACTCGAGAATCTATAGCCGGTGCCACCCGGTGCCGTTCAGACATCGTTCGCCGGAGAGTGATTAGACATCAACCAACCCAGGGGGGTTGCAGTAGGAATCAATTAAATCTCCCCCCACTGAACAACTCAACAATACAATACCGCTATTGGGGCTTTACACTAGGGTTTAAAAGTCCCCCCTATGGGAGATAACAGTAACGCTATTAGGCTTTGCATGAGAGAGAATATGAGGAAGTTGCACCTGATTCGTGCAGAGGGTTTCCAAACCCGACTTGAAATCAACATTTTGGAACGTGGTATGTCAATCCAAACTCAAACAGACATCTTACCAATCACCACTACAGTAATATACAGTAAAAGGTCTTCAACCCTTGAAATGCAATGCATTACATTCCGGGAAAACTCTCAGTCCTGCCCGATTTTTTGCTATTGGGACTCTTCAATAACTCTAAAGTTACTTTTGAAGAGAGCTTGCCTCGCTACTGGTAACTTGCTTCAATGTTTGTTTCCGTCCAAGCATATCTCAGGCAACACCCGAGGACATGTCATTGCATGCCATGTTTCACTACGTAATACAGGCGATGTCGGGATATGGCTCACCAAACCCACGGATTCTGGGATGCGAATCCACGCAAGGTTTCTCCATGAATTGGACAGAAATTGGTGCCCTATTTCCAAGTAGGATCCGTGGGTTATAACCCATATAATTAGATCATCTAGTATATATATATATATAGTATACATATAATAACTTACTTATCTAACCGGGGCACAAATATGAGATGTGGAAAATGAGCCATTTGCCATGCCCGTCAGCCGTCCGGGTGTCTGCCAGGCCTCAACGTTTCCGCTTCGTCCCTGTAGGCCTCCACGACCACTTCCAGCCGCACGCACGCCGCGCGCTCCACGTCCGTCACGTCCGTGTCGGCTTGTGGAGAGAGCGACAGCGGCAATGGCAGCTGCGCCAAGACGCCCGGAGCCAATGTGATGGTCGCTGAAACACCTCCAACTTGGAATGTAATGTCACGTGATAGTGACATTAGTGATGATGAAACGTGGCAAATCGTGAATAAGAAGAACTTAGTATAGTCATGATAACAATATGGTACAATAAGAAACGAGCAATGTTCAAAACCCTCACTCCTCCCCTAGGCCTTATTTACCTGTTGGTTAGTAGGGATTGTCAGTTCATGTGCTGTGATAAACCCAAATATATTGAATATACAGCATAACCCCCGAAAGAATCATCAATCAGCAGAGGATCTGAACACTTCTCGTCTGACTTGTGGATGCAGATGGGGGATATTGTTATGGGCTTGGTGGTGGTCACCTGCATGTTTTAGGACATAAGCACATGGTGAAATGTATCATGAGATCTCCAACCTGCTGGGGTAAGGTCCATCTTTCACCTACTGCCCTAGTTCGGAATCATTGGTTTAGTAGGTACACTGAGGTTTTCGGTGGTTTAACTTATAGTAGAGTAGCCAAACGGGTTGAAAAACAAAATATCACTGGGGGGTCACACCACCTACCATCCAGGTGTCATTGTTTTGTGTCCCCAGTAGAAATGGAGAGTTCACACGTGTTTTCACAATTGACGGGGGATACATTCTGCGACCAGCAGAGACAGCGGAATGTAACGACCCAGTTTATAGGCTGCATTCTTCACGAAATGCCCAACAAATTTCTGGAGAAACTTCGGATTTCAACTGTAGAATTTGCCAAACCCAATTTGGTCCTGGTTTAAACCACCCGTTTCTGGTTTCAAATTGGGGTTAGTGTTGGTGTTTGGTTTACCGCATTATTTTAGCAACAATGGAAACCAACAACAAAATATCAAGGTTGCAGGACTCAATAAACAAGGCGCCATGCAATTTGCAAAACGTTGTAGCATTTTACATATATAATTATATATATATATATTATATTAGAGAGGGAGAGAGGATAAACCCATGAAAATCATTCCCATGGTTTCAACTCACAAATGGCATATAGTTGGATACCCCCAATGGCTATGTTTGGGCACCACCGTTCCAATTTCTGTCGGCATCATCGATTGAAAATCTTCAATCAACCCAAGGAATGCAAATCAAAGGATCCTTGACCGGTTTTTGAGTTGGACATGGAAACGAGGATCTAAAATGGGTAACAATTGACAACGAGGCGAAAATCAGTGACCCAAAACCACATTCTACGTGGAGGTTTTGCCATCATCTGTCCTGGTGAAATTTCGTTGTCTTCTTTCCAAACCTTCGTTCTGGGAATGGTTCGTTTCATCTTGCTACCTTTGGGGTGGGAATAATTCCTACATTTGAATTTACCCCATTTTTACACCAAATACTGAATCTATACCAACGATATTCTAGTTACTAGATTCTAGTTATTTACAAACATATGTTTATATGTACCATCCTTCACGGTCTAAAAACCCGAGGGTGTACCATTGGTTCATCCCAAACATTATTTCAGGTACCCCGTTTTGCCATGTTCTTCCCATTATTATCCCAGTTTTATCCATAACCATATAAAGCCCTATTAGATTACCGTTCATAGGGTAAGGATCGGATACTACCAGGATATTAGTGTACATTAGGTATATCAAACTACCCTTCAATTCATGGTTAATACAAGGTTTACTATGGTACCAAATATACCATATAGAACATATAGTTAAAATCAGCAGCAACATTATTTTTCATAAAAGGACTTGGGACACTGGGTAAATATAATGAAAATCAAGTATAATTCCCAATGTACCATATGAACATCATAAAAACGTCATAATTATACTTAAAATCATCTGGTACAGTACCATGCTAAATCAAATCCCCGATGTTCATCGCCCCGGTGTCACTCCTCCGGCCTCCAGCACCTTGACCCTGCACATGCGCGCGCACACGCAGGAAGTCGCGACCACTGTTCAGCACCCGCACGTCCAACGGGGCAGGATCCACTAAGAGCTGACCCTGAACCTGCAGCTTGGTGCCAAGGATGTTGCCAATACACTTTGCAAAAATGCAAAAATGCGCATACATAACATATTTATATATGTACATACACATAGAGACATAGATGAATATGGATATTTATGTAAATACCTATTTTTGTTTGTCTACCTATGTGTTTTTGTATCTCTATGTTTTCTTGAGAGGTCACTGTTTAAGATGGACAAATGCCAACGATGTATCTACGAGAATGGAAAGTATCTACAAAAACATCTGCATGTAAATATAAATATGTGAAAACATGCCAAATATGCATGTATGTTTAAAAACATACATATGTATATACATATATAAATTTGTACATATATACATATGTATTCATAGAAATGTATATATATATATATATATTTACATATGTTTCAAAATATATATATATATAATATACATATGTAAGTATATATATAACATATTTCTATGTATATTATTAAAAAAAAAACATTTCTAACATATAACATATTTCTAAACATATATACATTTCCAAACATGCCATATATATATATGTATATATGTATGTTATATACATATGTATGAAAACATGCCAAATATACACATATATATATATACACATACGTTTTTAAACATATATATATATATACATAGAAATATGTTATACATAAATTTTAGCTAAAATGTATATAATATAAATATATAAATAGAAATATGCAAACATAGATTAGAAATATGCAACTTAATATACATTACATATATACTACATTATATATACACTATATATACATAGAAATTTGTTATAAATATGTATATATATATATGTTGAGAAATGTATATATGTTTGGCATTCCAAATATGTTTAGAAATTACATTGTATATATGTATAACATACATATATACATATATACATATATTTACATATATTTACATACACACACATATATATATGTATGTATGTATGCATGTATGTATGTATGCATGCATGTGTATATGTATATATATATATGTATATATGCGCACATATTGTACTGGTCCACCGCCATGATTTACCTTGAGCTGTTGTCTCCATTTTTTAGACTAGACTGTGTTGTATTTCTGCGCCCATCACCCTCTGTTTTTATCAAGTTTGCCTCTACATCCCCTCCTTCAAGAAAACGCTTCTGTTACCTGATACGTTCCAAAAAAAATGCGAAACTCATTTTAGCATGCCATGTTCAGATTCAAATTTGGACAGCGCATGCGAGGGACGCGCGTTGAGGGAGTAATAGATGCAGGAGCCAATGATGAAAGAGGTCAGCGGTGAGGAATCTTTTCAAAACGCAATATAGCACAATATATTTTATAATTGCATGAAATGCAATATGTGTGGAACATACCGCCTTCAACCAAAAACGCAACACGCAAATTTGGGGATACCATCCTGCCCCTGTAAAAAGACATATGTTACGGACATGCTCTCGCATCTGAATTTTCAAATCCATTTCTCCATTATTCAATGGCAGAACGCTTCCGCAAGCAGCTGCATGAGTCTGGCTATGTACAATCCATTCACCGCTGTAGTCCACTATGATACTCAAAACTTGTTTGCTCTCCTCGGCATAGATGGGGTGAGTCTCAAATTTCAATGGACTAAAGTCATGCGGGTACTATCTGACAATTCAGTTCATATCAACTGACATCAACTGATACTGGTTAAGTTTGATTTCTGCATATAGATCATTTAATGTCCCAAACATTGCAAAATTAGTTGTCCTACATGTCCAAAACCTGAGATAAACAATGAGGACCTTTAAAGATCACACCTTTCAGCGTCGGAGCGCTCCCATGGCCACGGGCAAGGACAGGCAATACTTCACCTGGTGTTTTGTCTGCGGACCTTAATCTCACCTGACTATATAAATGAATCTTGCTTTAAAGAGATGATGCTCGAATCCGCAACATGTTGTTGCATCATCACACAACTCCAAGGGGTTTGGATTTCACCCAGAGTCGCCCCGTAAATGTATTATAAACTTGTCATTTGTCTGAATCCCCAAGGGTGGGACATGGACTCATGGGCGCAAGACTTGCAGCAGACCGTTGAACCTGCCATGGAAGCCATGAAGACGGGGGTATTGCATTGGCATGAGCCAAGACCAGTAGATTTCAGCAGATATGAGTTGACAGTGGGGACAAAAAGTTGCACATCTTAGGGTTCTGCTGTTGACACTTGCGGTAACCAAGCAATAAAACGAAAAACTTAAGCCAAGAACCCACCGGTTTTTCGCAACGTCCTCCCAAACAAAGGTTGGGCGGGCACCCTTGGGTTTCACACAGCAATCCAAGAGCGTCGCGCCGCGAAAAAAAAGGTCTTCAAGCATCACGAAACAAAGCCCGCCGAGAAGAACCAAGCAAAACAACACAGAAACACACAAGTCACACAAACAACGTCTCACGAAGCCTGGAGGATAAAGGCGGCCGAAAGCACGCCCACCAGCAGGGTAAGTCGCAACCTTCCAAGACAAAAGCAATACACTAGCAGCAAAATCCGTGAAAGAAGTGTCAACGTACAGTAACGAAAACATTCCCGGCCGCCCAGCCGCAGAAGCAGGAACAGTCACAATGATCCAGCAAAACGAAGAACTCAACAGAAAGCCCAAACAGCACGTTTCCAAGATGAAGTTGGCAAAATGAATACGGGACTGTAGCGAGAGCTCGGTGTGCATTTCAAAGAATTTGCTTTGCAAGGCAAGTCGCAATAAAACTGGAGGTCCGGAGCACCTTCCGAAGATGAAGTTGGCAAAATGCGCCAACTTCACTGTAGCTATTGAAAATGACCATTTATAGTGGATTTTCCCATTAAAAATAGTGATTTTCCATAGTTATGTGAACGTTTACCAGAGGGTAGATTTGCACTTCAAAATCGCCAAAAAAAACGAAGGGGTCGGAGCACTTTTGGAAGATGCGGAATTTTCTGCATCGATTCATCATGGATTCATCGATTCAAATGGTTCATTGCTTCATTGGTTCATTCAGTCACTGGATACATATAATATATACATATATATATATAATTATATATATACATATATATATACATACCAGTTACCAGTATGTACATAAATGATACATACCAGTATGTACATAAATGATCATAAATGCATACATAGATTGTGTAAAATATACACAATTCATATACGTATAAAACGTGAAACACAGCCATGTTTCGCACTGAGCTGTTTGTCGTGATCCTGGGATCCGTCGAGGAGCCACGTCAGGAAGGTTGCTCTTCTTGACGAAGCTTTTGAAGATCTCCTGAACCACTCAAATGGATGGTGCCCAGTGATGTGAATGTGAGGGTTTACCATAGGAATAGTATAGATATATCATATATAATATATATATATATATATATAATTATATATATAATTATATATATAATTATATATATATATAATTATTTATATATATACCATAAACCATAGTGAAATTGGAGTTATAAACCATGACTATAGTTATAATTATCTACAATATTCTACAATAAACCATATAGTTAAGCCACTTATTTTAGACTGAACGCTATCATGGGGGCCCCATTCTGCAGTCGATGGTTAGGTTTCAGGGAAATGTTGTCCCCTCAAATACCGAAATGTCCTTGGAGTCTGAACAAAAACATTCTGGGATCTAAACGGAAATTGTGTGGATGTCAAGGTTCAATACAGATTCTGTTCATGTTTGGGGCATAAATATGCAGAGATTGTGCATGTCCTGCATTCTTTGTCTAATTTTTGAGGCCTTCAATTGTTGATTCATGCCGCATATGAAAATCAAACATGGCTGTCGGTTCACAGGAATCAGCTTCCTGTGCCCGAATTTTTCGAACGGACTACAAGACATGGCAAATCCTGTGGCGACACTCTCGTGCATCGAAAAGGCTACCGAAAACGATCATCGGGGCATCCTAGCCCAGAGGATCCATGTATAGTATATTTACCTACAAAACTGGGCCATTTATGGGGTAAATGTTGGTAAATATCTTATACATGGATCCTATGGGTAGGGACATCACATTAACACATGCCCTGCTGAAAATCCTGGCGAAATGCACTGGATCTCTTCATAAAATGGATGGTTTATCGATCGTCGGTCCCAACTTCGACGCTAAAATTTGGGTGATTGGCACCCTCAAACAGTAAGCATATAATATCTATTCTGGTTGGTGGTATATGACTTCGTCAGTTGGGATTATGAAATTCCGAAATTCCCAATATATTGAAGAATAAAAACCATGTTCCAAAGCACCAACCAGATCCAACCAGGATAGTTAGACGAGGTTGGATACCAATTTCGAACCAGAGGGCCCTTCTCAGAATTGGCAAGCTTCTCCATAAACCCCCATCAGCCAAGACGGACTGAATCCGCCATCCCGCTTGAATACTATAATCCCACCCGCCTAATGGTAAACACCTCCAATCGATGGTGCCAGAATCGGCAAATCGCCATCCAAATCGCGTTCCGAAGAAAACATGGTGACATGGGGCTTTTTTGGGGGTTGGGATGGGATAATATCAGGCCGGAGAGACCAGATGTTTGATAGTTGCAGGGGTCTAGTATGGTCTAGTTCTATCCCAGGCACCACAGAGCCTGGTTTCAGTTGCCCCGTGACGGCGTCCTTCACGACTTCAATTTTGCAAGAAAAGTGCAGCGGCACTTTGCCGCGCACCCGCGACATCAAGCGATATTTGCCAGCTTCCTTGGGCAAGGGGCCCTGAGAGTAAGCCGCCCCACCAAGAACACGGAACTCTTTGGCTGCGCAGGAAGGGCAAATATAGGAATTTGGGAAAGATTCCCAGTGAAAAAACTCTGCAGTTCCAGTTTTTTGATAATAGGGTGCACCCAAATCCACCAATAAATCATCTTCATTTTCTCCAATAGCCATTTGATGGGTCAATCCTCCATATTTTCCCAGCAAGTTTCCAAGTGCACTGGGCTTGTGAGCATCGCATCACTGTAGATGTTTCCAGCAAAAGGCCCAATCTCTTCTTCCAGTGGCGAAAGTAGATGGAACGTGTGCAGGCGGCAATTGATGCCATAACCTGCGCGCAGTGGATTTTCGCATCCCTGATGGATGGATGGTGCTGACCTGACCCACGAATGACCACTAATGAAGATGACATGTGGATGCAGTATGATGCAGTATGATGTGTTTTTTCCAACAACCACTCCACAGTGGCGGTTTCAAGGCATCTTCGCAGCATGGCTAAGTTCTTTGCCTGAAGGTTGTCTCCATTGTGTCACCCCAGCCACTTATCCAACCATTTACCCTCCAAAAAAGAGACCAAACATCATGAGTATTCAGCCAAGCCCCCATTTTGGTGACCCCAAAACAATAGCTCTTTGAGATTCGCCCTTGGAATTTCTTGTGGTTGTTGGTGCTTCGTAAACACCCAATTTTGGGAGCCACCATCAGAACCTCACCTCCAGGATCCTTGATCTTGAAAGTGCCCACCATCCAATACTGCACGTGCAACACATCCGAGTTGCCCCCCTTGGGCGGCTGCTGCATCAAGTTCCTGGGGCTGGGCGCGACTTTCGCGATTCCCAAAAGCGGTTCGGGAGCCCGAGAAAGATTCTTGGTACACTTCGGTGGAATTTCACATGGACAACGGAGATGTTTGTTTCTTGAACGGCCAAAGAAAATGTTGTGTTCTTTTCAAACTTGATTGGACCCTAAAACCAATGGGATTATCTGAACAGAGGGAAAGCATTCGGTTTGTGGGGTAAACTTGCAACGTGCCCTGTGGGTACACTCACCCGGGGGCTGTTTGTCTGGTTCCTTCTGACAGGTCATGACCCCCAATTGATGCGCAGCCCATGTCGCTCATATACGGCCCATGTCTGGATGTCGGTTCGAGCATGGCACATGCTAGAATTGCAACAGTGTTGTAAATGGCATGAACCCTTGCTTGGGCAAATTATGTGTATAATATATATAGTATTGTATACAATATACAATATATTAACGATGTCTGATTCATTCCACACTTCGCTCCACCACAAAACAACATTTCTATGGAAGTATGTGACAGCGACAAACATCCCGTCGTCCTGCAACATGCAAATTGATCTGTGTGCATCGTGATTCTGTTTGGTGTTTGCCTTTTTCCCCATCTTCTAATTGATGCTGTTTAAAGTGCCTAAAATAGCGTTTTGAAATAAGAATGCATTTTGAGTGCAGTTCCCAGCATTGTTTTTCAAGCCTTGGACGTGAATGGTGTTTTCTTGTTAGATTCCGCTAAATCATTGTTCTAGATCCTGATTTAAAGGAACGAGTAACGAACCAACGCTAAGCTCGTTCGCATGTTTTGTGGAAGTGGGGGGCACCCCCAAGGGGGGATTCACATGGATTCATCATCCAAAAAACCCACGGCAAGACTCTGAAACGCCACATGCGCGTGAGGGATCTGCACATGCGTCCAGCCATCTTGGTTGGATCCTTCTGTGGAGATCCAACTGAGACGTCCTGACCACAGATGTCATCACCGGCACAAGATTCTTTGCTCTTGAAGAGAAACGCAGAACCAGAAAAATCTCCACTGTTGTGAGAGAAATACATCCCAAAAATAGAAATAGAATGAAATACATCCCGAAAATTTGTGAAATAGAATGAAATACATCCCGAAATTGAAGCTTGGAAGACTAAAAAAACATCAAAATGGCTATATGTAGATCCAGGAAAATGACCCTCCAAAGCCAATATGTAGGGAACCTTCACTACAAAGGTGACACAACGGGCTAACGTTCTGGCTGTTTGATGTTCTAAGGAGACATACTAATCATACTATATATCTTTTTGCAGGGACCCACCTTGTAGCATTTCTTGCAGGAGATTGTAGCAATGCATTGTGTATAATAAGATGGAAAACGACGGCAAAAATGACACCTGCCCAACCAAACAATGGGCAGGGTTTTGCCTGCAGGAATCAAAAAAACAGAGAGGGGCCACATCTCATTGACCCTCATGCGAATGCTGTAAACCAGGAATCGTAGCTAGTGAACGCAACCTGGGTAATGGCCACAATCCACGAAGTTAGAGACTTCCCCAACCACGGAGTTTCCCATGCCGACCATTGGTGGGAGGTCAGTGGGGTCTGGAGATGTCTGGCGAAGATTGGAACAGTTGATGAAAAGAACACAGCACAAGTCACTTTGACCTACACAGCAGGAAAAAGTCATGCGAGAATAATGGTTAACACTCGGTCAGACATCTATCAGCATGTTCCATGTTCCATTTAAAATAATGTCAAGTTAGGATTAATAAACCCCGTCGGTTTAATCAACCTCCTCTGCCCAGAAAAAAATGAAAATTGAAAACAGGTGGTCCCCCCGGATTAATAAACTGTTTGGCTAGAACATGATTAATCAACCACCAGTGCTGAAATACCATTTTGTTTTATTTTCCAACTCTCTTTATTTTCAAATGGTTTCCTTATTCTGTACTTAGGTTGAAACCTCATGAACACCAGAATCCATCCCTGCTGACTATAACCCAAATGATCGATTTCTAATTAAATTCTTTATAAAAATTATCAGTTTCGATGGCTCCCAAAGGGTACCCCCCATGAGCCCATGTGCCCCATTAATAATAATCAGAAGGTTCCCCTTATTAATCAACCCCTCCAAGGGGGCGTTTCTCTAGAAGGAAAACTAGGAAAGACCTTACAAGGTCCATCTGACCTTATGGGGGGGGTTCATTAATCGATGTTGACATTACCTGGATTCTTGACATGAAGATTTACCCAAACATGGCAATTGAAAAATCCCCTGTCAATGAAGGCTTTAGTAGGAAAATCGCATATCAATGGTGGATTTTCCAGCAAGCCATGTTTGACTGCCGGAGTGTACCTACAATTTTGAGCCCTTTGAAAGGGGAAACACTCATTCTCTAGACCGTGGGGTAGTGGGATGGAATGAAAAACATCCAGGTCGTGGGACAACCCTCTGCAGATTGTTGGTCATGTCCCTTCCGAAATCCCTTGGGAAATCCCAGCATTTTCCCTTTTCAAACGGCCATAAACGAGGGGTCAATGCCCTATTTTTAGACACCCCCAGAGATTATATAGCTGGCGAAAAATATCTATATATAACATATCCCCACAACACATCACCATTATAATTTGATCTCCATTTTCTATGGTGAGCTTAATCCCCCTGAACCAAACTGTGTGGTCAGCCGAGTCTTGTCTTCACTCCTCCCGTGACGTGTTCGGCCAAAAACTTCCGCTGGCCATTCTTGAAGTTAGACCCTGGGCCTGGCGATATGGGCGAAACTTAGCATCATTGTGGGTTTAGATTCACCTCCCGAAAAATAGACAAATTTAGAAAACGTATGAAAACGTTGTGTTTTACTGTTTTGGAAACCAACCAAAAAAATGAAATCGTCCAACCTCCAAAGGATATGGATTCAGCAGAGGCAGGAATGTGTTTCACTAACAATCATGGATATTACCATCTGGTTATTTAACATAGCCATGGAAAATCACCATTTTTAATAGGTAAACCATCTATAAATGGGCCATTTTCCATGGCTATGTTAAATAACCAGAGGGTACATGGTATTACATCTGGGCAAATGACGGTAATTCTCAAAACAGAAGTTCGCTCATAGTTCGAGGATTATTCTGTGATATGATCAGATTACCCATCTCCATGCTGCAATATTTACCACACCTGTCCATTTGCCACACAAAATCTCCCAGTTTTTCGGTCAATATACCAGCACCATGGTTCCCATGGTTCGCATATATATGGCTTGTATATCTGGTAAAAGATACGCGCCATTTCTGGAAAATATCCAAGTTCTCCATGGCTATGTTCAATAACCATATAGTTATATAATGGATTTTCCATGGCTATGTTATATATTTGGGTCCCGATTCCCCAAGCCGCATTTGGTCGGATTTTTTGTGCACCTTCCAGGTAGACCTGGCGAAGGCCACCCAGGGGCACCAGGGGATCACCATCGTACTCCGCCTTTCCCGAAGCGAAAGGACCCAGGCCTCGGGCCAAAGGCTGTACCAATAAAAGTCCTTTGAAAAGGGAAACTGGTTGGTTCAACCTATCTGGTTGGTGATTTCAACCTATATACTGTTAATAACGGTTAATATATGGAAATATATATATATGGTTAATGATGGTTAATAACTATCTGGTTGGTGGTATAATTACCTACCCCTCTGAAAAATGATGGACTGAAAGTCAGTTGGGATGGTTGGTTATTCCATTCCCAATATATGGAAAAAATGTTCCAAACCACCAATCAGCTATGATTGGAGGTGAAAATGTTCAGTCTATGCTCTCATCCATCGGAGCACATGTTTTTATCCCCAAGAGTGGCACGGATTTACCGATAGTCGATTGGAGCAGCATGTTTTTGACCTGGAACATGATGCGTTTCAAATGTTTCAACTCTCAAAAAATGAGGAAATTAGGAATTTTATACCCAGAACGTAGTGATTCTACAATTGACCCAGCAAATGGCGAGTTGAATTCATAAGAGTGGAGAGATGAAGAATTTGTACGCAGAAATGCGTGTTTCTTTGGAAACCCGCAAACATGGAAATTACACCAACGCAAATTTATGGATTTCACTTGGGGAACTAGCCAGTAGCCACGTTCAGGGAAGTTCTCTTCACTTCAACAAATTTTGGTGATCAACAAGAAAATCAGGTGTAGCAGTGTAGCGGTTGGTGGCAATACAGGAAACATCAGAAAACCTAAAAAATTCTCATGGTAAAGCCATATCCTGTGCCATCCGGTTCCACCTGTTGTATATGGAATATCCCCATATACCCGGCCTGCTAAACTAACAGTTGCTATTGAAAATGGCCATAGAAATAGTGGCTTTGCCCATTAATAGCATGGTGATTTTCCATAGTTTTTTGTTAACGTTTACCAGGCCGGGTATATCCCCAGTGATGGATAGGTTATCTAAGAGCTAATCCCTGACGTGGGATGTACATCCAAGCAATCCAATGCTTTGCATTTGTTCCATCCCAAACTATACTGGTTGGTCAGTCGATGTTCCTAGTATGACTTATATAGATAATGTTACCCTCTGGTAAATTAACATAGCTATGCAAAATCACTATTTTTAATGGGTAAATCCACTATTTCTATGGCCATGTTCAATAGCTATGTTAGTCATTACCAGAGGGTATAGTGCCATAATAAGCCACTTCCCCTGAGTTCACCCAAAAAGGAAGTTCTACAGCCAGCACTGCGAAAAGCCGTCCAATCACCGTCCAAGTTGCACCACCACCTCTTCGCAAAGCGGCCGGACGTCACCGGCAGGGAGCCCAGCAGCGTCAGCGTTGTCAGCACGGCATGGCACGGCATGGCACGGCATGGCACGGCATGGCACGGCATGGCACGGCATGGCACGGCATGGCAGCTGAGCAGATTTGACGGGGTATTTCCTGGGGATATCATGGTATGGTAATGTTATATACTATATGATATCCTGGGGTAATATACATTACCATATAGACATGATATTTGGGGTAATGTAAGAAGCTATATGGTTACAGCCCACACTCAAGTCGGGCATACAAAATACTTCTTGACGTAGGGAAACGGGGTCCTAAATGGTTAACCATTCAATGGCTTAAAACCAATCCCAAACACAAAAACGACTCAGTACCCAACAATCCCAATTTTTTGTTTGAAGACATCCCGACATAGACCATCCTGGTTACTCTTGGAGGGTCTTGATGGGCTCGTGGTTCCTTGAACCTTTCAGGTGCATTCCATGCACTTCACCAAGCGACATGAAATTGCCAAGCTTGACAGGAAATAAAGACAAGACAATTTGACCATCAACAGAAATGATCAACATTGAGATCATCAATACTTCCAGATAGCCATCTGGGTGGTGGTTTCTATTTGCTTCCTGAAATACAAAGCATCGCCAAGGTATGTCGATCGACAGGTCACCCCATAGTCATGACGCAAACAATGTGAAAACTCGGGAAAACTTGGGTTTTGTTTATATACATCACTGGTTGGTGGTATACCTACCCCTCTGAAAAATATGAAAGTCAGTTGGGATGATTATTCCCAATATATGGAAAAATAAAAAATGTTCCAAACCACCAACCGGATAAACATGTTCGACGTCAGTTCCTGTATAGTTTTTGTTGAAGAAAAGGGGACCCCTAAAGAAGAACTACTAAAATCAACTAGTTTATGAGCCTCACGTGTCCAATCTTCTAGTAACCATGAATTGGGGTATACCGTACGGTATACCGTATACCCTCTAAAATTGACAAGACCAGATATGTAGTCCTGTCTCATATGTTTCCCCTTTCAATCGGCCAGCCTATCAACAATTGATATTGATTCCTGGTGATAGTCTCAGCATTTTCAATGGGTAAATTCCACTATAAATCACCATTTTCAATAGCAAACTGTTAGTCATTACCAGGCCGGGTAAATGCTGGTGCCATTCAATTCCCATCACCTTCTTCTCGGTCCCAAAAAATGGGGCACCCTAAGACTTGGATCAGAATCCTTGCCCCCAACGATAGTTCCTGGGACGGTCAAAGATTGAGTACCCCGGAAATGGAAAGTTTGGTCCAGAACAGAATCCCATTTGGGATTGCTGATTTCTGCCATAAAATCCCACAAAACAGAAAAACCAAACAACAACAAAAAACATCTCAAACTGGAAAAGATCTCAAGATATCTCAAGCATATGCAGCATATCTACCCTCTGGTAAACTAACATAGCTATGGAAAATCACCATTTTTAATGGGAAAATCCACTATAAATGGCCATTTTCAATAGCTACGTTAAATTACCAGAGGGTATGTCTTCCTTTATGTACATCAAAATGGTTCCCACTCAAATCTCAACCTTTCTGGATTTGTTTCGCTCGAGTTCCTGGGCAGTTCCAAGATGTTCCATCATGAATCTTACTGCTTGGTTAAGAAGAAACTTTCCACTGGTTGGAATATGATAATCCCATATACTCCCCAATATACAGATGATAATTATCAAATAATATATTCAACCCCCCGAACTAATCAGACTCATCAACAGTGCTTTTCAGGCTGGGATTCACATCAACATATCATGTTTCTTTCAAATTTGGGACGCTTTTCACAATGCCCAACCTCAGTTTTTCGGAGAATCCAAGAGACCCCCACACAGAAGGAACATCCAGAGCAACATCAGTTAGAACATCCTATATGTAGGTTGATGGATGTTCTAAGTGTGAGGCTCCTAGCGCTTGCAGCCCTGAGAATCCCTAGCATTGGATCTATTCATGTGAAGTCCCAATTTTTTTGGATATGAATATTGTACTATAGTGGCTAAAAATATGCCCATTTCAGGATGATGGTCGAAACCATTGTTAACTGGGCAAACAAATCATGGGATTACTCCCCAAATAAACATCACAGCATAGGGGGATGGGATTACCCTCTGGTAAACTAACATAGCTATGGAAAATGACCATGTCCGCCGACCCTGCCTTAGCCAAGGCAGGGGCGGCGCCTGGGACCACCGCAGGTGTGGAACTTTTTTTCGTTCCCAATGCTTTGCACTTTCCACGAGCCACCCAGGCCATAGCACCCTCTGTTCACCGCCCAGGAGCCACTCAGGCCACAGCAATTTCTGTGCACTTCCCACGAGCCACTCATGCCACAGCAATCTCTGTTTCTACGGCGTTCCAAAACGCAACAGGCCGCGGCAGACCCTGTGCAGTTCCAACAAGTCCCTGAGGCCGTGGCATTAAAGAGGTTCAAGGCTGCCGTTTGCCAGCCTTCAAAACTCCCCAAGCCCTTCCCTGCAGCTCCCAGGCGCCACTCAGGCCGCGGCAGACCTTTCCTGCAGCTCCAACAAGTCCCTGAGGCCGTGGCAGTGTCCTTTTAAGGAGGTTCAAGGGTGCCGTTTGCCAGCCTTCAAAACTCCCCAAACCCTCCCCTGCAGCTCCCAGGCGCCACTCAGGCCGCGGCAGACCTTTCCTGCAGCTCCAACAAGTCCCTGAGGCCCTGGCAGTGTCCTTTTAAGGACGTTCAAGGCTGCCGTTTGCCAGCCCGCAAAACTCGCCAAACCCTCCCCTGCAGCTCCCAGGCGCCACTCAGGCCGCGGCAGACCTTTCCTGCAGCTCCAACAAGTCCCTTGAGGCCCTGGCAGTGTCCTTTTAAGGACGTTCAAGGCTGCCGTTTGCCAGCCCGCAAAACTCGCCAACCCCTCCCCTGCAGCTCCCAGGCGCCACTCAGGCCGCGGCAGACCTTTCCTGCAGCTCCAACAAGTCCCTGAGGCCCTGGCAGTGTCCTTTTAAGGACGTTCAAGGCTGCCGTTTGCCAGCCCGCAAAACTCCCCAAACCCTCCCCTGCAGCTCCCAGGCGCCACTCAGGCCGCGGCAGACCTTTCCTGCAGCTCCAACAAGTCCCTGAGGCCCTGGCAGTGTCCGTTTAAGGACGTTCAAGGCTGCCGTTTGCCAGCCCGCAAAACTCGCCAAACCCTCCCCTGCAGCTCCCAGGCGCCACTCAGGCCGCGGCAGACCTTTCCTGCAGCTCTAACAAGTCCCTGAGGCCGTGGCAGCGTCTTTTTATGGACGTCCAAGGCTGCCGTTTGCCAGCCCTCAAAACTCCCCAAACCCTCCCCTGCAGCTCCCAGGCGCCACTCAGGCCGCGGCAGACCTTTCCTGCAGCTCTAACAAGTCCCTGAGGCCGTGGCAGTGTCCTTTTAAGGATGTTCAAGGCTGCCGTTTGCCAGCCCGCAAAACTCCCCAAACCCTCCCCTGCAGCTCCCAGGCGCCACTCAGGCCGCGGCAGACCTTTCCTGCAGCTCCAACAAGTCCCTGAGGCCCTGGCAGTGTCCTTTTATGGACGTTCAAGGCTGCCGTTTGCCAGCCCGCAAAACTCCCCAAACCCTCCCCTGCAGCTCCCAGGCGCCACTCAGGCCGCGGCAGACCTTTCCTGCAGCTCCAACAAGTCCCTGAGGCCCTGGCAGTGTCCTTTTATGGAGGTTCAAGGCTGCCGTTTGCCAGCCCGCAAAACTCGCCAAACCCTCCCCTGCAGCTCCCAGGCGCCACTCAGGCCGCGGCAGACCTTTCCTGCAGCTCTCACAAGTGCCTGAGGCCGTGGCAGTGTCTTTTTATGGACGTTCAAGGCTGCCGTTTGCCAGCCCTCAAAACTCCCCAAACCCTCCCCTGCAGCTCCCAAGCGCCACTCAGGCCGCGGCAGACCTTTCCTGCAGCTCTAACAAGTCCCTGAGGCCGTGGCAGCGTCTTTTTATGGACGTTCAAGGCTGCCGTTTGCCAGCCCTCAAAACTCCCCAAACCCTCCCCTGCAGCTCCGAGGCGCCACTCAGGCCGCGGCAGACCTTTCCTGCACCTCCAACAAGTCCCTGAGGCCGTGGCAGTGTCCTTTTAAGGAGGTTCAACGCTGGTTTGCCAGCCTCCAAAACTCGCCAAAACTCCCCAAACCCTCCCCTGCAGCTCCCAGGCGCCACTCAGGCCGCGGCAGACCTTTCCTGCAGCTCCAACAAGTCCCTGAGGCCGTGGCAGTGTCCTTTTAAGGAGGTTCAACGCTGGTTTGCCAGCTTTCAAAACTCGCCAAAACTCCCCAAACCCTCCCCTGCAGCTCCGAGGCGCCACTCAGGCCGCGGCAGACCTTTCCTGCACCTCCAACAAGTCCCTGAGGCCGTGGCAGTGTCCTTTTAAGGAGGTTCAACGCTGGTTTGCCAGCCTCCAAAGCCCTCAAAACTCCCCAAACCCTCCCCTGCAGCTCCCAGGCGCCACTCAGGCCGCGGCAGACCTTTCCTGCAGCTCCAACAAGTCCCTGAGGCCGTGGCAGTGTCCTTTTAAGGAGGTTCAACGCTGGTTTGCCAGCTTTCAAAACTCGCCAAAACTCCCCAAACCCTCCCCTGCAGCTCCCAGGCGCCACTCAGGCCGCGGCAGACCTTTCCTGCAGCTCCAACAAGTCTCTGAGGCCGTGGCAGTGTCTTTTTATGGAGGTTCAAGGCTGCCTCTTGCCAGCATTCGAAACTCCCCAAGCTCCCAGGCGCCACTCAGGCCGCGGCAGACCTTTCCTGCAGCTCCAACAAGTCCCTGAGGCCGTGGCAGTGTCCTTTTATGGAGGTTCAAGGCTGCCTCTTGCCAGCCTTCGAAATTCGCCTAACTTCCCAAAAACCCTCCCCTGCAGCTCCCAGGCGCCACTCAGGCCGCGGCAGACCTTTCCTGCAGCTCTAACAAGTCCCTGAGGCCGTGGCAGCGTCTTTTTATGGACGTTCAAGGCTGCCGTTTGCCAGCCCTCAAAACTCCCCAAACCCTCCCCTGCAGCTCCCAGGCGCCACTCAGGCCGCGGCAGACCTTTCCTGCAGCTCCAACAAGTCCCTGAGGCCGTGGCAGTGTCCT